GTCCTCCGCTAATTGATTTTCCTCCCCATCTTGCCACAATAGCCTGTTGTAGTTGTTGTTATAACAAACACTCTCTTCCATAGGAGCCCAGGGCAGCAAAGGTATCAATACTAATATAATTAAAACTTTAAAGCAACCTTCTAAAAAAACAGTTTTAAATTCCCCCCAGGCAGTCATTTTCAGTGGTTTCTACAAATTGCTGTGTACTCCAAGTTCCTTCTCAAGAAAATGAGCTTTCTAAATCTGGATCATCTTTATTGTGCTATTGATTGTGCTTTCAGCAAGTTAATAACCTCTCAGGAAATGGGGACTGCCTTTTGCATACTCAGAAACCACTCAAGGCAGGACTCAGTGATTGACAGCAGAGAAAATGCTGACCCCCTGAGTGAGATGTAGGCTGAAGACAGATCAATAGTTTTTCACTTTCTTTAACCCCCCCCCCCCCAGAGAGCTGAAGGGGATAGGATCTTTCACTTGGGAGACAGACCCTCCAAATATCACCTCTCCTTGTGGCATATATAGGGGGATATTACAACCTCTCCTTACCTTCGGTAGCCATTAGTGCCCCTGTGACATCACAGCAGCCATTTCTCCAATCCCAACCCTCATCTCAAACCTGTTTGCATAACAAGCAACTTACACACCTACAGTATTGTTGGAGGGACTTCTCTTCTTAACATGGACTGGTGCAATGGGTCAAAAATACATTGTGAGCATGCAAATGTGAGCAATAGTCAAAAGAGCTACACCATCTCTGTGCCAGCCAGCTGGTGGGCATTCTGTTCATTACAAAACAATTAGTGCCAAGAAATATCTATGCTATTGCCAGGGCCGCAGATTCCTCAAACTATATTTCTCTTGCTGCGAGGGAAATAGACTAACAAAACTGACTGAAACTGGTTTGCAGGGAGAGGGAGGGAAGAGCAGAGCACCTGCTTTGCAACACAAAGTTCCCGTTTTCGATTTGCGGCATCTCCAGGTAGGGCTGGGATGGGAAAGACTCGTCTGAAACCCTGCAGAGCTGCTGCCAGTCAGTGTGGTACTGAGTTAGAGGGACCAAAGGTCTGAGTTGGTATAAGGCAGCTTTTTGTGTTCTTGTGTTCCTAAACCTACACTCTACTTGTGCCATTCCCCATCTGTTGCTTCTTCATAGATCCCCAGATAGACTGGAGACATTATTTCAGGTTCATTTTGTTCATAAAGAAGAGGAATTGGGGAAATGTAAGGAACATGAAGGCCCTACAATGCGCAGGCTGAGAAAGGCAGCTGGGGCAACAGCATTGCAGCCTCTGATTAATTCATGCCAGTAAAGTGCTTTAAAGAGCTTGCCAGAAATAAATAAAGGAGCAAGCAGGCTTCCAGCTTGAAAATCAGGGGAGAGTAAATGCAAAGAATGTTCTGAAGGCGAAGCAAACTTTTCCTTGTTGTGTGCTGGCAAAGTACTGGGTTGTTCTTGTTCTTGTTTTTATTATGTATTTTGTGTTTATATATTTTGATTTTATGTTGTGAGACCTGCAGGTATAGGGCAGTATACAAATAACAACAACAATAGATGGGAAAGTGCTCTGGGCAGCAATCCTGGGCATTGAAAAGCCTGTCCCAGTGAAATATCAGAGGGTGAGTTACCCCAGCCTCCACACACACCTAATTGCTTATTGGCATCTATCCAGAAGCTCATCCAAGTGACCTGTTAATTGACCATTTCATCCAGCTTTGCTTGTGCAGAGTTTACACAGAGGTTTGACTACATCCGGTCTTTATTAAGCATTCATTCTGGGGGGTTTTTTGTTGAGAGGATATACCAGGTAATTTAGGCTTGCACAATTTTTTTTAATTAGAAAATATTGATATACTGCTATTAATAAAAAAAAAAAAATCAGAGCAGTTTACAACAATTGTACATAAAACCATGCAATGAAAATATATATTCAAAAAATCAGAAATCAGCCAGCTACTGTAGAAGGATACATCTTAATTGCCTGCATAGTGGAATAGGAAAGTTATCAGCAGGGCTTTAAAAGTTGAAACAGAAAACACCTGCTGAATCTCCATTGGCAGGGTGTTCCACAGGACTGGGCAGATGACACTAAAGGCTCGATTTCTTGTTGTTGTCAGATGAGCCTCCCCAGTTCTGGGAATGATCAGAGATGCTCCTACAGATTATCTCAGTGACCAAGCTGAAATATAAGGCTTCAGGTGGTCACTGGTGTACCCTAGACCAGTGTTCCGCAACCTTGGGCCTTCAGCTGTTTTTGGACTACAATTACCATCATCCTTGACCACTGGTCTTGCTAGCGAGGGATGATGGGAGTGTAGTCGAAAAACAGCTGGAGGCCCAAGGTTGGGGAACACTGCCCTAGACCTATGTTGTCCAGGACTTTGCAAATTAAGACAAGGACTCTTAACCTGGCTCAGTACAGTGGTACCTCGGATTAAGAATTAATTTGTTCTGAAGGTCCGTTCTTAACCTGAAACTGTTCTTAACCTGAGGTACCACTTTAGCTAATGGGGTCTCCTGCTGCTGCTGCGCGATTTCTGTTCTTATCCTGATGCAAAGTTCTTAACCCGAGATACTATTTCTGGGTTAGTGTAGTCTGTAACCTGAAGCATCTGTAACCTGAAGCATCTGTAACCTGAGGTACCACTGTAGTAGATGGGCAGCCAGGGTCAGCCAGATGCCACTGCATTCTGCATCAGCTGCAGCTTCTGAACCAGGTCCAAGGGCAGACCCAAGTAGAGAGCATTGCAGTAATCCAGGATTGAAGTTGCCAACATATGGGTTACAGTGGTGAGGTTAAGTGTAATCATAAAGTGGGTTAAAATACTCAGTTGCCATAGCATCACAAAACCTCTTTAAAAAAAAGAATTAGGCTTTCTGCAGTTTGGAAAAATGACAAGGAAATGCACTAGAAAGCATAGGATGGGTGGGAGGGTGCCTTAATGGGAAGACATATAAGCACCTCATAGGCCAATCCAGATGAATGCTCTATATATCTGTCATCTGGGGAAACCCTATCAATTTCTGCACCAAGTTAACCAATTTATGTGCAAAAAAGGAAAACCACGATGAGATCTATAGAAACTTGATTTAAAAAAATAATAATTAATGGAAGCAGAGATTCCGAGGACGATGAATTTTGCACTCAGGAAACATTCAGTATTTATTCTAACGTAGACTCTCAAACATACACACAACCCTGGTAATACTCCTAAAGGTCAGAACATCAGAATCCCTGACCTATTATTATTTTTTAAACAACTTTTTACCAATAGAACCCTCAGGAGAGAATCTCCCTTGCAGCACAACCTATTTTTAATTCATTGCTTTTTAAAACTCCCCAAGGGATTTAAGATTAATGTGACAATGCATGAGTCACTCTTGCTGAAAGCTAAAGTCAGTTAAAAATACAAGTTTACAAAGCTAAAAATAATAATTAAAAAAAACTGAAAACCCGATGACAACCCCGAACACAGCTTGGTAAACTGTGATTCCATTAGGTTATTTAACAAAAAAAAATGGGAATAAATGTTCCCAGTAAAGCCAAATGCTGGCAATATATATAATGTTACTATAAAGATCAATGGTCCCAAAAGACAAAAAGTTAAAACGATGTCATAATCGGAGTAAACCTATTGAAATAAATAGGCATAACTGACTTAAATCTATTACTTTCAGGGAATCTACCCTGAATATGCCTTAAGGCGAAAAGTTTTATTTTGATAATCTGGCTTCTTTTTCTTCTTCTTATGCATTGATTAAATAATGCAGATAGGGGATTAAAGGGGAAAAAGGCCACTGAATAGTGTCTGAAGTGCCATCACATCTTGCTCTGTTGTTGAATTCAAAAATTGTTGTTGAATTCAAAAATGAGGAAGATTGTGGAGTTCCACTTTACAGGCAGATCTGTACCACAGCTTTGTTCCCCCTCCCCCGCCTTCCACTCAGAGAGTTGGTGAGGAAGTTTGGGATTTCCTACAGATAATGCTTTGAACCATTTCACCAGATTACAATTCCCAGCATTCTTAGGCAGAAACAATGGCCATGAAAATTATGCAAAACGAAGCTAAGTATGTAGTCCAGACAATGATTTTTATTTATTTAAAATAATCTCTCAACTGCTTTTCATTTCAAGACAATATCTCAAAGTGGTTTATAGCAAGGAAATAACGCAGCAATAAAATCAGCGAAAAATGCCTTAAAACAGCAACATGATCCAGAGGCAATAAAAAAACCCACAAGCATCTGTTGGAGATGCCTTGTCAGAGATGTGTTTTCATTAGACAGCGAATGTGTTCCACCACTATTGCCTGCTGTATCACCTATGGGAGGGCACTTCAAGGACAGGACAGCCTTTCCAAACAGCTGCTCTCCAGCTATTTTGGACTACAACTACAGTCGTACCTTGGAAGTCAAACAGAATCCGTTCCGGAAGTCTATTCGACTTCCCAAACGTTTGGAAAACAAAGCGTGGCTTCCGATTGGCTGCAGGAGCTTCCTGCAGCCAATCAGAAGCTGCAGAAGCCCCGTCGGACATTCGGGTTCCAAAACTGGTTCACAAACCGGAACAGTCACTTCCAGGTTTGTGGAGTTCAGAAGCCAAAATGTTCAAGAACTAAGCTGTTTGAAAACCAAGGTACAAATGTATGTGGTTGGTGGGAGTTGTAGTCCAAAATAACTGGAGGGCACCAGCTTTACACCACTGAGGAGGCTAGGAGGGCCTCCTTAGAAGATCTTGATGATGGAGTGAATCTAGCTGTGGGGAAATGTGCCTTCAGGCTACCTTGACCTGCGTTCTTTCAGGGCTTTGTCTGCCCACGAGCACAGGGGCTGACAATACCATAGTTTGTAAAAATTTATGGAACTGAATAATGCCTTACATGATGAGATTATTTGGGGCTGGAGGTCTATTTCTATTCCATGAGGCTTAATCTGGAGGTTTGCATATCTCTGAATGTCTCCCATCACTTTTGCAGGTTCAGTGTCAGGGAGGATGTGAAAGATGGATGACCACTCTCAAATCACTTTTGGTCCATTGACTGCAAAGTTTACTTCCCAACCATACCCTCAGCAGGGAGGCGAACCTGCTAGTTCCCAACAGTTAGCCAACCACCTTGCTGCTCCCAGAAAAGAAGATGACTGGGAAGGCGTAGATGGAAATGAACTGATCTTTGCCTTAGATGATGAGGAAGATGCGACTCCTGACTTACCCGACCACTTTTCTATGTGTGAAGATATTGGGAAACAGGATGAACATCAGGAAGAGTCCACATTCCACATGCCATCCCCTCTGCCGTCTCCTCCTGAACTGGATTTCTTGCCCGCCCTCCCCACTTCCAGTTCACCCAGTTTATCACCCCAAAGATCAACCGGCCTTGTAAACCCTCAAGGCCCCAAGCCATTAATCAACTTAGTGAAATCCCTCTCAACTGAAATTGAGCCCCGGGACGCCTCTTCCCTCAAGCCCCAACCTTTGCTGAGCTTGGTCAAATCCATTTCAACTGAGATTTCCCGCCTGGAGCCAGAGGTGACGCAGTCCAAGTCCGACTCCAAGCTCAATGTCCATCGATGGCGGCAGATCACCCATCCCAAGGGCAAAAATGGGGATTCTAGGACGGCTCCCTCCTCCCCCAACATTTCCCCCTCAGAGAGCAAAAGCAGCTTCTTCAAGGCTCAGGAAGCCAAATTTGAGGACACGAAAAGGCGGTTTTCAGAGGCCATGCATGAACCCCTTAGCAGACTTAGCAAAATCATGGGGGATGAGAATAATGTTTCACCAAAACACAGATCATCACTTTCTGGCAACCAGGCCCACGATTCCCCTTCTAGCCACAGCAAGGAGACCATTTTGGAAGACAAGGAGAGCCCCACCCAGGAGACCAATCTGCATGGGGCTGTTCCAGGACAGCCATCTGGGAGGAGCCAAGTGGAGGACTATTGCCCCAGTGAAGAGAAATGGGGTCCCTCCTTGAACTGCCAGTACGAAATCTGCTCCTATGGAGATGTCATCCAAGTGGTGGAGGTTGCTGCAGACAAAAGCAGTGGCTCGGAGGAAGTGCGGATGCTTCCACCTCTGGACATCCTCCGCCCCACCAAGCCTTGTAGCAGAGTGCCATGCAAAGCGCTTGTCTGCGTCGCCATCTTGGCCTACCACTATTTTGTGCTGCCGCTGCCTCCTTACATCTCAGGCCTCTGCCTTGGCTTGGCATGTGGGTTCATGCTGGGCTTCCTCATTATTCTTCTGATGATGCCAAAGCGTTCCTTGTCTCCACGGAAAAGGCAGACATCTCTAGACCAGCTGCCATCAGAGACGCTGAATCAGCAGCCCCAGGAACCCAACATTCTTAAGGTAGGAGATAGGGGTGTTGGAAGTTGGCCATTGGTCCCATATAGACTCGTAATGTCTACACTGACAGGCAGTGGTTTTCCAGTCTTTTAGCCGGGGAACTCTCAGTCCTATTTGGGGATCGAACCCGGGACCATCTGCATGCAAAGTACATTCTCTGCCCCTGAGCTACAGCCCATCCCCAACAAATTGCCCAGTGGAACCAATCTGAGGTAGAATGCTGAAACAGAAACCCTGTCACTGGCATTTGTTTCCAGACATCTCAACTGATATTTTTAAAAATTTTATGAAATTATACATAGCTAGCTGTACTGGGTAGGGCAGGTTGACATTTTGACAACAACCTAAGATTCTGACATTTGCACAAGAAACTATAGTAACCAGAATAACCCAGAGCTTATGAAAAAGTAAAAGAAATGAAAATCTCTGGGGTGCCATTTTCCCCCCTGACCAATTGCCCATCCAGTTGGTTGAAAGGTTTCATATAATGTTTAAAAAAATTTTTTGTTTTTTTATGAATTAGTTTTTGTACCACCCTAAGAACTTTGGGGTTGAAGAGCAGGTTATGGAATGAATCAATCAATCAGTCAGTCAGTCAGTCAGTTCTAGGCCAGACATTGCCCATTCTTAACAAGGATCCCTTGGTGGTGGGGTTGGCCAAGATCCCTCAGTGAAGGGGCAGCCATTCTCTACAGTTGCCCCAGCATTAATTCATAGATTTATTTATTACATTTATAACCTTTCTTTCCTGTAATAATCTCAAGCTGCTGTTCAGTGTTCTTCCCCATTCCATTTTATCCTCACAACAGCCCTGTGAGGGAGGTTAGGCTGAGAGACCGTAGTTTGCCCAAGGTGACCCAGGGAGATTCATACGGCTGAGTGGGGATTTGAACCCTGCTCTCCTAGATCCTAGCCCAACCTGCATAGCCAGTATGTCAGGTAGAGATAGGCCAGGGAATTCATTTAGGTTTGCATTTAAAGGCAAGCCAACTTAATTTGTACTTTCCCAAGCAAACCAAAACACAGCCACCCTTTGAAATTTGCACCCCTCTGAATTAGACTGCACTCTAATAATGTGTGCAAAAATGCATATTCTAGGGTAAGGTGTCCATAACATTTTTAGTGAAGAAATACATAAAATATTAGGGAAATTTAGTTGCAACAATGTTATATTAGGAGAATTTTCATGAGGACTTAAAATCCTGTATATATTTTTTCTTCATGAAATGATAGGGGTGGGGATGAAATATAGAGTTGTATGTAGTGCTCAGAACAGATCTATTGAAATTAATAAATTAGTGATTTCCAATAACTTCAATGGGTTGACCCTGAGTAGGATCAGTCCTAGAGTACAACAACCCTGACAGGTTTGTCCATCTTTAACGTCAGGACAATGAAGGGAAAAGAAGTCAACTGTTCTCTTTCCTCCACCCCACACCTCCATTGCTGCTCCCACTGATTAGGTTATCTGAGGGGAGCGGATTGGCATTTGTGGAGGGCATCAGAAAAAATGGGTGGGTGGATTTCGTCAAGGTTCATATTGGCTCTGATTAAAATCCCCAGGTAATTCGGATAATTTCTATGTTAGCCTGACACCAGCTTGGGAGAGTATACCCATCTTTAGCTTCAAGGAGGTGTCGGCCTACTTAAGGCACGAATAATGGTTGCCAAGCAACAAAGGCGGAGGCTTTCATCTCCCATCCTGTTGCTGCACAGTCTCCATCAGAGGCAATGAGGAGGAAAGTTAAGGAGTTGCTTTAAGTTGTTTATAATATTCTGTTTTAGTGCCGTAACCTGACTTGGGACCTTAGGGTGAAGGGTTGGTAGTAAAAAAACAACCCCAATGTTCCCATGCTCCTCTCTCAACATGGATTTGTTCAACACTGAAACAGTTCTCTCACACACACCACTAGGAGAGATAATCCTTCCACTGAGAAGCAAAACTAGGACTATCCCCTTTAATAAATTAGATTAATTGATTAGAAACCTTTTTAATCAGCTAAAAAGGCACCCTCGATTAATCCAGCAACACATTATTATTATCATTTTTTTTATTTTGCTGTTAAGGCTGTTACATATTTATTTATATTATTATGCCTTATTATTAAAGTTATTTATTCATTTCTTGTTATTTGTATGTTGCTTTTCCAAAGGTAGCTCACAACACAACAGTATTGTTATTAATAATCATTTTAAAAATGCAAATCAATGCATTCTTAGAAAGACAGTCTAAAGGCTAAGGGTTGTCTGCAACTCACTGATTATTCAGGGTAGACCTATGAAAATTAGTGAAGTTTGTCATATCCATTAATCTCAGTGGGTCTTTTCTGAGTAGGACAAACACTGGATACGGCCCTCATTCCTTTCAAAACAGCATCTTAAGAGAGATATTCTTTACTCCCTTCACTTTCATACAGGTGAGAATGCCTCTTTTTAAGATGGTGTCTTCAGGGATATAGGAAACCTTCCTGGGGTTTTTTCCTGTTTAGACCAGTATTGTCTACAGTAGGAATGGGAAACCTTTTTCAGCCCAAGGGCCACATTCCATCAGGGGGCCGTACACTGGTAGTGGGCAGAACTAGAGGCAAAAGTGGGTGGAGCAATGGCTGTAACTCCGATACCTTTGTACAGTATAGGAGGCTGCATTCCATCCAGGAAAAAAGTACTTGAGGCTTTGGATGCAGGGCCAGTGAGGAGCCTGCCCTGGGGAGGGTCCCACACGCCAGACAGAAATGGCTGAGCGTTCCCCATTTCAGTGGCCCTCCAGGATCTCAGGGCATTTGCATCACCTGTCACCTGCTCCTTTCTTTATCTAGAAATGCCAAGGTTTGATCCCAGGACCTCGTTCTGTATTCAAAATATTTTCTGTTAAGTTGTGAGACTTCCCCTGTATGCACACACTGTCTATAGCCAAAAGAAGTACGATTCCCAACCCCATTCCAAAACTATTTTAGTCAGATGCAAGCACATTCATTTAGACTTAACATATACATTTTTTAAAAATTGCTTAAAAGCCATCCTGGTGAGTAAGTAGTAGTTGTTGCTGCTGCTCATTATTATTAGTAGTAGTGGTACTTTTATCTATGGGGTGTTATTGGGTTGCTGTTTTTATTCTGATTATATATGTTTCCTTTTCTGTGAACTGCCCTGAGACCTCCGGGTATAGGGCGGTATATAAACTCAATAATAATAATAATAATAATAATAATAATCTAATTACTACAATTGCTGCAACAATTTTAAGAAGGCAGCCCTAAGAAAAAAAACACACAATTTTATACCAGGAGTTTCCAATGTGGTGCCCTCCAGCCCCAGCCAGCAAGACCAATCATCAGGTGTGATGGGAGGTGGAGTCCATCTAAAAACATCTGGAGGGCCTCATGTTTGCTACCTCTGTTTTATACTGTGTGGACTGGCTACCTCCCCCACTCTAAACAGAGTTGTTTCTTTCCAGGGGTGGATGAATGAAATGTATTTCTACGATCCAGAGATCTACCACCCATCGCTTACCCACTCTGTGTTCGTGACCTTGGAAGACACCAGCATGACGCTCTCCTACCCCAAGAGCAACATCCCCCGGCGAGCCACCTTTGAGGAAGAGGACTTCAAGGTGACTTTGGTTAGTCACCGCCATTATGAAATGATTGGCGCAAAGGTGAGACACAGATGGGCAAGGAGCTACGGGGGCGGGGGCTCGCTGACAATAGTGGGCTAGCAAACAGCAAGGGGTGGAAGGAAGACTAGGAGCAGGTGCTTGGTTACCTGTTGAGTAGCATGCCGTTTGCATTTCATACAAACAAGGCAAAGGCCAAAGTAGGAAACATGAAGAGGAGCCTGCTGGATCAGGCCAATGGCCCAACTAGGTCAGCATCTTGTTCTGACAGTCGCCAAGCAGATGCCTGTGGGAAACAGGCAAGCAGGACCTGAGCACAAGAGCTCTTCTCCCTTCCTGTGGTTTCCAGCAACTGGCATTCAGATTTGCACCAGCACTGCCAGGCTATTCATGCCAGTTGTTAGCTTCATGATAACTGTAAATTTTACCGGTGCATTTGATTGATGTTTCATTATTTATTGTTATATTGTTGTTGGTTGTGAACCGCTTGGGTACTCTCTGGAGTAAAAGGCAAAAAGAAATAATAATGTGTATTTTTTTTAATAAAAAATTTTTTTTATTAGTTTTCAGTTACAATAATCCAAGAAAAGCCTCATTATAACAATAATCCCATTAATAATGCCAGTCATTCAAAAGCCAAATTATACAATTTAGGTGCCCCCCCCTGCATGCTAGAATGATGGTTTGATGATTTACTATATTCCTGCAGTCCAAAATCTTATAAATTTCCATTACACTCCAGTCAGAATAACAAACCCTTATACCGTAACTGCAGTTTTAATGACTTCCATTCGCATTAACACATTAAATGATTTATAGTCCTACAGGCGAAGCATTCAAACTCTCTCTTTGTTCTTGTGTGTGGCAGTTATTCTGTCCATGATGTTTCTTCCTGTCCTTGTAGTATATTATGTCTATCTTTTGTCAGTCGTTGCTGTTTTTCATAATGCCTTGAGCGGAGCTAGTGTTCCATTGTTGTTTCAAAAGTTCTCCATGAAATAATATTATGAATAAAGTCATAGTCATCAAATTGTAGAGTTGGAAGAGTCCCAAAGGGTCATCTAGTTCAACTGTCTGCAATGCAGGAATATAAAAACAGTTGATCCCGTAGCCTAGGACATTGGGAGCCAGTGTCATGCCTTCCAAATCCTACACAGCTCCCCCCACTCATGAACATAGGTTGTGTTGGCTGGGGCTGATGGGAATTTTAGTCCAGAACATTCGGAGGGCACTGTATTGGCTACCTCTGCCTGAAGCGATATCTTTGCAGCTTGGTACTACTGCAGCATATACTGAACAATTGCTAGTATGATTTGCAGTCCCCTGGGAGTTTACACCTTCCCTTGGTGCTCTAGGTCTTCCTCTTCCCACCTGGGCTGGCTCGCAAGAGGATGTGGAACAAGAAATACCCCATCTGCATTCTCCTCCCAGAGCAAGACGACTCAAGTAGCAAAGGCTCTGGTGAGCATGACTTGGAGCACTCAAGAGAGAAGGCTATGAAGAGAAGGCTGTCTCCAGTCCAAGAGACCCCTCCAACGCATCCAGCTGAGCCCCAGGAAAGGACTCTCTACCTCTTTGGCAGGACAGGGAGAGACAAGGAGGAATGGTTCCAGCATCTTGCAAGGGCCTCCCGGGCAGAAAGCTGTGAGCAGCGTAACGCCGTCACAAGTGAGCTCCAACATACCCTCCAACATTTCTCTGATGAAAATAAGGATGTCCTGAGGAAAAGTGGGGCATTCTGAGATCAAATCAGAAACTGGGACAGCTTCTGTAAACCTGGGACTGTCCCTGGGAAATAGAGACACTTGGAGGGTCTGCTCCAATCACACACAAAAATGTTCTTGGCACAAGCTTTTCTTTTCTCTCATTTTAACTTGGGTGTTTTAGGGGGGATACTCCTGAGATGCTGTTCACAAAACCAGTGAGTCCTGCTAGCTGCGCCTGGGAAGATGTTGCCTCAGCGAAAGCTTAGAGCAGGCATCCCCAAACTCGGCCCTCCAGATGTTTTGGGGCTACAGTTCCCATCTTCCCTGACCACTGGTCCTGTTGGCTAGGGATGATGGGAGTTGTAGTCCCAAAACATCTGGAGGGCGGAGTTTGGGGGTGCCTGGCTTAGAGTTATCTGAGAAGGGCTTGCTGGGCTTGACCCTCCAGTGACTCCACCCCTCTGGAAAGGCTGATTGTGGCATTTAAAGGGCCTGTGGAATAGTCAACGGTTCCTGCAAGGTGGTGGAGCAGGAGAGGCTGCTAGGAAATCATTTTCAGACATTGTGGGAGAGTCATGTCCTCAGGCTGGTGCAGTGTAGAAGGGCTATTCCTCAGGTGGGGTGACTGGTGCATCCTCCTCCAGCCAGCACTGGGTTCCTGAGGCAGGACACATTACACCCTAGTCCCCAAATCCTCAATTTTTGCATCACTTCCTTCTGCTTTTGCTAGCCATGGGAAGGAGCAAACTGTAGTGCAAGCGCTAAAGCCGGGAGAGGAAGGAGAGTATGAGCAATGGAAATGCTTCAGTGTCCCCTTTGGCATTGGAAATTGATCAGATATCACCCACACGCTCATAAGACTACCTTCTAATTCATAAGAACAAGACATTTGCCAAGAAACAGAAGATAAAGATTTTCAGAAACCTGAGGCTAAAATCATGTTTCCTGCTTTAACCGAAGGCAGCAAGGCTCTAATCTCCCCTTCTTTCTCTTGGCCAGGTTTAAACCAGCTCAGCCCATCAGGAAAGGGGACATGCAGCAGTGGCAGCAGCAGAGGCAGCACTGATGACCTCCTTTCTCTCATCAAGCCCAAGGACCTGGTTGTTAATGTCCGGGAGAAGCTCCTTTTGGATTACAACATGTACATGTCCCGAATAGTCCCAACAGGGACATGTTCCAGCCCACCCGAGAGCCCCTCCCACAGTACGGCAGGCAGCCCAACACCCAAAAAGGTGAGAAAACCACTGAGATTACCAGGTAATCCAGAAAGAGGGAAATGCTTTCAATATCATCCCTCAGGGGGGAGGAAGGCAAAGGGGTTAAACACTCCCTCCTGTTAGTCACTTGTCCCCCAAACTGCTTGCATTGTTTAAAAAGAAATAAAAGGAGGTCATTGCACATTTATGTATACTGTCTAGTTAGGCCCTTAAGTCCTCACCCTAAATCAGGCTTCCTCAAACTTGGCCCTCCAGATGTTTTGAGACTACAGTTCCCATCATCCCTGACCACTGGTCCTGCTAGCTAGGGATCATGGGAGTTGCAGGCCAAAAATATCTGGAGGGCTGAGTTTGAGGAAGCCTGCCCTAAATCAAAGGTAAGCCTTAGCGCATACAATGGCTTTTGTTAAATCAAGCAGAATTTGATGCCAAATGCAGATTACAAATATGCGGCAGATCTTTGGCAAACCTTCAGTGACTCTCTAGTGAACACTCAACAAAATTAACAGAGGAGGGAGAATGTTTTGGAGACACACTCTGTTCAGCTTTTGGAGGAGGCCAAAGAGGATAAACAACATCATTTACTTATTTATTTAGAAGTTCTATAAACCACGTGATCAAAGAGCTCAAAACATAGCCAAAATCCACAAATTAATTGAAAAGCAAATATGCATGAAACCATTGCTATTAACACACAGATAATTTGGTAAGACTTTTGAAACAAATATAGGTAGCTGAATTATATGGCTAGGTGGGCTTACAGAAACATACCATATTTTTCGCTCTATAACACGCACCCGACCATAACACGCACGTAGTTTTTAGAGAAGGAAAATCCATAGGCATGCCACCTCTAGGCATTCCCTCCATAACACGCACAGACATTTCCCCATACTTTCTAGGAGGAAAAAAGTGAGTGTTATGGTGCAAAAAATACGGTAAATGTTTTCAGCAGGCGTCTAAAACAATACAGTGAAGGCACCTGCCCAATCTCAATCTATTGTCAGAAATGTTTTAGAGCAATAACACATGTTATAGCACTTACAGGTGTTTAGAATGTCTTGCTCTTGGATGATCCTATACAGAATTTAAGAAACATTGCAGTACTGCGACTCCCTTTTTCCTTCTTTTCAGTTCTTTGGGGATACGAATGTCACGAGTGACACAAACACGGCTTGGGCCAATGCGTTGCTTGGGAGAATGTTTTGGGACTTCCTACGGGAAAAATTTTGGGCAGACCTAGTTTCAAACAAGATTCAGAAGAAACTAGGCAGAATCAAGGTAAGGAAATTGGCCCATTTTCTCTTCGCCTCTGTTTCTGTGTCGAAAGCAGATGCTTTACCACTGAGCTGTAGACCTTCCCTTTAGGAACCTAGGACTCTTTCTCATACTGAATGAGACCCATCTAGCTCAGTATTGCCTACACTGACTGGCAGCAGCTCTCCAAGTTTTCAAGATGGGGTTTGCCCCATATACTGGCGTTTCACTGGAAAGTAGTTTTTTGTTTCTGCCTTTCTTTGACTTCCATTCCTGCCAGATTGTTGTTGTTTCTCCTTCCTCTCTTTTGGTCTAACTCAGTTGCCGTACTTCATGAACGAGCTCACACTCACTGAACTGGACATGGGGACTTCCATCCCACAAATCCTCAGCACGTCAAGCCCGACCATCGATCACCGAGGTGAGCTGTAGCAGCATGCAGGGGGGGAACAGATTTGCACTGCCTCCCCCTAGTGGTGGGGCTGTATATGTTTCCCCTCAAAGGAGTGTTTCCCCAAATATGAATGACAAAAAGACAAAGTCACAGGAACATAATACCTGTTTCAAATTTGTGAGAAATCAATCTTAGTGTGGCGGCATCTACATTCTGAAATTCTCTGTCTATTGACATCAGGCAAGTGTCGTCGCAGTGCTCTTTTTGGCATCATCTAAAACCTTGCTTTGTTTACACAAGCCTACCCAGATATAAAGAATATTGATGTATGCTTTAATCTGGTTTTAGGTGATTGCCAATTTTATATTGCTTTAAAGAGTTGTTTTTACTTCTTTTCTAACTGATGATTTTATTGTTTTATTCTCTTTGCAAACCGCTTTGAGGGTTTTCCTTTACAGTCAAGCAACGTATAAATGTTATGGAATAAAAAGATTAAATAAATAATCAGGAACCCAGATGACAGTGAATTTAAATATGTAAGCAACTATGCATGTATATGAGTATATGTGTGTATGAAATATATAGCCACTGTATATGAAATAATGAAGTTCTCCAAACAATGCTTACGATTGGGGGAGGGGGGAATGAGAAACTGAGAGAAACCCACATTGACAGAAGGACTCATCCCTTCTCAACAGCCATGCAGATCTCCATTTGGCAGTGACCACCTCTGTCCTCTTCTCCACTCTGCAGGGCTTTGGGTGGACATGGAAGTGACTTACAGTGGATCCCTGCAGATGACCCTGGAAACGAAGATGAACTTGTACAAACTAGGCAAAGAAGCCCTGGGAGAGGAGAGTGGAAAGGCAGAGGACGGCAGGGAAGGGTAAGGCCAGCCCACCAGCCCAGCACCAGTCCGAAGAGTGTTAGCTCCCCATTCTCAACAAATCTGGCCTTTAATTACAAGAGCCTGGAAAATCATGATATGCTGTAATAGCCTCTTAGGAAAAGTTCGGATTAGACGACTCCACTAATGGGGGCAAAGGATCTATTTACAGGCCTGGCGAGCCAAGCGAAGGTTACATTTCAACCAGATAAAAGCAGGCCAGGGGACGGCAGGAATGAGAAGCAACTTGTGCTCTCTCTGAGAGATTGTGCTGAACCATCTGTTTGATGGGATCATCAACCATCTGTCCTCATCTGCCACAACAGGAGGCAGGACAGCTGGAGAATTATTGGTTCTAGGAAAGAGTCCATCGTTTAATCAAAATGGAGATCTGATTTTACAGGGTGGTGAGGACTGTTTGCTTAGGTTCTCTGGTATGTATTTGGCATTAGTAACTTTTGGTGAGTAAATAGCTGGAAGAAAGAGAGGTGGGGGATTGAGAGATATTTCCAAATGGCATTGACACCTACAGGCTTTTATTTTATTTTTACCTTTTTGTGGTTTGGCAAATGTTGTATAAAATAATACATTTTTGCACCAAATGCACCTTTTCCTTCTCTGGTTAGTAAAAGGAGCTCAGTTTCAAGGTGCTAAGAATAAGAACAGGAGCTGGAAATCATTAGGCAGGACTGGTGCTTTCATTAGATCGAGTGAGGCAGCTGCCACAGGCAGTTGAATTTGGGTGTGACGTACCTCATGATTGTAATTTTATAACATGGGACAAACCAGGCGATACAAGCAATTTCCGCACCCATTTCTCTCTCCAGCAGCTAATGCAGAAAGCACAAGCACAATGAACCTGAGAAAATGAACCTAGGAGGATGGTAGGAAGAAAGCCAGGTGTTCCCTTGCTGAGACTCAGTGGCCGAGGGTGTTTTGCTAGGCGGGAATGCTACTCCACAGACAGAGATGCTGGTTGACTTGAAAGCTCCCCAGCCGTTTCCTCCCGGCTGCTGAGAAACTCCCTTCTGGACCTCATCCTCTTATGTAGGTCACAGTCACCAGGATGCACCTTCTTAATCCCCAGGGGAAAGGAATTACATAGCGCAGGCAGTCCCTGACGCACACAGCATTGCGCAAGGGCAGGCCTTCCTTGGCCCTTGCAAATGGCTTACGTTGCTTAGGGTCCTCTCTCTCTTTCTCCCCTTGCAGTGTGAAGCCCCGCTTAGTCCTTCTGGCTGACAGCGATGCAGAGTCCTCCAGTGCTGGGTCCTCGGACGAGGAAGACATCCCCAACATGGAGCCCTCAGGGGTCCCAGGAGAAAGGGGTACCCCTCCTGGGGCTGAAGGGTAAGACCAACTAGAGACAGCACAGAACAACCCCCAACAACCTGTTGCCCTCCAGATGCTTTGGACGACAACTCCCATCAGCCCCAGCCAAGCACAGCCATTTGGGACTACAGCTCCCATCAGCCCCTGCAGCTATAGGGCGAAAATGGGGAGGGGAGAGCTATGAACCCCACCCAGGGGTGCTGGCTCCTGGGGCCGAGCCCTTTTGGACCCCTCAAATATTTTTGGGGTAGGTGCTGGGCACCTCCAATGTCCAAGAAGTGCAGAGGGAAAACCTGGAGCGTGGTGAGGTTCCACTGGCTGGCTCCTTCTCCTCCTCCTGCCATGGAGGAGGAGAAGGGTTGAAGCAGCCTCCTGCCAGTGGTGGCACCAGGAGGAGGTGAAGGAGAAGCCACCTGCCATTGAAGCTGTGTGGCTGCCACACACACACAGCTCCTCCCGATATCCTGACGTCACGCGCATCAATGTCATGACGCAACGTCAATGTCACGCATGATGCCACACACGCGGCATTCCCCCCCCCCCAACACCCTCGCAAGCTGGTGCCTCTGACCCCACCTTGAGCTCCTTGGAAGAAAGGCGGGATATTAATGTCATAAGCAAATAAACAAACAAACTCAAATCTACACTGACCAAATTGCCACTTTCAGCAACTTTGGGGTCACATACTCTATGTTCCATGACTTGGGCATATGTCCCTTGCCCAAGACTCGCCTATGTTTCGTGGGCCAAGGCTGACCCTGACTTTGTTTTCTCTCAGCCACGTCAGCGGAAACAGCACCAGCCGGAAGATCCTACGCTTTGTGGACAAGATTGCCAAGTCCAAGTACTTCCAGAAGGCCACCGAGAACGAGTTTATTAAGAAGAAGATAGAGGAGGTCTCCAACACCCCCTTGCTCTTGACGGTGGAGGTCCAAGAGCTGACAGGCACACTGGCTGTGAACATCCCACCGCCCCCAACTGACCGAATCTGGTAGGAAGCTAGAAGGCAGAGAGGGGAACAGGCCTCAAAGGGTTTGCTGGGGCCTGTACTGTGTGACCAGACTGGGGCAAAGGGAAGGCAAGTGAGAAACCCTTGTCCATCTAGCTCAGCAGAGCAGGCTCTCTAACAACAGCAGTCCGGGTAGCCCAGAGAAGTCCACAAGATGGTGTTGCAGAACTGGGCTGCATATATTCCAGGCTACTTCAGTGCTTCATCTCTTAGCAAAAAAATAATCACTGGTGGGGCGGGGGCATCCAAGAATGTAAGGATGGGCTCATTGTAATAGTTGCAGAGGGAAAGGGAGAGTTTACATGAGTCTTTTCTGCCTCCCTGCTCCAGGTACAGCTTCCGGACTCCACCACAGCTGGATCTGAAGGTCCGCCCAAAGCTGGGGGAACGAGAGGTCACCTTCATCCATGTCACAGAATGGATTGAGAAGAAGCTTCAGCATGAATTCCAGGTACCTGTCTCCGGAAATAAGCCAGGTTCCTAAAATAGGCCCGCTGGGCTCAAAGCAAGGAATGGAGTCTAATAAGTCATTCGTTACCACAAGATTATAGAATCATAGAATCATGATGGCCACCTGGTTAGCCAACTTTTCTGAAAGCGATGAGACAGATTGCTGAAGGATAGGTCTGGCTAAGGCTGTTTACCAAAACAGCTATAAGCACAGGAAGCTGCCTTGTACTGAGTCTCATCAGTGGTCCATCTAGCTCAGTATTGTCTACACTGACAGGCAGCAGCTCTCCAGGGTCTCAGACAAGGAGTCCCTCCCTGCCCTACCTGAAGATGCCAGTGGGACCTGCTGCATGGAAACAAGATTCTCTACCACTGAGCTACAGTCCTTCTTTCTTGGGGAATAGAAAACAGCCTTAGCCCAAGTCAGACCATCAGTCCTTCTAGCCTAGTATTGTTTACAATGACTGGCAGGGACTTTCAAGTGTTTTATGCAGGGCATATTCCCAGCGCTACCTGAAGGTGCTGTGGGGGATTGAACCTGGGGACTTCTGCATGCAACACAGGTGTTCTCTTATCAGTGGGCTTTTACAGTTACCCTGAATGGAGTCTTCCTGTTGAATCTGCCATGTGATGAAAAAAGCCTGCTGGGGGGAGATGCTGGTGGTGGTAGCAGAACCAGAAGTGGGTTTTACACATAGAGTGCACACTCTGTTGTGGCACTGAAAACTTACTGAGCTGAGCATTCAGAGGCACCTTGTCCCTTACTGTATTTTTCGCTCTATAAGATGCACTTTTCCCCTCCTAAAAAGTAAGGGGAAACGTGTGTGTGTGTCTTATGGAGTGAATGCAGGCTGTGCAGCTATTGCTGAAGCCAGGAGAGCAAGAGGGATCGGTGCACGCTGATCCCTCTTGCTCTCCTGGCTTCAGGGATAGCCACGCAAAGCCTCTTGAGTACAGCTGGAGCACTCCTGCCTCTTCGCTCAAGAGGCTTTGCGTTGCTTTCTTGTTTCTTGTTATCTCCCCTAAAAACAAGGTGCGTCTTATGGTCGGGTGCGTCTTATAGAGCGAAATACGGTAATTCTGAGAAGACAGTGTCCCACCCAGCCACTATTGTGCACCTGGCTGGTGGGTCCTGGGGTTCCAGTAAAAAACCACAGCCAAGCAGAGCCTGCAAACCTGAAGGCTGCCTATCCTTGGTGTAATGGCATCAAGAGGTGGACTAAGCTGTGGCACCCATTAGAGAGAGGAGATGGAGCTGCCCTGTTCAGACACATCAATGAGTTTCCTGCAAAGCGCATTTCCACCATAGGTTGCCTCCAGACTGCTACCGCCTCGCAGGAGGGTTTGAAGCACATACTGGAGCTCTAGGCTTCCACATTGAAAGTGGATCAAAGTGCAACAAAACCACTTTAAAAGCAAACAGACGTATACTTCTTGTGGTTTTGAAAGTGACAGAGAAATGCACTGGAGAGCATGGGTGCTCAGTAAAGTCTGGATCAAACCTCAGTGTTAGCTTTGTGGAAGTATATCAAGATGAATGCTCAATAAACAGACGCTGGAGAGGCACATAGAGAGCACAGTTCTCAGCAGATCATCTCCATTATATAGATCACTTGGCTGCACCGAGCCTTCTAGAGGCATTTTTGCTTGCAGAAAACTTGGTGGCATATTTCTAACCTGATTTCTTTTCTCTCCCTCCCACCCCTTCAACCCCTTAGAAAATTTTAGTGATGCCAAATATGGACGATCTCATCTTACCCCTCATGCATTCTGGTTTGGAATCCCAGCTGCCCACAGAAGGACTCCAGAAGGAATTCCCAAGAGAGGGCACAGCAAAATTTTGAGGAACTGCCCACTGGTGGGTTGGCTGGCTCAAGATGCTTGATGGGGTCCTCCAGGATTATCAGGGCCTGCAAACCCATCATCACCCTTGAGCCACACTGCTGGTCTCATCTCTGCTGGCTCATCTCTTCAGCTTGTCGTTCAGGGGCTTCTCTCCAGCAAAAGAGGTCCCCCCACCCATCCTTTGGATATTTCACAGGGTACATTTCTCAGTGTGGAGGAGATACTCCAAGATTCTCCCTTACAAGCACCAGATTCCTACCAGTGCAAGGAAGAATTTCTGTAGTGCTTTCATTAGCTTTGCAAAGAGGAAAAAAAAGTAGGGGAGATTCCAAGCCCACTTCCACCTAGGTCCCGTCTTTGCAAATAACAGCCATGTTAAGCATCTTTTAAATGTCAGAACAGTCATTAAAACTGAAGAGGCCAAAGAAAAGAGGGGATGACAAGGAAAGAAAGGGTTCTTTCTGCAAGCAGTCTGAAGTCCTCCTATTTCCACCCAGGTTTGCAATGGTGGGGAGAGAAATCCCAAAATCTGAACATCCAGCCTCTGAGTGAATCATCTCTCTGACCTCCTTGCTACTCACAAGCCAGAGGAAAGGAAACAGAGAGAGTTAACAGTAGAAGCGTTTGTATTTCCCCCGGGAAGGCATGCAAGGAACCTGTGAAGAACATCACACAACTCTTTACTCTGTGAAAATTCTCCCATCTCCTGATGAGGGGAGGGGAGGTTTAAGGGAATTCAAGCCTCCAAATTGATGAGGAAAGTGTGGAGTGCAGGTTGAGACCAAGCAAGAATGTATCACCACTTTAACAGTCAAGGCTCCCCCCAAAAAGAAGGAATCCTGTGAACTTTAGTTTGTTAAAGCTGTTGAGAATTGCAGCTCCGTGCAGGGAATAGGGAGTCTCCTAAGGCACTCTCAGTGAATGGGGTGGAATAACATACTGACCACACAATTTACGTAATTCATTATGTGGCTTTTTAAAATTCAAATCACAAATTCGGAAGAGGGTTTTCGGCAGGAAAGGCTCAACCTCCCCTCACCCTGGCTATGCCCTAATTGTGATCCAGAACAGCGCCATCCCCTTCCACGGCTGGTGGCTGATTGCAAAGAGAGGGGACTGGTGCTGCTGACCACAGGGATTTAAAAACATACTCACAATTGCATCTAGACTAATCCTTAGGATGCCTGAGCATGTGGACTCTGCAGCTGGGACACTCCAGGGCTGGAGGCTGTGGCCAATTTCATGACAGTCTTTGGTGGGGGTAGGGAGGAGGTTTTCAAAGCTCCACAATGACCTTCTTGGAGGTGTGCTATTTACTGCTGTGAGATTAGAGACTATCGAAAAAGGCAACCAAGGAACCATGAGTGGAGGAACAAGGCAAGCGTTGCTTCTGGAGGCTTAGCCCTGTTATCTGAGTGCTAAAGATATGGACTGCCTATGTTAGAAAGAGAAGCATATTGTGTTAATTCCTGAAACTTTTCCATGCTGTGCTGCAAGTGAGGCTGAAAAGAGAGGTGGCTCTCCTTTCTCAATAGTTATATATACCCTCTGCCTGCCTAGAGCACCCCAGCCCACCTTTGCAACCCTGCCTCTAAACCAGCCTTCCTAATACCCTCCCACAATGTTGGACTACAGCTCCCATCAACTCCAGCTAGCATAGCCACTGTGGACTACAATCCCCATCAGCCCCAGCCAGCATTGGTGGGAGCTGATCAGAGTTGCAGTCTGAAACAGCCTAAGGGAACCAGGTTGGGGGAAGATGCTCTAAACCCATGTCATGTCCCAGGAGATTTCACATCAGGGAGATTCAGCAATGCAAAGGAAGCCGAGCCGGTCGTGACAGCTCACCTGGCAGCATGAAGTGGGTTTTAGAGGTACTGTTTCCGTTTCCCATGCAATAAAACATTTTAACAGAGCAATAGCTTTGGAAATTCACGACAATGAAATGGTTGCAACTAATCAAAGGGCTTTACAAACCATGGGTGACGTGTGAGCCAGAGGCAACTAGAAATGATGGGGAAGGTGAAGGGAAATAAAGGTTTGCATCGATTCCTGGGGGTGTGCTTGCTTTTCTTATTCCTTGTGTCTCTTGCATTTGGTCTCTGTCAAAGTACCCAAAGAGGCAGAGCTGCTCGTTCTGATGGTAAAAGCTGTTCAACAGTGGAATGGACTTCCTCAGGTGGTGGACTCTTCTTCCTTAGAGGTTTTAAGGCAGAGGTTGGATGGTCGTCTGTCATGGATGCTTTAGTTGAGATTCCTGCATTGCAGGGAGTTAGATTAGATGACCCTCTGGCACCATTCCAACTCTACAATTATACGATTCTATGATTCTAAGTCCAGATGTTGCTATAAATGCATGGCCCTGAAAGACTTCTGAGACAAATGTGGGGGGCATATACCTTTTCGAGAACATAACACTAATCACCGGTTTTGTTTCAGTGTATTCATGTTTGCAACTATTCAAAGCAGCGACAAAGTTGGACTGGAGTCCGGAAACATCTTAGGAAAAACCCTTTTCACAATTCCTCCTGGGTTTCCACCTTCCCCTTCACCAGGTGCTTCTTCTGTGGGCCCTGGAACAGAAGCAGAAAGAAATGGCCATGGAATCTTAAAAGCTATGCTTGCAAGACAAAAGGCAATACTTTGCATCAGAGGCAAAAGGGGGCTTTTGTACCTTTCTGCTCTTTTTGCTGTTTTGTCTCCACAAGGAGTGAGAGGTATTGGAGATGTTGCAGGGCAGCCTGTTTTCCTGACTGGTGCAAAACAACCCTTCATTTCCAACAAATGTGGCTAGCAGGGGTAGGCAATGTAGTGCCTCCTCTCCAGGTGTTCTGGACTAACAAATCTCATCACTCCTATTTTTCAGGTGCAAAAGAGAGCAGTACAATACCTAATGGAGTATCTTTGGCTGGTATTTGGCCACATTCCCCTGGCTGGGGCCTTCCAGGTGCTTTGAACTACAACTACCATCAGCCTCATCCAGCACAGCCATACAGTGCTGTGGCTGAAGGGAATTGAAGTCCAAAACATCTGGAGGGCACCAGATTGGGGAAGGCTGGTCATCCACCTAATGCTTTCCCTAAAATTTCTCACTTTTTGTTTGTCTGAATTGAAATGGAAAAGATACTTGGGATCAAAAAAAATCTGTTCTTGGGCAATGTGTAAATCTCAAAGAGGATATTGCAAAGCTGGATAAGGCACAGGAAAGGGTAATCAAAATTATCAGGGGTGTTAGAGCAACTTTCCTATGCAGAAAGGCTACAATAAGTGTAGGCTTCTTAAGTGTTGGGGGGAGGCAAATAAGATAGGACTTGACAGAAGTTTGTAAGATGTAGAGATATCTCCCCCATAATACTAGAACCCAATGGAAACAAGCTGAAGCTTGGGTAGCTGTGATTCTTGCATTGCAAGTGCTGGGGTTCCTTCCAACGCTACAGTTCTATGAGTCTGTAAGTTTCAGGACAGAGAAAAGAAATGGCACAATGGGGTTATGCTTCTTAGATGTGCCCCAGGTAGGAAGAAGTTTTAGTACCCTTATCCCAAGTATTGGTTGGCAGCTCTGCTTCCCCCAGTCACATTTGGTCTTATATCCTTCCCAAAGGGTTTTTTTCTTCTCTGCATCATGTTTCGCGGCTAAGACTCACCATGAAAGCACGCTTTTCTTGAGCCGTCTGGAAGTGTCCATGACCAAACTTGGAGGTTGTGTCAATGAATTTCAGCTCCACGGGTTCCAGGGCCTTCCTGCTTGTATGGACTAGAAGGGACTGGAAGAAGGGAAAGGGGTCCATTAAATGAAAGTGCAAGGGTGAGGGGGAAGAGTTTTCTGTGGGGAATCGCTTGTTGAACATAGACAACTTAGCTGAGTGACATGGGGACAACCCTACCATTAGGCAAGGTGAGACGACCACCTCAGGTGGAAGACATGGAGGTGAGGCAGCTGCTTGACTATTCTCTATATGTTGGTCTTACACCATTTGTTGGCATCTGTCTGTCTTGAGAGACAATGGAGTGCACCTCTAGGGGTGAAGTCAAACCGCGGAGAATCACAGTGTCTGCTGTGGCAGCAGAGACCAGTAACTTGTAACTGCTGCCTCAACCCAATGTACGGTAAGTTTGTACTGGTGGCGGGCAATTTAAGTGCAAAACCCTTGCCACAGGCCAGTCCCTGGTCTGTCGAAAGGGAACCTTGCTAGGGCAAGGTTAACAATAATAAATGCCAGTAGTCTTAAATCGTAAGAACAAGAATGATTGCTTAACGTTTATCTCTTGCCTTCCTTAAGGTGTTTATAAAGGCTGCTCATTGTATTTCATGTTTCTTAACTTCTTGTGGCCCTCACAACGCTCCTGTAAGGCAGGCCGATGTTATTGTCAGCAGCTCCCAAAGCCCTTCAGAGAATGGACGCTTAGCTGTAGCCCCAACTTCCCTTCTCCCTTGGGAAGAAAGCACCTACAGTCTCGTGCCATTATTAGCACTACTGTTGATTATTACTTCAATTCATTTCCCACCTTTCACCATCAGGTCCCAGGGTGGGTTATGACAAGTTAAGAGACAATATCCAAAACAGTTTTAAACAAATTAAAGCCCCTGGAATAAGGTGATGTCAGGGAACTGCCATCGGACGGAAGGGAGGTGAAAGGGCTCACACAGGTTGGGAGAGACTCAGCAGCTGAAGAGGGAACCAGTAGGGGGAGAGGAGCTGAGCTGAGGGAAAGTGAGCTGGAGGGATGGCTCAGAGACACTTCCAGCGAAAACAGTGGGGAGGTTTCAGGACCTCCTGTAGGGACACCCACTCCTCGCCGGAAACTGACACGCAGAGAGTCCAGAAGACGTGTTTCCGTTAAGGAGCTTTTATGTTGGAAGCGATTCAAAGCAACCACTGTCGGAATCTGCTAGTGACTAGAGGAGCCATGTCTGAGGGGCTCCACACAGACAGAGGTTTGTGGACTTGAACAAACTCTGAGGGGATACGATTTTACGCACAAGCAGCTCATCATCCCATCACAGCATTCCGACAGTCTTTGAAAGCAGCTTGTGCAGGAGAAGGCATCATGAGCAACCCAGCCGGAACCGGAGAAGCAGGAGCTGGAGCGGGTCCAAGCCTGGAAGAAAGGTACCGGGTGTTGGAGGTCCAGCTAGCGATGCAGACGGCGAGGCTTGAGGAGAGGAGGGCTCAGGATGCAGACAAAAGGGGAAAGCCACCCAGCTCGCCAGAAAGGTACCAGGATTGGTGCAGAAGTTTGGGGGGGAGCCCAAAGACTATCATGGCTTTCGGACAGAGATGCAATATGCCCTCAATCTGCAGTTTGATGAATTCCTGACGAGGAATCACGAGTGGCTTTCGTGATTGAGCATCTTGAAAAGGGGGCGAGAGACTGGGTTAGACCCCTGATGGCAGCGAATAGTGACGTCCTAAAGGACACGATGAAGTTCTTTCGCGCCATGGATCTGATGTTTTCCAGCGATATTGAACAGGGAGTGGTGCGCAGACAGTTAATGGCTTGCAAACAGGGGAGCCGATCTGTCCGTGAGTACTGGACTGAGTTCACCATGCTGGTTCACAGATTGGGGTGGGACTTATCGGCGGAACCCATTCAAATGCTCTTTGAAGAAGGGCTTTCTTCGGCTGTGAAAGACGAACTTTCCCGGGCGCCCAGGGCGGAGTCTATGGACCAGCTGACCAAACCAGCGCTGACCATAGGAGCGCGCCAGGAGGCGAGAGCATTGGAGAGGCGGGAAGGGAAAGGGGAACGTTGGAAGGAGTTCCGCATTCCAGACATTCCAGAGCCAACTTTCCCGCCGGCAGAGCCGATGGAAATCGGAACAGCGCGCGCGCGCGCAGTTTCAAAGCCCAGTGAGGGGGGAAAGAAGGAGGGAAAAGGCGCCCGGAAATGCTATCTCTGCCAACAGCCAGGTCACTTTGCCAGAGTCTGCCCCCAGAGGAAGGAATGGCAAGGGATGGTAGGAGCTGTGGAGGGAAGAGAGGAAGAAATACCGGAGCAAGTAAAGCCAACGCCTGGCTGCCACTGTCGGGGCACAGCAGCCAGGCCAAAGAGCAGTGAGAGTGCCCACGCCAGAACCTCCTAAACCCGCCCTAGTGATAGAAGTGACGCTAGAGCTGCCAAACGGACACCCTCTAAAGATAAAGGCGCTGTTGGACTCAGGCAGCTCCTGCAATTTCATGAGCAAAGAGTTTGCAGCTGAACACCAGATACAGACGATCCTTTAAGCAACCCCTGCAGGTGACCACGATCGATGGCAGGGAGCTGTTGGGAGGAGAAGTCAGCTTGCAGACCGTCCCAATGATAATGAAGGTAGCAAGGCACACCGAACTGATAGCTTTTAATGTGGCCACCTTGGGAGGAGCTCCCATTATATTGGGGATGAGCTGGCTAGCGTTACATGATCCGCTGGTGGGCTGGCATCAGAGAGTGGTTTCTTTTGGTTCAGCACATTGCTTAGAACACTGCAAAGAGGGAAAGGGTTTGGCAGGGGCCCAAGCCACCCTAGCAGGGACTGAAGTAACGGAGAACGTGAAGGTACCACGACAATATGCAGATCTCCGTGACGTCTTCAGCGAAAGGGAAGCTGACCAACTACCCCCGCATAGACCCTTTGACTGTCAAATCAATTTACTCCCTGGGGCACAGCTCCCTGTAGGCAAGCTGTACGCCATGTCAGACAGAGAGATGCAGGAGCTAAGAGAGTTCATTGACAAGAACCTGAAGAGAGGGTTCATCAGAGAGTCCAGGGCGGTGGGGGCAGCCCAGTGTTTTTTGTGGATAAAAACACGAACAAGCCGAGGCTGGTGTGTGACTTCAGGGCCTTAAATGCAGTGTCAGAACCAGTGGCCTTCCCTATGCCCAGGATTGACGACATTTTGACAAGGGTGCGGAAGGGAAAGATTTTCACAAAGCTGGACCTAAGGGGGGCGTACAACCTGATACGAATAAGGAAGGGTGATGAATGGAAAACCACCATGTTCACCCCTTTAGGGGCATTTGAATATTTGGTTATGCCCTTCGGCCTCCAAGCAGGCTCCGCATGCTTTCAATCGCTTATGAACCACGTCCTGGGGCCTTTGCTTTACAAGAATTGTGTGGCCTTCTTAGACGACGTGTTGGTGTATTCTGAGAATGAGGAGCAGCATGTGAGAGACGTCAGAGAAGTGTTGAGCAGGCTGCAAGCCAACCAGCTGTGGGTGAAACTGGAGAAGTGTCAGTTTCATACCAAGGAGGTGGAATTCCTGGGGTATCGCCTGTCAGACAAGGGATTGGCCATGGATCCCGGCAAGGTCCAGGCGGTGCTGGAATGGAAAACACCCAAAACAAGGAAGGATGTGCAGAGGTTCCTAGGATTTGGGAACTTCTATCGTAAGTTCATCCGAAACTTTGCCCACCTGACGGCGCCCATTACGGACTGTCTCAGCAGTAAGAAGAAGTTCGCTTGGACTGAGGAGGCGGAGCGAGCATTTGAGGAACTAAAAGGGCCTTCGCCTCGGAACAACAACTCCTGCATGTGGATTTACAAAACCGATGAGAGTGGAAACTGACGCATCAGACAGAGCGATTGGGGCGGTGCTTCTGCAGCCAGGGAAGGAGGAGTCAGAGTGGAGACCGTGTGCCTTTTTTCGCGAAAGCTGAACAAATCCGAGAGGAACTACACGGTGTATGACCGAGAACTACTAGCCATTCATGAGGCGTTCCGGAGATGGAGGCACCTGCTAATTGGCGCACAACATAAGGTGCAAGTGTGCACTGACCACAAGAACCTAGAGTATTGGAGGACGGCACGAGTGCTCAACCAACGGCAAGTGAGATGGGCCCAGGAGTTCTCCAAATTTAACTTTGAGATTTGTTACGTGCCAGGCCCAGAGAACATTAGGGCGGACGCTCTCTCACGCAAACCTGAATATTTGGAGGGGAGGGAGCACCAAGAGAGACATGTCATTCCAGAGGACCGCTGGGTGTGTGGGGCGGCATTGGTGGGACAAAGAGAACTGGTAGAGGAAACAGAGAATGATGAATACGCCCAGAATAAGCTCAGAGGTCTTAGGGGTGAGCGAGAGGAACCAGGGGGTTTCGAGGAAAGAAATGGAGCTTTGTATTACAAAGGGGCACTGTATATCCCTGAAGGAGACTTAAGGTGAGGGTACTCAAGCAGTTGCACGACAGCCCTACGGCGGGGCATTTTGGACAACACAAAACCATGTGGTTGGTCACCAGGGAATTTTGGTGGCCCAAGGTGAGGGAAGATGTACGTGAGTATGTAAGAGGGTGCGAGCAATGCCAGCGAGCCAAAGGGGAAAGGCGGGCGCCGGCGGGGCTATTAGAACCCTTACCAACCCCAGAACGACCTTGGGAGGCAGTGTCGATAGATTTTATGACTGATCTGCCGAAGTCCAAAGGGAAAACAGCCATCATGGTGGTGGTGGACCTACTAACAAAGATGTGCCACTTTGTAGCTTGCTCGCATGCAGTCACGGCGGAAGAGACAGCGAAGTTATTTGTAGAACACATTTTTAGGTTGCACGGGGTGCCATTGAGGGTGGTCTCAGACCGAGGAAAACAATTTACTTCCAGGTTCTGGAGGAAGCTCATGAGCTTACTGCAGGTGGAGGTCAATTTTTCGACTGCCCGGCACCCTGAAACCAACGGGCAGGCGGAAAGAGCAAACGGTGTCCTCCAGCAATACCTGAGGTGTTATGTCAATGACAGAGAGAATGACTGGGTAGAAAAGTTGGCGCTGGCGGAATTTGCCTACAACAATGCCGAGAATGTGTCCACAGGGATGAGCCCCTTCTTGGCTAATTATGGGTGTCATCCCAGGGCTTTCCCAGGGGAGATGGGGAGAGATGGAGCGTCCCGGCAGCCGAGCATTTTGTAGAAGAAATGGAAGCAATCCATTGTCAGCTCCAACTCAACTTAGAAAGGGCGAAGGAAGAATACAAGAGGCAAGCAGACAAGAACCGAAGGGAAGGTGAAACCATAAGGGTGGGAGATAGGGTGTGGCTGTCAACCCAAGGGCTGCCGCTCAAAGGAGGTTGTAAGAAATTAAGACCCAGGAGGTTGGGTCCCTTTGAGGTCATTCAACAGGTCAACCCAGTGGCTTTCAGGCTCCGGTTACCCAACCACATGAAACTGCACCCAGTATTTCACAGGTCGTTACTGTCACCGTACGAAGGGGGACGAGAAGGGATGGCCACTGGGACCGGTCATAGAAGAAAGAGAATGCAGCAGCCATGTGGCAGAAATCCTCGACGCCAGGTGGAAGGGGAATCAGGTGGAGTATTTGGTAGCGTGGGAAGGAGAACCGGAGTCAGAAAACACTTGGGTAATGGCCGAAGATATCAATGACGAGGTATTGATAGAAACGTTCCATCAAAGGTTCCCAAGGAAACCTCAGCCTGTGGAGAGGTTCCGGAGGGAATACTTTGGGACCACTGATGAGGAGGAGGAGTTGGAAGGCTTCCCGGACTCGGAAGGGGAAGGGGAGATGGACTCTGAGGAGGAGGAGTACTTCGAGACCAGGAACCGCAACAGGTGGAGAGAAGTGTTCGAGACATCGGAAGATGAAGGAAGTTCATTCCGGGTTTTGCCTCCTCACCGCCCGTAGAGGAGGGGGCGAGAGGGGGTGAAGGGGGCCCTGGAGGGGGAGGTGGATGTCAGGGAACTGCCATCGGACGGAAGGGAGGTGAAAGGGCTCACACAGGTTGGGAGAGACTCAGCAGCTGAAGAGGGAACCAGTAGGGGGGGAGGAGCTGAGCTGAGGGAAAGTGAGCTGGAGGGATGGCTCAGAGACACTTCCAGCGAAAACAGTGGGGAGGTTTCAGGACCTCCTGTAGGGACACCCACTCCTCGCCGGAAACTGACACGCAGAGAGTCCAGAAGACGTGTTTCCGTTAAGGAGCTTTTATGTTGGAAGCGATTCCGAAAGCAACCACTGTCGGAATCTGCTAGTGACTAGAGGAGCCATGTCTGAGGGGCTCCGTCACAGACAGAGGTTTGTGGACTTGAACAAACTCTGAGGGGATACGATTTTACGCACAAGCAGCTCATCATCCCATCACAGGTGACTACCAAAGACAGATATTTGATGTGTCAAGAGAGGTATATTCAGCATACAACAGATGCTGTCTAGCAAAGGTGCACAACTTTGGGGCTGCTCCAGAGATTGCTCTCTCCTGGACTACAAGCACCCCAAATGCCTGAGGGTGGTGCAGCTACCAAGAGGGCCCCTTCTGCTGACCTTAACACCTGAGAGTGTGCCTGTAGGGAAGGAGGCAGTCTTTCAGGTATCTGGGGGCTAAGTCATTTGGGGCTTTAAACACTAACACAAGTGCCTTGAATTGGACATGGAAATGAACTGGCCACCTGCTCATTGCTTGGGTCCAAATCCAACCAGTCTCCTTTGGGCCCCACCCACCCTCACAGGAAGTCACATCTCCCTCACAGTCCATGTCTCTGATACAGGCCTCACCTTCCTGAGGGTCAGCACCCGCTTCTTGGTGCCCACCACACAACCCTTCACCATCACGAAATCATTGTTGACTTCTCCATACTTAGGAAATCCACCCTGGGGGCAGAAAGGTGCATTAATGTAGAGAAGGAAGCTGCAGCGCCAGGGAGAGAGTGCCCACCACAAATCTGGGCACGAGTACATAAGGGGAAGGACCATTGTTATAGTCAAGGGTTTGAGTCCCACATTGGTCAAAAGGTTCCTGCATTGCAGGGGGATTGGATTAGATGACCCTTGTGGTCCCTTCCAACTCTATGATTCTATTTTACCAGCGGGGTAATTGTTTTCTCAGTTGTGTCGTAATTGGTGGAGGCATTGTTCTTCACCACTTTGCCATCTTCTATGTGAACCCCGCGCCCAATGCGGTAAACCTAAGGTGAAGAAGAGATGAGGCTCAGTTATGTTTGCACTTTTGTTGTTGCTGTAGTTAACAAATTAATATTAACAAATAAATAAAAAACCAAAATCAACTATTACTCCATCTTTCCACCTGGCACTTTTGAACCTGTACATGGAAACAACGGAATTTGAAAAGTACCAGCAGCCTGGAACTGTATTGTTAAATCCTGGAAGACCTTTAATCTTAATAGGATTTATGGCATTCAAGGGTTTTACAAATTGCCCTTCTTTAAAAGATTTGTCACAAACCAAAAGTATTTAAAGGGCAAAGCTTGAATGACCGGGTTTTATTCATATACGGCATGATTTCATTTCTTATTGAAATAGGCAACACCAGTATACGCCAATGTCTGGCTCCTTTAAGGCTACATAGAATCTTTATTCTCAATGATGATGGAACTCACAGGTGGAGAATACTTTTATTTTTATAAATCTATATTACTTGTAAAGAGAACCTTTGTACGAGTAAATACTTTATAAACCCCTTGGATCTGCGCTATACCTTTGTCCTTCTAGGCTGTGACACTTTATGGTTTACATTTTTGAGTCTTTGTTTCTTTTAAAAAAGAAATTAACAACAAAACAAAGAGTTCAGGTGCTGGGGAACTATTGCCATCAGCATCTCCCAGACTCCCAAGAGATTGGGTGAGCAGGCGGGTATGGGGTGGTGACGTCAGCCTGGGGCCAACCGGCAGCAGACTCAAGTCCATTGTGAATGAGCCCAAAAGAACAGGAAGGAAGGAAGGTGAAGGAAGAAGGGCACTGTACCTTCTTGTTAAGTTCTGTGCGGTGATGGTAGCCTTTCTGGCCAGCCCGGGCAATGGAGTAGCCCACCCGGGCAGGATGCCAGGCTCCAATGCATGCGACCTTACGCAGTCCTTTGTGAGTTTTCCTCGGGAGTTTCTTAGCATGCCACCGACTTGTCACACCTAAATGAAAAAGGTCATGTTGTTAGAGGTTGTTAAAGTCTCCCTGCGTGAGTTTTTCTCAGACAGCCCTAGAGGTGCCAGGGATCCATGCAAAGTTCAGCCTACCTCAACTATGCTATCTTCCTGAAAAATAAAGCAAGATTCTAGTTCTCACAGAATCAGACTAAAGGGCTGATTGAAATAGAAACATAAGAAGCTTCCTTATACTGATCAAGCCTTTGGTTCATCTATCTCAGCTGTCTACACTGATTAGCAAAGGCTCTTCGGGTTTCAGAAGACTGGGGTTTCTTCCAGTCCTAGCTGGAGATACCAGAGATTGAACCCTGGAACCTTCTGCATTCAGACCAGAAGCTCTACCACCGAGCTACAGCCCTTTCCTTTATGGACTACAACTTACATTAGCTCCCATCACCATGTCTGGGGCTTGTAGTCCAAAATATCTGCACAGCACCAGGCTGGGGGGAGGCGCTCTAAGCCATGAAACAGAAAAAAAGGCCTAGATGTTCTCAGCAGCAATGAGGTCTAGAAACTTGTTTTCCCAAAATCCTGGGTACTCCTGGAATCAATCATTTTCTTCTGGGGCAGCATTTTGCATATTTTGGGCCTCAAAAGCGTGCAGATTCCTACCACCCACCCTTTCCCCTCCCTTATCAAGGCTATGATAGCAACTGCCCCAAGTCAATCTGGCCACAAGCTATGCCAGCCTTCCCCAGCCTGGTGCCCTCCTGATGTTTTGGACTACAACTCCCATCAGCTCCAGCCAACAAGGCCGTATTAGGCTGGGGCTGATGGAAGCCGTAGTCCAAAACCAGCGAAGACCTGGGTGACCTTAGGTCAATCACTGCCTCTCATGGTTGTTGTGTGGATTGAAAGGGGGTGGGGGAGAACCACGTATGTCCCCTTGAGCTCCTGGGAGGAAAAGGTGGGATATCAATGCAATGGGACGCGGGTGGCGCTGTGGGTTAAACCACGGAGCCTAGGTCTTGCCGATCAGAAGGTCGGCAGTTCGAATCCCTGTGACGGGGTGAGCTCCCGTTGCTCGGTCCCTGGTCCTGCCAACCTAGCAGTTCGAAAGCACGTCAAAGTGCAAGTAGATCAATAGGTACCACTCCAGCGGGAAGGTAAATGGCATTTCTGTGTGTTGCTCTGGTTCGCCAGAAGCAGCTTAGTCCTGCTGGCCACATGACCTGGAAGCTATACGCCGCCTCCCTCGGCCAATAAAGCGAGATGAGCGCCGCAACCCCAGAGTTGGTCACAACTGGACCTAACTGTCAGGGGTCCCTTTACCTTTATCAATGCAATAAATAAGTAAAGTAATAAAGAAAGCATCTCTATGCCAAGGCTCACCACTGCTCCTTCCTACCTTTCATCCCATGCCCCTTAGTGACACCAATGACGTCAATCATCTCGTTCTGGGAGAAGACGGTGCTGACAGGCACTTGCTTCTCCAGCTTCTCATGAGCCCAATCCACCTTCTCTGCCACGGTGCCCCCGTTCAGCTGGATCTCCATGATGTGAGCCTTCTTCTGCCTCAGTGGCAGGAGCTTCATCTGCAGCCAAAGAAGCTCAACGTTAACACAATGCAACAGAGAGAGAGTGCCACCGCTTTGCAAAGAACTGTTCTTCCCTAGGGCTGCCCCAGAGGATTATGGGAAGGCTTCACCTGGGTGTGCACAATGATGCGGATGACCTTGCAGTACTTCTTCATGGCTGCGAAATCCTTCTCCAGCTGCTTCTTCCCGGCCTCATCCTGCCATTTCTTGCAGTACTTGGTAAATGCTTTCTTCTTGCTCTTGTGCCTGAAAAGGAGAGACCCATCGTGAACCATCGGCCACAGGGTTTAGGCTGTGAAAAAGGCAACTTCAGCGCTAGAGATCATTAGGAAATGAACTGAAAATAAAGCTGCCAATTTCATAACGCTGTTATACAAATCTATGGTGCAACCCTGTTTGGTATAGGGACATCCTACCATACCCTCAAACATTTCCCCAATGAAAACAGGGATGTCCTAAGGAAAAGTGGGACATTCCAGGATCAAATCAGAAACCAAGACAGCTTCTGTAAATCCAGGACCGTCCCTGGAAAATAGGGACACTTGGAGGGTCTGCCACAGCTGGAGGCAGCAGTGCTTTTGAATATCACTTGTTGGAAACCACAGGACGGAAGAGTGCTCTTGTGTTCGAATCCTGCTTGCAGCTTTCCCACAGGCAACCAGTTGGCCACTGTGAGAACAGGATGCTGGACTAAATGGGCCATTGGCCTGACCCTGCAGGTTCCTCTAATGTTCTTATGTTATGTTCTTACTGCATATTTCTACCAAGGAATTTGCAAAACGAGCTGCCTGCGTAGTCCAGCCTCTCTGCAACCTGGGGCCCTGTAGGTGTTTTGGACTACAACTCCCATTACTCCTAGCCAGCACAGCCACATGAGGCTGAGGCTGATGGGATTTGTAGTCCAAAACTCCTGGGGGGGTGACCACTACTGACACCTTTGGAGGAGGCTCAAGAAACCAGCTTAGCACAGCTCATCAGCCAGCAGATGCTGCTCTAAGTCATTTACAAGAGGAAGCCCTTTCATGACACACCTTACGCTGCCCAATGGTAGGGCCAGCCCTGTCTGTAACAACCAGTTAGAGATGTTTCCTCCACATGTATGTGCTGATTGGACATTTGCCATGTGGCACCTGTGGACCATTTTGTCTGCCCATTCCCTCTGTCTGCCACACAGGAAACCGCTCACCAGTTCTTGTAGAAACGTCTTCTACATTCATCACTGATATGCTCTGCAAAGATGGTCTTGAAATTCCTCAGCCCCCTGGGCGTCTCGATGTAGCCCACCAGTCCAACGACCACCAAAGGTGGTGTCTCTATGATGGTGACAGCTTCCACCTCCTCCCTCTTTGAGACCTCTGGAAATTGAAGGAATGCAGAAGGAGCAGGCTTAGAAGCACAGGAAATGGCCTGGTGCACAGTTAGATTGCTGGTCCGTCTAGCTCAGTATTCAGCTGGAATGGGAACCTTTGGCCCACTGGATGCTGCAGGTCCAGTGCTTTTTTTCCAGGGGGTATTCAAGGGTACACAGTACCGCCACCTCTTTTAATTGATGTTAAAAAGTGTGGCACTTAACTGTAAAAACTTCATGGTGAGTACAAACACTTACTTTTGTATGAAAAAAAAGCACTGTGCAGAATGACAACTCCCATCAGCCCCAGCAATATTAAATTACCCCAAATGCAACACCCTTCCTCACAGTGTTGTATAGGAGTAATTAATATGGTGTGTGACCTCTGCAGATCAGATTTGGCTTCCAAATTCTTATTCTTATTCATATTGGATGTCCTGGTGGGGTTGAGTGGATGAGTGAGTGACTGCTGGTAGTAGTTGGGTCAGGCTAGTTGGTGATGGTTCCTTCTGAGCCCCAGGACCATCAGCAGATGTTCAGTCATGCTGGGGGTTGATGCCTGCATTTGAACACAGGAATCTGCTTTATACCAACATTGATCCATCTAGCTCTCTGTTCTTACTCTGGCTGGCGGCAGCTCCCCAGGGCCTCAGGCAGAGAGAGCTTTTCCCCAGGCCACCTCTTTGCGACCCTACAACTGGAGATGCCTCTGAGGACCTTTCTGTGCCCCACCACTGAGCTACAGTCCTTTCCCCCAGCTTTGTGTTGACTCCTCCCATGAATCCTTCCACTTACTTAGCCCCGGTCTGTAGTGTTCCCGGAGGATGTGAGTCATGCCAGCTTTGTAGCCCAGAAAGGCCGTCAGGTGAACCGGTTTGCTGGGGTCATCTTTGGGCCACGTCTTCACCTTCCCGCGGTGACGGTGGCTCCTCTTGTGAGGGAGGAAGCCCAGGTGGCCATGCCTGGGAGCTGAAAACTTGCGGTGGGACTGGGGGGCGGGGATAAAAAAAGGGGTGAAAGTAAAGCACACCCACACCCACAAAGATAACGGTCATTGACCAATAACTTCCCAGCGGGATTCCCAAGAACATCCCAGTGGGATGCTTTGGGATTTGAACTCCTGGTCTCCCAGGTCCCAGTCCACCACAGTCATGGTCCTCAGTGCATGAGAAGCTACTGATTAATACAGCAAAGGGGGTCTGTGAGGCTGCAGAAATGCGTTAAAGTGGGGCTGGGTGATCCTTGGTGTGAGGATAGGTCCATTACAAAGTTTATTGTGTTTCTGGGGAAATGCTGGAGAGTGTTTTTTTGTATTCAAAATACTTATATGCTGCTTCTCAGGGTACAGCCATCAGAATGAAGCTTACAAAAGTTCATTAAAACTGCAAAACCATCACATGGTGTCTCCCCATCACAAAACACCCAGCCCCATTGTTCCTAGATCACCCACCCACCCGAAAGGCAGGCCTAGCCCACAGCAAGTCAGTACTGACCATGATCAGACGTCTTCTCAGTCCCTGTCGGCAGTAGCGAAAGAGGCCACCAGCAAGTGACTTGGTTGCCTAATACCAAAGATGTTTCTCGGCCCCCAAGACATAAATTTAGCAGCTGGCTTCATTCTGATGCTATATTCATTTCATACCCGGGCAAGCTGACAGGGGCCTGACACCACCAGCAATTGGAATGGAGACGAAAGGTCATCTTGGAAGCAGGGGTCTCAGTTTACCACCATGTGCAATTACCATCTATGTACGGCAGACGGGAAGGGTCAAAATTCTGCCTTGCCACCTGGGGAACATGTCAGTCGTACATCAGCCTAGGTAAGCGAAGGAATAAGGAAGTGTGCCCCAGAGGATGCACAGTGCTTTCTATTTGCCATTCAGCACCCGCAGTTAATACATATAAACATGGGATTGGCACAGCTGGCAGATGAAAAGAAATTTGGGGAAAATATTTATGAGGATAAGGCTATCAGTGGTTACTGGCACAATGGCTATGTTCTATCTAAATCCACTGTCAAGAGCAGAATGCCATTGTACTAATATCCTGTTATGTGAGCTTCCCAGAAGAGGCACCTGGTTGGCCACCATGAGAACAGGATACTGGACTAGATGGGCCATCGGTCTGATCCAGTGGCTGGGCACTTCTTACATTCTTAGGAGAAACTATATCTCAAGTACACTGAGACTCCTTATGACATAGAAGTCCACTGAAATATGTATTGGTAAAGCTTCAGGAAAAGACAATTAACAGGTTACACACATGCTGCTGTATACCTCAAAAGTTAACCTAAAGAACTTTGGGAAACATTCTTTGGGAATGTTCTCCCATATGTGGTGGAGTTGACCTATGATTCAAGTATGTTGGAATAAGGTGTTGGTGGAGTGTAGCAAATTAGCTGGGCACCTTATTGTTCAAAACAACAGCAAAACCCCCCTGGAATTATTGACTATTTCTGACAAAACCAAACCAAACCAAACCATTTAGATATACACCTTTTTATTAGTAACTGCAAGACAAGTAGTAGCAAAACATTGGAAGGATGATGATGGACCTACAATGCAAGAATGGTATAACTATGTCTGGAACAATGCAGAGAAGTTGACCAAAGCAGTTTAAGAATTGACATGTCTGGACCATGATAATGATTTTGTGGACAAGTGGCTTTTCAGTGGATGAAGAGATCAAATGAAACTGTTACACCACCTTCCAGGCGTGGGACACTATGGCATAATCTGTTGGGGTGAAAAAGCAAAATGCTTTATAAGGAAATTATAACAGAATTAATATTAAAGCACAGAATCAGAACCACGGAAAAGGTGGCAACCCTTAAACCACGTGGTTTAACCCTATGTTTAAACCACATGGTATCCACCCAAAGAATCATGGGAACTGTATTTTGTTAAGGGTGCTGGGAACTGTAGCTCAGTGAGGAGCAAACTACAGTTCCCAGGATTCTTTGGGGGGATGTTATTTCCCCCCCCCATTATTATATTTGAATCCTGCTTTGTTTCATCCAAAGAGCTCTTATCATAGCAACCCTGTGAGCAAAGGAGGGACACTGACTGGCTGAAAGTGATGCAGTAAGGAATTTGAACCCTAGTCTCTCATGTTCTTCATCCAGCCCATTCACCATGTTGTCTCTTTAGAGCTGCTTTACAAAGTTAAGCTTTGTGTAGGTGGCATATAAATATGACAAAGGCACTATTATTAAATTTATTATAATCAATTATTACATGTGTATCCAGCTTTCCTGTAAAGGGAATTCAAGGTGGCATATGTGGTTCTCCCTCTCTATTTAATCCTGTGAGGTGGGAAGGTAGGGAGGTGCAACACAGCTTGGCTCAAGGTCACCCTTGGCTGTGTGGGGATTTGAAACCTGGTCTGCCGTGTCCTTTTCTGCCACTAACTACCAAACCATAAGGTTGCCAGTTTATTTTAACTGTCTCTTATGACCATTAGCTTCTGAACAACTGGAAATTCAACGGGTGCAGCTCCTATCGGGCTTATGAGACCCACAGTGGGGAAGAAAACTTCAGAACAAGACCTTGCAGACAGAGAACTACATATCCCAGCAGTCACCGGAAGATTTTTTTAAAACAAAACCATTAGTAAGCGCATGCGCATTGCACTCTTTCGACCCTCTTAAAGCCAATATTTACAAACTGCGCCTCCCATCACGCAGCGCGCGCGGCACGAGTGGCTGCACATGCGCTCTTCTTTTCCTTAACCTGACCCGGTCCCTCTGCCAAGGAGGCCGCCATTTTGTCCGCATCGCTTTGCTCGCGCAAAGGCTGCAGCGATGCCCGAAGAGCCGGACCGAGATGTGTACCGCGCGCCGCCTTCTCGCACCCCTAAGACGGAGCTCACCAACCCGCTGTACCTGGTAGACCAGATATTTCGAGTCGTGGTCGACGCGCCGGTCACAGCCTGGAGGGGTGAGAAGGGGCGGGGCCAGGAGCCAAAGGGCGGAGTTAGACAATGGGGAGGGAGGGAAGCGCTGGGGGCGGGGCTATAAGAACAAGGGGTGGAAGTGTGGGGTGGGGCTAGGAACTAGGGGGTGGAGTTAGAGTGGAGCGGGGACTACAATCAGGAATGGAGTGAAGGGCTGGGGCGGGGCCAGGAACAAAGGGGTGTGGCTATGAGGTGAGGGTTGGGGGCTAGAATGCATAGGAAGGGCCACAAGGCTGTGGGCTCCTACAAGGCAGGAGGGAAAAAAATAGGGGTGCTGGGGGGGTTATATGAGTGTGTGCATTGCAGGGTTGAACCTGGGCTACAGCGAAGGCCTACAATGGGAGAGGCTAGGACCCCAGGTGATGGTATAGAACAGGGTTTCCCAAACTTGGGTCTCCATCTGATTTCGGACTACAACTCCTATCATCCCAAGCTAGCAGGACCAGTGGTCACGAATGATGGGGATTGTAGTCCAAAAAAAATGCTAGAGGCCCTAGTCTGTAAAACACTGGTCTATAAGTTTTGGAAGGGCTGGGATGGTGCTAGAATGCAGGGGAGGGACCAAGAGAAAGCTGCAGGGCTAGAACAGGGGAGAAGCCAAATGCTAGGGAGGTTTTGCAAGTGGAAAAGGGCTGAGTTGAGTAGAAGGAGGCTGGATGATGTTGAAGTCTGGGGTGGGGAACCAATGGTCCTCTGGATGTTGTTGGACACCCATTAGCTTCAGTCAGCCTTTCTCAACCTGTGGGTCCCCAGATGTTGTTGGACTACAACTCCCATCACCCCTAGCTAGCAAGGCCAGAGCTCAGGGATGATGGGAGTTGTAGTCCAACAACTTCTGGGGACCCACAGATTGAGAACCGCTGCTGGAGAGGCTTATCTTCCCCAGCTCTTGGATAAGTGGAGTGCAGGTTGGAAGAGGGGTAGATTTTCTTCAATTCATCCTCCCCAACCTTGAGCCCCGGCCTAAATGTTTTGGGAAAACACCCTCCATCATCCCCAGCCTGTACTGTCAGTGGTCAAGGATTATGGGATTTGTAGTTCAGCAGGAAGACTTCTCTTATGAGAGCTCCCTGCAAGGCATAATTTTCCACGAGTTGACTCTGTCTTGGCTTCGTATTGCTTAAAAGACCTCTTTCGTTTGAATCTTGAAAAGCATCTCTGGACATTTCACTCCTGCAGAATGGATAGAGCGCCAGCATGCAAAGAACAAGTTTTATTACTATCACCGGAACTTCCGCCGTGTGCCGGACTATACAGAGTGCTTGGAGGACGACTACATATGTTACTATGAAGCAGAGATGCAGTGGAAGAGAGATAAGTACGTCTTCTCTTTTTCGGAGGGTGGGTAGGATTGCAGTTCGGCTCTCCTGCCAAATGTTTTGTTCTATGCAGGGTTGGGAGGATGATGCCTACAGTCTTCTAAGGATTGAATAGTTTGCAGTATTGTTATTTGACTTTCAGGATAGAAGTAAGGATTGTTGGTTAGACAGTATCATCAGTGTATGTAGTGCTTGGGTCCCTGCCATAAGAAGCTTGCAGTAGGCCAGGAGCAGGAAACCTTGGGCCCAGAGGCCAAATGCGGTTGTCCAATCTTCTCTTTCCGGCCCTCAGGACTCTCTCCCCTGGCCACCACTCCCTTTTTAACCCTGTTCTGCAATCTCCTTCAGTGTTTCTGCTTGGCTGGACAGTGTTCTTGACCTCTGATAATGCCTCCTGCTTTCCTGGCTAGAGAGGTTTATGATTGTGTGTCGGAACTAGCCTACCATTCAAAAGTAAAAATTTGCATTCATTGCTCTGCCCATTTTTGTCTCTGGCCCCACAGTCTATCGGCATGTGGCCCTTAAGATGTTTGCCCAGAAGAGAATGCGGCCTTCAACCTGAAAAGATTCTCCACTCCTGCAGAGGACAGTTGTGGAGGCAGGAATAGGCTGAGAAATTATTCCCCTCAAGACTGATGTTTTTGCTTTCCCTAGATCAAAGGAGGCTAATTTGTGGCCACCAGATGTGATTGTACTTCAGCTTCCAACAAACCCAGACATCCTAACCAACTCCCACCATCAGTGATCTTTGCAGTCCAAAACATCTGGAGGGCACCATGTTAGCAAAGTCTGGCCTAGTGCAGGGGTGGGCCTTGGTAATATGGTGCCCTGTGCAGGGCCAAAATTTGACGCTGCCATCCCCCCAACCCAAATCCGCCTTCACTAAGCTGGGTAAGGAAGGTGCCAGGCTTTGGGAAGGAGGTGTGAGGCTCTCGCAGGATCCTAAAGTCCCTCATTCCAAGTTCTCAAAGCTAGTCAAATGCTAACTAGTTTCTGAGAAGGAGGAAGGACTATAGGACCCTGTCAGAGCCCTCATGCTTCCTTCCCAAAGCTCAGCATTCACTAGGCTTTGGGAAGGAAGCAGGAAGGCAGCCCCTTGGCCCCTGCTCTCTGCGCAGGGAAACCAATTGTGCTGCCCTGAATCCACCTCTGCGTATTGGTTCTAAAGTCCACATGGAAAATTTGAGTTGTGAAGAGGAGCTTGAAATAAATTACAGGGCAAGCCCTGCCAAAGAACTGGGAGGCAGTTCCGGACATAAGGGGTAGGAAGGGAGCAAGAGTGGGCTTGTTACAGAGAGGAGGAGGCTTGAGAACAATAGAATTTAAAAAAGGAAAGTTGGAAGCAGGAATGTGGCTGCGTATTAGATTGGGAGGGAGGCTGGGAAGTGGAGCGGACTATGGAGGGGTTTGTGGGACAATTAAAATAAGATAAAATAATCTTGTTGGACTGCTTGCATTATGTGTTTTTGATGTGTCATATGGACTTGGTGTAATTTTCTGTACAGAATTTCAATCCAGGGACTTAGGTAAAGTCTGTATTATTGCATTCTTCAAGTGTTTGTATCTCTCTCTTTCCACTCCCACAGGCTAGTTGATAGACAAATTGTGAGGATCATCCAGGAGAGAATGGGTGCTTGCAAGCAGCGGGAAGGACCCAGTTATTTGGAGAACTGTGCAGCAGAGTTACAGCACTTCAAAGAGGTGACCAAGGCCTATGACGACAGATGTGAGTCTATTAGTATATTGGGATTATTTCAAATTTACATCCCACTGTGAAAACAATCTGACTTAAAGGCTATGTTCCATCCTGAGCTCACACAGGTGGGATTGGGAAGCTGGTATGGAAGTCCACATCAGTACTTGGGGCAGCCATGCCTCCCTGGTTCCTCCCAGATGTGCTTAGACTACAATTCACATGGGCCATGTTGGTAGAATTGAGAGTTCAGCTTCTGGTAGGAGGCATATTTTGCTGCTTTCCAAGTGGCTTCAAGACCTAGGGAGGCCTGGATGAGCTACTGTCCTGCAGAGGAGCAAAGATTCTTGCCTTACGAGTCGTGTTTTGGCTATGTGTGTACACATACAAAAATCCCCCAAAGCTCAGCTTGACAGTAGTAGTAGTCAAGACTCCTGGATTCACCTCTGTGCAGGACAGAGAAAGGCAGAGGGCAGAAAGAGACAAGGAAAGCACCAATCTTAAAGTAAATGACAGTGGAACTTGCTCTGAGCAGCAGGCCTAATGTTCTGATACTAGACTACCATTCAGTACAGCATTTTATTTTGCTATGTTGTTTTTGCACTGTTTGGTTTCAAAATGCATTCTTGTTTTCTTTGTTGTTAAGTTCCTTTGATGTGATGGGGGGGCAGAAAAGTGGTATACAAATAAAATGAACTGTTTACTTTTTTGATGGCAAGTTAGCATGCTTAATATGTAATTCTGCAGTGGAAGTCTCCCCTTTTCTCTCAGATCATGATTGTTCTCCACTATCATCCTAGATGGCGAACTTGGCGGCCTGGGAACTGCTCGCAAATGCTTAATGAAGCAGAAGCACCGGATGATTAAAGAAAGGAAGGAGGCCAAGGCAGCAGCTGAGGCACATTAAGTGTTCTGGTCGCTTTGGCCTGGATTTGCGCTCCAAACAGACAAACTAGCCTGTGTGTCTGCAGATTAGACACTGTATGGATGGTAAATCAAGCATCATCTGTGCTGTTCTCTCAGAACTACTGTAAACATATACAAGGCAGACTCAGAATGTATAGTGGGAAGAAAATAAAGCTGTAAATGCTAAGGTTGTCTTTGCTTTGTAAACACAACAGGAAGGAGAAATGGGATTAAGCAGAAACTAGTGGAGAGGGTTGAAAAATGGCAGGGTTTGCCTTCTTGAATTATGGCTAGAAACTAAAAATTGCCTTTACAAGTCACTGACGCAAGTGGCTGGTACATAAGTTGCTTTTCTAGGTGCTAACCACATACTGTATATGTATGTAAAGGGTTTAAGAGGTGTACTTCCACAGCACACACTTCAAGAGAAATCACAAGCTTAGATATGTTACTTTCCAGTAACTGCAATTTTTTTTTTCTTTAGTAAACCCAACCATAGTCTTACGGGAACCAGGCAGAGGGTCTTCTCAGTTGTGGCACTCGCCCTATGGAACGCCCTCCCATCAGATGTCAAGGAAATAAACAACTGACTTTTAGAAGACATCTGAAGGCAGCCCTGTTTAGAGAAGTTTTTAATGACTGGCGTTTTAATGTATTTTAACTATTTTGTTGGTAGCCATCCAGAGTGGCTGGGGAAATCCAGCCAGATGGGTGGGGTATAAAGAAAATAATAATAATTATTATTATTTATTGGGCAGTGTAGTTCTGGTCAGAGCACCGGACTGCTCTTGTAGGTTAGGAATGATGGAGATTTTAGTTATAAAAAATTACAAATGGCATAGAGTAAAAATGGGCAAGGTAGATCACTGGATCCAGCTTTGATGCAATTGTTTAAAGTGTCTCCCATTATTAAGCCATTTGCAGCCTTTGCAAAAAGCCTTTGGGGGGTGGGGGTTATGGGTCAAACACCAGCAAGGTACCAGGTAGGCTATTAAATTATTGCTCTTTGAGTTCGTAGCTCTCTGCAGGTTAATGTACTGTGGCTTTTAAGATCCTATACGTAGTTCTCCAAACTCCAGTTAGTAAATGTTGATCTAGGAAAAAAAGACATTCCTCCGCCACCAAGGGATAACCCATACCCATGGCCTTGAGAAGACTGAGCATTAAACCCTACATTAAAGCAGACTGGAATTTAAAAGCTGGTTGGACACCACCTTCCAACTCCTCCTGCAGCCAAGCTGGTGCCAAATGTATTGCTCCGCTTTCCTTTTGACCACATCAGTGAGGCTGAGGGGGAGCACTGTCATCTGTGCAGCCCAGGACCTCCATAAACCCTACCCAGGCTTGCACCCTGCAGAGGTCACTTGTGTGCTAACACAGCAAAAATGTGGTAGGCAGCAGTTTCTCTACAGCCACAGCAGCCACTGTGACTCCCCAGTGGTTTGACTTCATCCCCAGAGGAGCACTCCATTCTCTCAAGACAGACGGAGGCAACAAGTCTTTCTGAGCACGCACCCCCCCCCCATGCTGTTCAATGCAACTCTACTGGATGTGACTTTTACCCAGATCTTTTGGGGGAAAATATGCACACAGCACTTGTTCAAAAATCCAAATGGGCCTGTCTCACAAAGGGTGGCAATATCCTTTTGTCCAATGGCTACAGCTACATGGGGAAATCCCACCCCCAGAAAAGCTGTGGGTTTCCCAACAGTCTTGCTCTGCCACTGAAATGAATGGACCGGCTAGTTATGTCCATTAATTTCAACAGTCTACTAATGACTAATGCTGGGATACAATCCTGTAAGGCAATAAATCCTCTTTAATGCTGCTCAAGAGCTCCTAAAATATCAATGTCATATGCTAGGTCCAACCTATACTGGGCACTTGGTAGCACTATAATTAAAAAGATCAGACATTCAAGGAAGATAAAGCTACTAATGGCAATGTTGTATCTCCACTAAAGACAGGATGCCTCTGAATGCCCCTTCTTATAAAAAGTGTTGCTGTGCCCAGGTTCTGCTTGGGAGGCTTGCCATTATGGCTTGTGGTTGGCTTCTATAAGAACAGGATGCTGGACTAGATGAGCTCCTTTGGCCCAATTCAGCAGCCACGCTTTTATGTTCCTTTATTTCCTCTGGAGGCACTGATGTCCTATAACCCATCCAACAACAAATACCACACACGATTTGCGTGACTGGTTTAAAAATCACTCTTGGTCACTTTATTTTAAAGTACACCTTTTAGGTAGTTGCCACAGCAGCTGCTTGGGTCCTCTGCACAGACACTCTGGTAGCATGAGTCTTTGCAAGATGATCAGTGAACTCCTGCAGGGAAAGGCAAAGAGACCATAAACATACAAATTGTTTCTGAACCTCATTCGCCCCAGGTAATCTTTTGAAGTGGGTCAAACCTGCTAAGTGCAGCTTGACCTGATGGCAGCAGCTATATTCTGTTAAATACAGCCCTCAAAAGAATTGAAATGCTGGTTCTTTTATCCCCACCCCTGCCTATGAGCACAGATTCATGAAATAAAGCTAATTCCCAAAGACATCTTAGATGCATGCTACAACTCTCAAGGCTGCTCTTACCTGATAAGGTGACTTGGTGAACACAGTCTCTTTCCACAGATCAGGGGTAAGGTAACTATAGGTCTTTGAGATGGCATCAAAGGTGGCCTTGGCTACAGAAAAAGAAAGATAATACATGGTCACCAATGTACACGAGACTGAGCTGGCAGCACCAAAACCAGTTGCCAGTTGCCGCTCTGGAAAAATAATTGCTTTGTTGAGTATGAAAAGGAACAGGGAGACTATTTCATTGAATCTCACTGCCGTGCAAACAAACTCATTTGCTTTCCCTCTCGAAAAACGACAGTTGCACCACTTGGGCCAGGTACAACTGAGCAGAGCGGAGAGAGTTTTACCAAAACACATCCCAAAAGGCAGTACTTACTGCGTGTGTGTCTGTAAACATATACACACAGTATAGCTGCACCTCAACCAGGTGCCTTCCATATGTTTTAGACTACAGCTCCTATCGGTCCCAACAAGAAGGCACAAAGTTGGCAAAGGCTGAAGTATTTCTCACCTCCCTTAACCAAAAGTCCTAAAGAAATTGGCAGCTTGCCAGACTTTTCTTCCTTATGGCCCATGATGCCTACTGCTGCCCTTTACATTAATTACTTGTAACAGTGACACAATCTATTGCACTGCACTGTCATTTTTCAAGACAGAACCAAGTAAATTGAGAAGTATAGAAACATACCAAAGTTGCCCAAGGTGGCAGTGCAGCCCCTCGCTGATGTGTAACAGTCGTCAATACCAGCCATCATCAGCAATTTCTTGGGAACTGGGGCAGAGACAATTCCAGTACCACGTGGTGCAGGGATGAGACGCACAAGTACTGAGCCACACCGACCTGTTACCTAAACAAACACAAGTTTCACACGGTAAGAAACTGGCATGGATATTTTAATGTGAATAACCCTAATTTGAAGTCCCAAGCCCTGGTTTGGCAAAGTGTCAAATGTTACCTTGCAAGGTACAGTGTGCGGCTTGCCGATCTTGTTCCCCCAGTAGCCTCTTCTCACGGGCACAATGGACAGCTTCGCAAGAATGATGGCCCCACGGATCGCGGTGGCAACTTCCTTGGAGCACTTGACCCCAAGACCAACGTGACCGTTGTAGTCACCAATCGCCACAAAGGCCTGAAAAGGAAGACAAGAGAAGCCTCATCAGGGGTGCAGCTAAAATCCACACATAGAAGCCTCAACGGAACATACCAGTGTTATACAGGCATTCCCGAGGAACACAGGCACCCTGACCATGTCAACTAAAAACAGGATGTTCATGTCAATTCATCCGTTTGGAATCCACTTCTCTTTATCTGCCTTCCTCAACTTGGTGCCCTCCAGGTGTTTTGGACTACAACTCACATCAGCCCAAACAGTGGCAATTATAGGAGTTTTAGTCCAGCAACAAATTGGGAGCCCAATTTTAGCCAACCCTGTGAGATGATTCGAGGAGGATTAATTGCTCTGGCTTTGCCTCTTACCAATCAGCCTCTGCCGTTGGCTGTCAATTCTCTAGCATCTCTACATCATATGTGATTGGCTCAGAGATTTGGCAAGGCAGACGCAAACAGGTAAGTAGTTCATTCATAAATGTAAAAGAGCAAGGTCTGTCAATGGTAAGTGTGCTCCTGCTCTGGCCAAAACTAACACACTTCAGGGTCAGGCTGAATGTGCCTCCAAGAAAACAATTTTTGGGGTGAATTTCTGCTGTAAAGGTTGCCTGAGGCCAATCAAAAATAGATCAATTTCTGGAATTCATATGGATGCAAAACATTACCTTGAACCTGGTGCGCTGACCAGCCCGGGTTTGTTTCTGAACAGGCATGATCTTCAAAACCTCATCCTTCAGGGATGAGCCCAGGAAAAAGTCAATGATTTCAGACTCCTGTGAAGGCAACATTAACTGGTCAGTTCTCTAGTGGTAAGCATAAATTAATCACAAAGTTTGCTGTATTAAAACAATGGTATGTCTCAGGAGGAGTATTGGATCTGGCTAGTTGGCCAGATCCCGACTTCTTCCCATTGTGACAAGTAGGCAGGTTCACCTGTCAAGCATCTGACACAAAGTGCAGTATTTTCCTTTGCCCATGTGATCCGAAAGGAAATATTTCCCTACAGTGCTTGCTTTAAGTGCCCAACAGTTGATCAGTGCTGTGCAGCTGATCGGCAACAATAGCAAGCCTTGCTTACCAAGGAACAATTGGGAGCATACTTTAAGGCTCCAATCGTTCCTTTGCAACACTGTCATGTATGATGTCCCCAGAGACCCACAAGGAGAGCATTAATGCAACAGACCTCTCCTGCTGCTGCGATTCAATGGCATAGCAGTAGCTCCGAACACAAGATGACTTCAGACAGCCATCATGGAGAGCCACCAACTGACCTCTTCTCCTTAGGGGAAAAGAGACAGCACCTGCCTTTGATGCAGAAGGTCCTGGATTCATTCCTCAGAATGTCCAGGTATGTCTGAGAATGCCTCTTGCATTAACCTTGGATGGTTGCTGCCACTCAGTGTAGAGACAATACTGAACTAGATAGACCAATGATCTGACTTAAACCCCTCCTCTTGGTAAACTTTACCAATGGAAAAGCACTGTGAATCATTCTCAGTCCTGAGAAACCCTACAGAGCCCCTAACATAGAGCAAGTACCTTGATTGGAAGGGAGAAAAGGTAAATCTCCTCCAGAGACTTGATTTTCATGTCCTTTACTAGGCGACCAAGTTTGGTGACTGGAATCCACTGGGGGGGGGGGGGGGATGAAAGGCAATCAGTTCAAGCTGCTCAAACATTGTACGTTGATCTTTATTCCATATATACAAGAAACATTGACTGCAGCCTTAACCACCCTAACAGAAAAGTAACTACAATGTCAATCTTTTCCACGTAAAAGCTACGGGTAGGATTTGCTGTTAAAAAATGGGTATACAAAAGAAAGGTTTTCATCTATTTGAACATAATCTATCAGCTCTGCTAATTTTCTATCTGCAACGATTTGTTTTTTAAAAATTGCAGTTCATTCCAAAATAGCACCTCTCATCTGCTTTCTAGGAGTAGTCTGCCCCTGCCAATAATTTGATCATGGCACTGGACATGGTTGAAACCCTAGCAACTCTAAAACCAAACCCATCTAAGGAAAGTTTCCATTTCTTCAAAGTTTACTCAAAAAACTTGAGCATCCCATGCTGGAAAGAGGCTGCTGGGAGTTGTAGTCTAAACACCTGGAGGGAACCAGGTTGCCAAAGGCTCCCTAAAAACACCAAAAAGGTGACTTGAACTCACTTCTTTGTCTTCAGCTTTGCCCCGAGCTCCACGCCCTCGGCCACGTCCCCTGCCACGGCCTCTCCCACGCCCTCGGCCTCCACTGCCAAAGCCTCCTCGGAAGCCTCCCCTGGCAGCAGCTCCTCCACCTGCAGCTGCTCCAGCTCCCCCTGCCCCTCCCGCAGCACCGGCGTCGTCCGCCATTTGCTGTAGAAACAAAACACATCAAACTTTTTAGTGCATTAAGCTCACGACATAATAAACAGTGACAGATATTGTGCTGGAACAGCAACAAAAGCAGTAGGGAAAATTGTTTCTACCCTCAAGTAGCAAATGGAACCATATAGATGTGATCACATTTCAAAGTTGATGCAGGGTGCTGACCAAAGCACATTTTTAGGAATCAGCAGCCCTAGGCAGTGACAGAAATGTGTCAAAATTCACAAGCACCAATGCCAAGAAAATTAAGATGCCCTAGATTTTCCCAGGTAGCTCCCATTTCATGGTTTCTTTTCAAAATGTTAAATTAATATATTAGTGGTTCTTATATATTAATATAATATATAATGGTTCTTATACATATAAGAACCATTTAAAGGAGGAGGGAGATCTACACCTGTCAATGAACTTAAATCCCACCTTCTTGATCCCAAGTTAAACCCACTGAATCCACCAACAGTCCATAAAGCAGTTTGCATAATCAGAAAAACAAATAAGTAGCAAGTATGATGGATACCACAGACCTTTAAAACAAAGTCTTGCTGTCTTCTAATGATCAACATTCCATAGCAACCTCACTCCCATTAGGGAGAAACCCCAAACCCTTCTCTAATTAGGCCATCCCCAAATTTCAACTGGAATGAACTTTTGTCATTCTTCTAGTCAACTCCCACCTCCTATCCAACGACAATGAAACTTTCCACTCATTCATCAAACAGAAACATCAAGGGGGCCAGATACAGATTGCCAGTACCACTTCAGGCCGAACATTTCAATGGCTAAATCCTGTCCCCCTCAATATACTGAACTTCTAAATGCAAGAATTTATATATTTATTGCTTCTGAAGAGGCTCAACCTCAAGGTACATTCTGAGATGCTAAAGTCTAATAAAAGGTTTCTGATCCATGTTGAACTGGGCCTCTGACTTGCCCTTAACCCCATCACTACCTGAAGAAGAAAAAAACCCCAAATTCCTTCCTCCCCATGAGACGGGGACTATTCCTAATCCCCCTCGCGGTGGGCTTGTCCAAAATCCGGGCTCCCAGACCCTCGATGGCGACGGATTCAGCAACCTCCCCAGCCCCAAAGGAAACATGCCCCAACTTACGTGTTCTCGACTAGAAGGCCGAAACCGCGCGGCGAGGCCTATTTATATGCCGCGCATCTCGCGAGAACTACTTCCTCGAGCGATACATACATGTTCCTCCGCCCCACCCTTACCTAGAGCTAATGCGCAGCCGTAAAAGGCTTGTTATGTGTTATGCTGGAGGAGGGAGCCCCGGATCGAGCATGATTAAAAACCCAAGTTTATAAAAGTTCGGACTGGAGGAAGGAAGTTGCAGTCTCGCAGGCGCAAGGTAGGTGGAGGGCATGTGGCGGGAACGGGAGAAGGGGGGGCATGTGGTGTTTCAAATTGTATGGAAAAAGCAAGCTGTTGGTTACATTTATTTAGCTAAAAAAAATGCCCTAAGAAGTTATGATGTTGCTGCTTTTAGGTGAAGTACTAAATCTCCCAGCATGCTCCTCGTCAGTTGGTCATTGGGGCAGCTAGGCCTAGGGCGCAAGGGATGCTGGGATGTGTAGTTTCTTGCCACGCGCCTTTTTCTCGCTGCCGGCTTTGGAGGCTCTTTCCCGCCACCGGGAGTTGAGGCCCGAAATTTGGTCTCCGAGCTAATGCGGGTACATTTGCACTGTTGCACGTCGGACTATGCAGCTTTCCGACCGGTGCACACGTGAATAGTGGAACGTCTGCCGCGATACCAGCAGACATTTCATATTTTCTGTCTCCGCTTAAAAAAAAAGAATTGTGGAAGCTAAAAGGAAAACTCACAAGCAACTTCGTTATCAACTCTCAGGGCGGCAAACATCTAAATGTTGAAAAAGTACCATAAAAATGCTTTTATGGAATTTTTGCACCTCCCTAGACGTAGGGAGGGACTTGCATTAATTCGGGTGCCATTTCACACTCTTAAGATGAACCTAGTTGGGGGCGATTACTTAAAAGTGAAACTAGGAGGATGGATGCACCAAGGACAGTTGATATATTGGAAGCCCTATGTGAGCTTACTTTGAAGGAAGACCCACTAAATTCCATAGCGCTGCATGGCTCTCCCATTCCTCATTCCTAGCTTGAAACAGTTTAGTTCTGAGTGCTAGAAAACTCAGTAGGTGGTTGCATAACTTTGGGTTCTGTATTGTGCCTACAGGTTGTTAGGGCACTGTCTGAAAATCATCCCTGGCCTCCTCCAGTGGCCTTGGGTGAGATAACGGTGCATAAAGCAAAGGGAGCATTAAGCTTATTGCCCATCAGCTCAACGTGTTGGGCAATGAAACCCATGCTCCTATATGTCCCACAAGCAGAAGGATCCATGCAATAGATGTGAAATTGCTTTGAGATTATTCATAGCATGTGATCCATAAATGAAACCAATAAAAATATGCTATGTGGAAGGAAGGCATACAGTAGTACAAAACCAAAGCAGAGTGCTAACTTGTCTTCTTTTTTCTACAGGCCCCATCTGCATTGGCATGCCACTGGTTTCTGAAGATGCACTTTTTTACGCACAAGTGTTCCCTTCATCTCACAATCCAAGGCTCCTGTTTTAATTGCTTTGTTTTAATGGAATTGTGTGTTTTTTGCATATTTTAATTATGAATGTTTTATATGTTAACGTTGGGGGTCATAAGTTCTTATACTTGTACAATGCTTAGGGTCCTATTTTGCCTGCCTGCAGCAGAATCTTAGACGTCCATACACCTTGCACTTCAAAAGAAGATGGTTGGTGTGTGGCCCACAATTGCCAACAGAGATGGTGGCAGGTTTCAAAGTGAAGAAAATTAGCCATTTCTTGTTCACAAAGTCATTTTTGACTGACCCTGCTTGGAGTGATGTTGGAATATGTATGTGCTTTTTTGTTTGCCCAGAGAGTGAAAATGTTAGGGTATGCTGGCTTTAGGTCACGAGACAGATATAATAAACATTGTTTTTTATACGTATTGTGTGTACTTCTTGATCACTTGTGAGTGTTTGAATAGGAGAGAGAAGCAGGGTGAACTTTCTCTAAATAAAATGCAGCCAAATTATGAATACGTGTCTTGGGTTTGGGGCTGTTAGATAATACAACTGTAGCATTTCAAAGGGAACAGTTACAGATTGTGCTGCCTGATCAGGTGGGGAACCATTTTTAGGCTGAAGAGGGCATTCCCTTCACGTCCGTTTATACACACACCCCTCTCCTCCAGATAAGCAAGAGGCATTATCAGAGTTCAAGGACACATTTCAGCCAGGAGAAAACACTCAAGGATGGTGCAAAACAGGGCTGGCAAGGTGTGTGGCCTGGAGGAAGTCCAAGAGCTAGATAAAGAGAAGTTTAGCAATTTTTTGTTGTTTTGTCGTGTCCGACTCTTCGTGACCCCATGGACCAGAGCACGCCTGGCACTCCTGTCTTTAGCAATTTACATCATTGTAATTCTAGGTAAGGTTTTGAGCCTTTAAGCTTACAAAGGTATTGTGCATCCTAGGGATGATCACAGAATTTCTGATGGCTTCCTTCTATCTTCAGCTGCCTGACTAGAAAGAGCCTTTGTGCTATTTTCTAATGTTGGTCCTCCTTAGAGTAAACCCATTGCTATGAATGGACATAGCTAATTTGGATCTACTGTATTAATTTCAATGTCTTACTCTTGAGTAAAAGTTAAATGGATATAACCTGTAGTTGAAGGCTTCATGCAGATAAGCATAAAATGTTACCATGTGGCAGAAATATGTAGTGCAGACAACTTTTACCATAATGCAAATGAATACCACCCAATCAGTAGAAGTTCCCTATGCCATTTACATAGTAAGAATCAAACACTTAACTACGCTAAGGAAGCAAAAAAAATCGCTCAAATAAGAGACTTAGCGCCAACCTATTAATAGTAACAAAGCTCACTGTTGCTAGACTCTTAGAATGTGGCTTTTGCAGATATGGGATTTTGTATTAATGGGCAAATTAACAAATTTTAAAGAAATAGGCAGGCTAAACAACCATTTACTAGAGTGTGGAATGACTTACCATGTATATGGCAGTTACAGTGGTACCTTGGATTAAGTATTTAATTCGTTCCGGAGGTCCGTTCTTAACCTGAAACTGTTCTTAACCTGAAGCACCACTTTAGCTAATGGGGCCTCCTGCTGCCGCCGGAGCACGATTTCTGTTCTCATCCTGAAGCAAAGTTCTTAACCTGAGGTACTATTTCTGGGTTAGTGGAGTCTGTAACCTGAAGCGTATGTAACCTGAGGTACCACTGTATTGAGCATGGTTACAGACCAAGCACATTAGCATTTGGAATGACATTTAAAACAAAGCAAGTTTCGTTATGCTTTTTTGGGGGGGAGACTGGTTCTGTAATTCAGGAATGGCAGGGAGTTGTTTGGCAATTCCTTGTTCTAAAGGTACTGTATTTATGTAAAAAAAAATTTTTATTTATTTTTAATCAAACCTTAGAATGCTAACTAACTAAAATCAAGGACAATAATATGGTTGGTATCTTAGCAGAAGCCTTCATGTCCTAGAGTCTGACTAAAGAGGCCTCCGGTTCATGAAAGCACGTGTCGTTTAAGACACTCCTTTCTGTAAGCAAACTCACTTCCGCCTTGAGAAAGCTTCAAAATGAACCAGGAAGTTGCGTCTCCACCGAGCCGGTGCCGCTACTTTACACTTTTCCTACTTCTATGTTTGTTTACGTCACTATTACACGCCGGAAGTAAGCGTTTCTTACCGGAAGCACGTGTTTGTCGGCATGGGGGCAGTGGCGAGGGAATCGAACCGGTAAAGAAGTTAGCCTGGGATTAGAACATGGCAAGCCGGAGCTCCTCAGTAACCTTCAAAACCAAGTAAGAAAGGGGGAGCGGTTGCCATGGAGAATGCTTCCTGTTTCCTCTCGGGTGGGGTGTCCTTGTGCTATCGTCATGGCAACGCAGTCCCTTACAGGGCGGAGGGGGCGGTTGTTTGGACGCGCTAGACTCTCCTTCCCGCTTTTTGTGGTCCATCCTTGGGATGCCTGACGTCATAATCGAAGGGGAAGGGTTTCTCAGAGCATGTGCAGAGTGCCTTTCATTTTCATTTCCTCACTGAGTCGCTGCCAGCTGGGGCTGTTTGAATAATCCTGTTTCAATTTTATTTTATTGGATGCCATCCTGTGCTTCTCCACTAAGTATCCAAAAGTGGCCCCTACACATTTGGGCGTAATGTACGGGGCTTTCAGTCAGTTCTCCTGTGAGACTAGGATCTGCATAGCTTCTCTGCACATTTATCACTTGAGAATTAGGCACCCTGGGAGAAGACCTGGTGTTACTGTGGTGCCTGAGTGTTCTGCTCTGTCATCTGTGCTTTGGAGCCATTGTTATGGCTGAGCTGAAGCAAAGCCAACTCTCAACTCGCTGAATTGGTATTTTCCTTCTGTCCTTTCACAGCTATGCCATTTCCAAGAGAATCGAGCCATTCTACAAAGGAGGACGGGTTCAGGTAATGCCAGAGCCCAGGTTTTGACCATGCTGGCTGTGCTTACCACACATTCCCGTGATCATGTGCAGAAAAGGCTCCTCCACTCTCATCTGTTTGTTTTCTAGATGACCCAAGATGGGGAATATATGTTCTGTGCTTGTGATAACAAGGTGAATGTGGTGGACGTTGCAACAGGAACTGTCGTTAACTGTATCGAAGAGGTAATAAGGACAACAGTAACCACCTTAATTTGATCCCTGAATATGTGTACTTGGTCATCTTCAAAGGATGTCATACCTCTGCTTCCTTTGGAGCTTTCTCAAACACACTCCCCATTAACCTCAGTCTGCCCTCTACCACCCTCCACCTGCCTGCCATCCAAGTAGTCCATGGGGGTGACACTGCCTGGTGACATTTCCTCTTTCTTGGCATCATTCTTTCCCTTGTAGATAGGCATGTAAAAAATTGTTTGTTTAGCTCTGAGCCATAACAAGACAGAGCAAAAAACCACACATTTTTAGATGAGCCACAAATATAGCTTTTATTTCCTGGCTGGCTTTCCAAATAAAGAAATTAGCCAAATAACCTGATTTTCATTGTCAAACAACAAAAAGCAAGCAAACTTACTAAGTATATCAAAGTTATTGCTACTAAATGATAAACTTTTTGCTTTCTGTCTTTTTTCTCTCCCAAGGATGAAGAAGAGGAAATTACATCATTTGCTCTCAGTAAAGATGATGAAGTAAGTGATCACAGAATTGCATAGTAAGAATTCAGAACAGAGGGTCACATGGGGGCAGAGTGAGATGATGGGTGGAATCAAGCACCCTATTAAGCTGTACATTTTTCAGTGTAGACCTTTATTCTCCTGCACATACCACCTTTAAATTAATGGTAGCTGTGCAAACTCAGTTTCTTTATTTTGGACTCTGAAGGGGTCAGTTTATGTGGCAAAAATGCCTAGAATTTAGACCACTATATATAGGGGGGATGGAGAACCTGTGGCCCTCATGATGATGTTGGGCCACAAGTACCATCATCCCTAATCAGGCTCGCTAGGACTGATGGGAATTGGAGTCCAGCAACATCTGGAGGGCTACAGTTTAGCAGTCCCTGAATAGAGTGCCTCATGTAATACACTTGTGATGCCCAGATTTTTAGACCACTGTGTGGTTCGCTTTACTAGCCAACCTGTTTCCACCATTTCCTCTTGTTATTTCCCCCCATGTTAGATTCTTGTGACTGGAAGCCGATCGATGCTGCTGAAGCAATGGGACTGGCCAGAAAATAAATGCACACGCACATGGAAGGCTATGCACACAGCCTCCATGGCCAGCATGGCCTTTGACTCGAGCTCCACATTGTTGGCTACAGGTACGAGTTGCATCTGTCCAGAGGGAATAGGTAGTCTCCATGGGACTGAGGAGGAAGGAAGAAATACGCCTCTCACCCCATCCCAGTGTTAATTCCTCTGCAGCTAGAGCGGGCCTGGAAGCTAAGACCTCCCTATTTGGCTGACTTTTTGTGCCTGCTTCATTTCTCCCTTTTGTTCTTCCAGGTGGCTGTGACAGCGCTATTAAGGTCTGGGATGTTCCCAGGCAGTACTGCACACACAACTTGAAAGGCTCAACGGGGGTTGTCCAGTAAGGACCTTTTCTTTTTCCATGTGCTCTTTTGCGATAGGAAAAAACTAGCCCAAACAATTTGTGACTTTCTGCAGGAGGGTGGCAAAGACTTAAAAAAAGCAAAGTGTGTTATGCCTTAAATCTGTGTTAACCTCGTAGAATCATAGATGTTGTTCTGATGTATGGCCATGGCAGCTGGGGCTGGTGGGACTTGTAGTCTAAAGTGTCTGAAAGTCACCAGGTTGGTGAAAGTTGGATTAGCGTTTGCTTCATTTCCCAGTTATTAATTAACAGAACAACTTTGGTTGGTGCAGAGTAGTCAGTCTCCTTTTCAACATCCATAATAAAGCCCATGTCGTTCAATAGAATACAGTGGTACCTCGGTTTACAAACTTAATCCATTCCAGAAGTCCGTTTTTAAACCAAAGCCGTTCTTAAACCGAGGTGCACTTTTCCTAATGAGGCCTCCCACCTCCAGTGCCCTTCCACCGTTCAGCTTCCATTTGTAGACCAAGGTAAAGTTCGCTAACCAGAACACCTACTTCCAGTTCGTTAACAGGGCTGATCATAGACCGAGGTACCACTGTATAATAGGATTCATCAACTGAGATTACTCTCCATCCCAGCAATTGAATCGTTGTTGTTTCCCCCTCTGTTAAGCCAAGTTAACAAATAAACACAGACAGATAATTTGCACTATCCTTATTTTTTTATAGCGCCATCTGTGCTTCTGTATGAACATAGGAAAGAATCCTTATAGTCCATTAGACCAATGGCCCATTTCAGTCAGTATCATCTTCATTGATGGGAAACCTGTGTATTTCAGATATGTTAGACTACAGCCCATGATCTCTGAACATTAGCCATGCTGGGTAGAGCTGATGGAGTTGTAGTCCAACAACATCTGGAGGGCCACAGGTTAGCAGTGCTGACTGGTAGTGGCTCTGTAGGGTTTCAGGACATGCCATTGGGGATTACATTTTGGACCCTCTGCATGCTGAGCAGGTGCTCTGCCACTGAGCTGTGGAACATAGAAAGGTGCTTTATACTGAGTCAAACCACCACTTCATCTAGCTCAGTATTGTCTATATCAGCGTTTCCCAAACTTGGGCCTCCAGCTATTTTTTGGACTACAATTCCCATAATCCCTGACCATTGGTCCTGCTAGCTAGGGATCATGGGAGTTATAGTGCAACAACAGATGGGAGACCCACGTTTGGGAAACACAGTGGCAGTGACTTTCCAGGGTTTCAAGCAGGGGGCGTTTCCAGACCTACTTGGAGACTGAACATGGGACTTTTTGCATGCAAAGCAGATGTTTTACCTCCTTCCTTTAGAAACATAGGACACTGCCTTATATTGAGTCAGACCTTCAGTCCATCTAGCTCAGCATCATTCACACTTACTAGCAGCGGCTGCCCAGGTTTGCAGGCAGAAGTGTCTGTCTTTCTCTCTCTCCAGCCCTACCTGGATATGCCAGAGGGAGCCTCCTGCATATGCTCTACCACTAACCTGCCTGTCTCTTTCCCCAGCCTTGTCGAGTTCCACCCAGACACTTCTAAGCTACAACTCTTCTCTTCTTCCATGGACAACACCATCCGGGTTTGGGACCTGAAGTCCAGCGAGTGCGTCGCTCAGCTAGAAAACCATTACAGCTCTGTCACCTCCCTCGCTTTCTCTCCTGACAATGAGACGCTCATCAGGTGAGAACCTGGAAGGGGAGCTCCCTCTGTGCTTTCTTTCTGTTCTGCAAATCAGAATCCATTTAAGTTTCATTAAATCACTTCAAGGCAGCTTACAAAATACAAGCAGTCTACAAATACAGTGGTACCTCAGGTTAAGAATTTAATTCGTTCTGGAGGTCTGTTCTTAACTTGAAACTGTTCTTAACCTGAAGCACCACTTTAGTTAATGGGGCCTCCTGCTGCTGCCGCGCCGCCACTGCACGATTTCTGTTCTCATCCTGAAGCAAAGTTCTTAACCCGAGGTAATATTTCTGGGTTAGCGGAGTCTGTAACCTGAAGCGTAACACAAGGTACCACTGTATAGAAGAATTAGAATCAAACGTGTCAGCCAGCAAAATTTTCAATGCAATCCCAAAAGCAAACACTGCCATCCTTCCAAAAAAAATACATGGTACAAAACAGAACAGTTTAAATACCCAGCAGAACAGAAGTATGTTAACAGTGCCTACATATGTGTAACGACACCTACTCTCTGCCCACTGATGATATTTCTGTTATAATTATAATTATTGTTATTGCTATTATTGCTGTTATAATCTGTTTATTTATATACCACATTTTCTACAAATTTGTACTCAAGTCAGTTTACAGCAGACAAAGACAATTAATACAGTAACCATGTTACATAAGTAAAACCATTATACCATTTACAATTCTAAGTAAAGTATGTTAAGCAAGCACTTCTGCATTATGTCGGTGTCTGCTAAAATGTCTTTGTTTAGGCAAGGCTACCCAGACGTGTAACTTTATTTCATTGTGTGTGTGTGTGTGTGCGTATAAACTAGGAGTGTGCACTTGTTTGTAATACAAATGTAATGTACATATAACCCCATTTTTTAAAAACCAAAGGGTGAACAAACATGAATCTGGCACATTTGGTTTATCATTGTTTTTGTTTGTCCCCTCTCCCTGATATTTTGAAAAGATGATGTCTTGAGAACAAAACCTGCACATTTCCCACTATTTGGGTGGAAAACCACATAAAGTTAACAGGGAAGAAAAGACTGGGTTGGTCTCCATTGAAATCAGTGGAAAAACTGTGAGGTGAAGTGAAAGTTTCTCCCCATTGAACACCTCTATGGGAAACTGAAGCCAATACAAAACCTCTTGCCCAAAGAAAGCCATGTGTGAGGCTCAGATGCTCGCAAGTCTCACTCAGCCTGAGAGGAGTTGTGTAAAATCTTCTGTGCCTCAGTTTCCTCACCTGTAAATGGGCAGTTCCGAGCCTATCAAACCATTCTCATGGAAACCCTTGTGCTGTGTCTGCAATTCCAGTTATCTAGTTCCAAAGGGCTGAAAGTGACACTGTGTTTGATTTCAGCTCCGGCCGTGATAAAATCTGCACTGTGTGGGACCTGAACAAGGGAGAAGCCAAGGGCACCATCCCTGTCTATGAGGTGAAGTTCTTTTCCGCCCCTGCCTTCCTACTTTGCTTACTCGGAAGGGGCGATCTGGTCTCGAATTCTTCTTTTCTGTGATGTGTTGGGAGAAGAGAGTTGGCCGTATTCACACATCAAGGTTTATAGTGAATACACAGGTGGCTCTTGCTTCACCCCTCCCCTCTAGCCACCAGGAGCAACAAACCATAATCCCTGCCATAGTGTAAGATCTGACCTGGTTTGCTGCACTCCAAACAAACCATGAAGTTAAAACCTTGGCTTACCGATCATGGTTTACTTGAGCAAAGCCACAATCCCCAGTTTGGACCCAGTGACTGTGGTTTGCTGCTCCTGCTTGCACTAGGGGAGGAACAATCACTTTGCTTGTTAAACCATGGTTTACCATGACATGCACACTGCCGGGGTTTTGTTTTTTATTTTGAATGGCTCACCGGTCCTAATTTTGTTTCAACCTTAAAACTTGGCCATGTTCTGGCAAGCTGTTAGACTGACCCAGTCAGCCCGCCACTGGGAATTGTAGGTCAAGCACCAGTTTGGCAAAAGCTGCCCTAGAGATACAGCCTAATTCCATGTGTCTCCTTGACTATGAATAGGCCATCATCTATCTTTTAGGTGCATTGCACGTTGCTGAATTTTTCCAGACAGAGCCACACTTGGCCACACTGGTGTGAAAAGTAGCTTCTCTGCCCAATAAATGCCTCTGGAGCTGTCTGGCATTGGTTGGGGGCGGGGTGGATGTCTCTCACTCTTTTCCTGTTCATGACTCCTGCTGACTTCTTTATCCACCTTAGAGCATTGAATCTGTGGTCATGTTGCCAGAACAAGGGGATTTCTCGTGTTTAGGTGTGAGTAAAGAGAGCCTTCACTTTGTAACAGCAGGCAGCAAAGGTGGGTAGAAGACCTTTTTCTTACTCGTAAACAATTTTTTAATGTGTCAGAGGAAAAGTAAGAAAGAAAATACAGAGTAAAAGCAGAACTTTTTTTATAATTTCTTATAATTTGTGTTCCGATATACAGTGGTACCTCGGGTTAAGTACTTAATTTGTTCCGGAGGTCCGTACTTAACCTGAAACTGTTCTTAACCTGAAGCACCACTTTAGCTAATGGGGCCTCCTGCTGCCGCCGCGCCGCCAGAGCATGATTTCTGTTCTCATCCTGAAGCAAAGTTCTTAACCTGAAGCACTATTTCTGGGTTGGCGGAGTCTGTAACCTGAAGCGTATGTAACCCGAGGTACCACTGTATTAGGAATAGCTCTCCTAACACACACACACACTCCATTTTTATCCTCACAACAACCCTGTAAGGTAGATTAGGCTGAAAGACTTGGGCCAGCCCAAGGTCACCCATGAGCTTCATGACTAAGTGGGAATTTAAACTTGGATCTCCAAGGATGTAGTTCAGCATTCTCACCATTCTACCACCCTGCATCCGGATAGTTGGAAGGGAGCAGGTCCCGCCCTTCCTCTTCCTGTTACGTGTGTGTGTGTGTGTGTGTGCGCGCACACACACACGCTGGAGGACAGAGATTGCCTAAAGCCAATTACTGGGACAGGAGAATGGTATCCATAGGATTGGAGAAATGAGTTCTTTGGGGCACTTGACCTCCAGCAAAAAGCGATATATCTTGGAAGGTTTTCCCATAAGGTCTGGAAACCTGCCCACCCAGCTATGTTTGGCAAACAGAAGCCAAGGTTCCCAGCCCGCTGCAGTCCATGCCAGAGCTCACAGAACTGCTCAGGATATATATGGGTTGCAAGGCTTTTCCTCGCCTATGCAATATTTTCCCCCTGTAACGATTTCCTATTTTAGAAATCTATCTCGCCTACTTTTCCCAAACAAATTCAAGGTGACTAGCAAAGAAGAAACAAATAACCAACCCCAGTTCAGTTCAGTTCATCTTCTTAAAACAGCCTGGCCAAGCTGGCCAGGTGCTAATGGGAATTGTAGTTCAAAACATATGGAGGGGCACCAGGTTGGCCACAGCTGCTTGGGCTACACCCCCCCCCCCAATTACAAGAGGCCCCCATTTGCCTCAAACCTTGCCCATCTTTGCAAGTTATTTGATGATGCTGATGCGTTGTGTGCTGTGTGTTAGGGATCCTCCGAGTCTGGGATGCGGCGTCAGCCACCTGCGTTCACAGCCAGTCCTTGCCCTGCCTCCCGGCAGCATGCATGGATCAGGAGGACGGGCTGCAGAGCCTCATGCATTGCGTCCTGGTGCCCATGAAGAGCCAAATTGTCACCGTGAACTCGGAACGCAACATCTGCATGTATGATGCACAGACCCTTGAGCTCAGGAAGCAGGTAATCCGCTTCTTAATTATTATTGATTTTTAAGATTTACAATATTTCAGAGTTGCCGTAACGTAAGTTATTGATCAACCTCAGAAGGTGGTGGTCCCTCTTTCATTGGAGCAGTTCCAGATGTTTGTGTTCAAACCCCTGGAACGTACCCCCCCACACACACACACACTCACTGTTCTGAATCTGCTGACTGGTAAGGACAGAGTTTCAGGCTCCTGTCCCTACCAGGAGATGCAAGGGAGTGGAACTGGGACCATCTTCATGCAAAGCTGGTATGCTAACCCATCCGGCTTGACTCTTGCTCTTCAGTTTGCAGGTTACAATGGAGAGGTTTTGGATGTCAGGTTCCTGGGCCCCAGAGACTCCCACGTGGTTGTGGCCACCAACAGCCCCCAGCTGAAGGTCTTTGAGCTGGTGACATCTAACTGCCAGATCCTGCACGGCCACACAGGTAGGTGGCAAGAAGCTCCTCCAGTTTTCCGTGCGGGATAGGTGCAGGGATGCCTTTCTCAGGGGCTGCGGTTGATGCAAAATTCGGCTGCTAAATATTGTACAGGGCGTTTGGTCCCAGGGCTGCCTTGTCCTGTTAATTGTTTGCCAGTTCAGTGTGGCAACAGCACATCACACCGGCCTTCTTTCTTGCAGATATCGTTCTTGCCTTGGATGTCTTCCGAAAGGGGAGGTTGTTTGCCAGCTGTGCGAAGGTAATTTCCCTGTTGGGATTCATTTATTTTTAATTCATTGTGCATTAATTCAAGTGGGTGATGGGGGGGGGCTCCAGGCCTGAGGCTCATCCCTAAACAGCGTGGGTCTCTGTGTTACTTATGCTTCAGAGCCCTCTTCAAGCACAGAAAGGAACTTTTCCATGTGCGGTTGATGCGCAGGATGCAGGCCTCTGGATTGGCTAAGTCAGCGCTAAAGAGACCTGTCCGTAACAAGGAAACTGGCCCAAGCGCTTCCTGCTCTGTAATCACCATTTAGCTTAATTATCCTACTGCTCTTGTTCTGATGCTGGCGTGACATTTAAGGTCAGGGCTGCGGACTTTCAAACTCAATTTTAGCTCAGGAAGCATCTGAAATATGTGGACAATCTAAACGCTGGATAAATGGGGGCATTGTTTAAAGGCCGCTATGCATAGACTCGGCTTTGAAGGAGCTCCGCAGGGTCTCTTAACGGATGCATTCCCCAACTTCGTGTCCTCCTTTTCTCTCCTCTGCCCCCCCCCCCCAGCACTGGAATTGCTGGTCTCATGCAGGGCCTCCCTCCTGATTTTCCACATCACAGGACAGTTTCAGCAAGTTGCTTGTGTTGTGGTTTCTGCAAGGAATTGTTTTCCTTCTTAAGGAACTTCCTGTGTCTCTGGATTAGTACATCTTGCTTTTGCAAGGTCCAGCCCATGCATACAGCACACCCTCCCCGGGCCACAGCCCCTTCCATGCCACAACTTGCACCAACCCTGCTCTGTGCTCTCCTGAGTGTTTTTGCCTGACTGGAATGTGTCTGGTTGGAGGATACAGAGGATACTGTTTGCCTGGTTGGAGGATACAGAGAAGGGGGGTCATGTAGGTACTAGCCTGCTGTACAAAAAGCAGCGTTCAGTTGTTGGTCTGCCCACTTTTGCCTCTGACCCCATCCACCACTGGCATGTGGTCCCCAGCAGGTTGCCCAGAAGGGATTGTGGCCCCCAGGCTGAGAAAGCTTCCCCTACCCTCTTGTAACCCATCCTCCACCTCTTCCACTTCCAGGATAAAAGCATCAGGATTTGGCGGATGAATGACCACGGTAATGTCTTCTGCGTCGCCCAGGGCCTGGGCCATACCCAAGGAGTCGGTGCTCTCTCATGCTCCAGGTAACAACAACAGAATCCATTCCCTGCCTCCTCCCCAGCCTCCCTTCAGTTTCTTGGTGTGTTGTTGTTGATATGTGTTTTTTAAGAGTCTTCTTGTCTGCAAACCCTTGACTGTGGCTGTTTCATAGCAGAGCTTTTTCTTCCCCAGCGGCAGGTTGGGGCTCTTTTCTACTCTGAGTAGAAAATCTCCTCCAGCTGCTGTGTTTGGTGTTTTCTCTCCTTCAGTGTTGGTTTCCAGGGCCTCCAAAGACCTGGCGTGAAGCTTGCCTGCTAAGCAAGCGTTCACCATCTCTTCCTTTCGACCATTCAGAGTCAGAAATGTGGAACAGTTGCATCCTCTGCCATCATCATGTGCACCCAAACACTTCGTGCAGACACCCAGTCCCTGAAATGTTTGGGAAAGGTGTGGAAAAAGTTCACACTGCCCTGAGATGTGAGCGGGCTCTATGTCACATTCGCAACTTGCATTGAAAGCACATTAAGGAATCCTGAGAACTGTAGTTTGCCAAGGACTGCTTCCAGCAGAGATTCAACAGGTGCCATTTCAACTTCTAAACGCCTGCTGGAAACTTTTCTATACTGTCAAGCTGGTGCAGGCAATTAAGAATGCACTTTTCCGTAACAGTTAGCTGATTTCTGATTTTGACCTTTTCAAATGGTTTTTATGGTATGGTTTTATTTATAATTGTTTTGAACCATGGTACATAAATAGTGGGATGTGGGTGGCGCTGTGGGTTAAACCACAGAGCCTAGGACTTGCCGATCAGAAGGTCAGCGGTTTGAATCCCCGCAACGGGGTGAGCTCCCGTTGCTCGGTCCCTGCTCCTGCCAACCTAGCAGTTCGAAAGCACGTCAAAGTGCAAGTAGATAAATAGGTACCGCTCCGGTGGGAAGGTAAACGGCATTTCCGTGTGCTGCTCTGGTTTGCCAGAAGCGGCTTAGTCATGCTGGCCACATGACCCGGAAGCTGTACACCGGCTCCCTCGGCCAATAAAGTGAGATGAGCGCCGCAACCCCAGAGTCGGCCACGACTGGACCTAATGGTCAGGGGTCCCTTTATTTTTACCTTACATAAATAGCATACATAAGTATTTTTTATAAATAAGGTTTCTGGTAAGTGCAGCTTCATTGAGAGATAAATTATAGTTCCCAGGATACTTGGCAGGGAGGGGGGAGCAGTGTGCTTTAAATATATGAAGCGGATGTGACCCTTGTGACTTTAAAAGAGGATTAGACAGCTGCTTGGAAAAGGCTATCAAAGGTGCTCTTATGTGACACCCGCCATCCTATTGATTGGAAGTGTTTAGTTGACTTATCTGGCTGTTCCCTTCCCTCACTACCCCTCTTTGTCTGTCCCTCTGCTGAAGTGATGTCCTAGGTGACTGCTATCCCAAACAAGAGCGTAACATTCTTCGGCCAAGTCCTTAAACATGCTATTTTTCCTGCACCACCATCCCCACCTCTTCTGGTCTCTCTTCGCTTCCTTTTTCCTTCTCGCTTTCCTTCCTCTTTTTCCTTCTCCTCTTTGGTGCCCTTTACAGCACCCAGGGTTCGCCTTCCCAGCAGCTCAAACAATGGGGTGATACAGGTGAGCTGAGCAGCGCAGGTGGCTGCCTGCAGGTGTTACTGATTCCACTGCATGCCTCTGAATCCCAAGAGAAGGTGATCAATGCAGGCCCAGTGCTGCAAGCATTCTCCATCCCAGCCTTCGCTTTGGGTGGGCCTTAGGCATTCCAGAAGGCATCCCCACCCTGCACTCCAGAGCTGCAAATAGGCAGGGAGGATGGGGCAGCAATAGTCTGCAGACCTGTGTGTGTGCACAAGCACTTCACTTTAGAGCTCCCTGTCTAAAGCATCCGTTTGCACCCTGCCATTTCTCAAGGCAGATGAAAGAGCAGAGATCAAGAGGATTCCTTAATTTCGCGTTGACGCAGCTTTGAACTGGTTGTCAGGTCAGAGATAACGAGCGGTGCTGGAAAGCCTTAGAAATTATTTTGTTGCTGAGGTTCCTCTTTGATGTCCAAAATCTGTTGCTTTTTTCCCCTTTTTAATCATTTCATTTGAAGAGTAGTAGTTGTGGCTACACTACGGCTAGCAGAATCAGCTCCCAAATTAATTGGACAGAAATATTTGAATACATGGTTCTTTAAAAAACAAGAGATTTTCCCTTCTCTTTTTTTGTGTGTGTTTTTCCTCCATCCCACTCAACAATCCATGATCTGTATGAGATAGCTCAGTCGGTAGAGCATTAGACTCTTAATCTCAGGGTTGTGCGTTTGAGTCCTACGTTGGGGGAAAAGTTTCCTGCATTGCAGGGAGTTGTACTGGATGACCCTGGTGGTCCCTTCCAACTCTACATTGATGTTTATTTTTTGTGGTAGAGCATATCTGAGTGGTAGGGCATCTGCTTTGCATGCAGAAGGTCCCAGGCTCCTAATGGCATCTCCAGGTAGGGAAGGGAGAGAACCTTGAAAAGCTGCTGCCAGTCAGTGCAGGCAATAATGAGCTAGATGGACCAAGAATCTGTCTCTATATAAGGAAATGCACTACCAGACTTCAAGGGGGGCAGGAATAGCTCCTGGCTGTATAGAGCTGCTGCCAGTCAGTGTGGACAATACTAAGCTGGGTGTACCTATGGTCTGACTTAGTATAGGGCAGCTCCCTATGTTTCTTCCTGGCTTCCTTTTCAGGGTTCCCCCCCCCCCATGTCTGCAAATCCTGGGTTTCCCCTAAGGAAGCTGGTGCCCTTCTCTCCTGCTTTTCAGTAGCGCTGTTTAGGCTAAACAGCTGTCATATGAATTACGTCTGAGTTTACAATGGGTTTATGTTGAGGGGCTCAAGGCAGGTTTGTTCTCTGCACAGGTGCAGCAATTAGTGGTAGCTCTGTTGCTTCTGACCTTCCTTTTAATGTCATTCACTCCCCCCCCCCCCTTTCCCTCCGCTTCTTTCCAGGATGAAAGAGAACTTTGTGGTCACAGCCAGCAAAGACAACACAATGAAAGTGTGGAGTATCCCCGAGTACATCACTGCCAGGGAACCTACAGCCGCTCCCACCACAAATCCTGTCCCCCAACCAACTGCCCCTCCAGTCACAAAGCCTGCTCCCCCTCCCGCGGCCCCTCCAGTCACAAATCCAGCTCCCCCTCCCACTGCCCCTGCCGCCACAACTGCTGCCACAGCTGCAACCACAACTGCTGCTACAACTGCAGCCACAACTGCTGCTACAGCTGCAACCACAACTGCCGCCACAACTGCTGCCACAGCTGCAACCACAACTGCTGCTACAACTGCAGCCACAACTGCTGCCACAGCTGCAACCACAACTGCTGCCACAACTGCCGCCACAACTGCTGCTACAACTGCAGCCACAACTGCTGCTACAGCTGCAACCACAACTGCTGCCACAACTGGCACAACTGCTGCCACAACTGCTACAACTGCCACCAAAACCTCTACCGCACCTGATGCCAAAACTGCCCCCTCTAAAAACGCAAGCTCAAAAAGTGCCAAAAATGTCAAAATTACCGAATCTCCCACGACTCCCGAAGAACCCGTAGCTCTTGAAGCCACAGTGACGACAACACCCCACCACAAGGTCAGGCAGTGGCGGAGTTTAGCGGTCCTTTGGAGCTTGGAGAGTGAGATGACCTCCTCCCTCCACAGCTCTGGAAATGCTTATCTAATAGAAAATACCAGTTGTTTAAAAATCTGAGGTGAACTTCTGTCGTTGTTGTTGTTCTGCCCTTCCTCCTAATGGAGCCCAAGGCAGCAAACAGCAATACACAACTAAAAACAAAACAAAATATATTTAGAACATCTAAAAATATTTTGGGCTGGGTTTTACGCAAACACAAAAAAGTGGGGTTTGTCCACTTCTTGAGATTTCCCCCAGTTGTTGTCTTGTCTTATTTGTTGCAAGGTGGAGAATGCAGCCACTCAGGCCTGGAGAAAATTTAATAAATTTCCCGCCTTCGGGCCGTGGGTGGGAGATCAGGAGCATGCCAGTTTTTCACTCCATTTCTCTTGTCCATGAATTTTCCCTATCCCTTTTCTGGCACTGAGCATCATGCTCGTGTTGACTCCAACCATGGTTAGCTTCATTTTGGGTGAACAGGGAGGTTTATGAACCTTCTGTGCCTGTAGCGGGGGGTGGGGGAACCACCTTTAAATAAGTGTTAATAATAGAATTGTAGAGTTGGAAGGGTCCCTGAGGGTCATCTAGTCCAACCCCCTGCAGTGCAGGAATCCTGCCCACAGTCATGCCTGGTGGGCTTAAACCACCAACCTTCTGGTTAATAGCCAGATGCACTGACCTATTGTGCCACTGGGAAAACATCACCAACACAGTAGGGGCTGGGTTTGCAAACCATGGTTATTATTAACATTGAAATGGCCATAATGCTATCTATGGTTAGTCCAAATTCATGTACAGTGGTACCTCAGGTTAAGTACTTAATTCATTCCGCAGGTCTGTTCTTAACCTGAAACTGTTCTTAACCTGAAGCACCACTTTAGCTAATGGGGCCTCCTGCTACTGTCGCGCCACTGGAGCACAGTTTCTGTTCTCATCCTGAAGCAAAGTTCTTAACCCGAGGTACTGTTTCTGGGTTAGCGGAGTCTGTAACCTGAAGCGTATGTAACCTGAAGCGTATGTAACCCGAGGTACCACTGTACAAGAGGGGGTGGGGAGGAAGCGCACAGGTCCCATGGCAAACCCACGAGTATGAGTTTAGCGACATCGCGCCTGCATCGGGTCAGATTCAGGCTGCCATACAGATAGTGCTGTGATGTGTTGTGTTGTGGAGCAGTTACCCAACTTATAAAAATTACTTATTTTTAACATGTAAAAAACGAGTAATATGTCTTGTTGGTGCTCCTGGCTATAAAGAAGTCTGGAATTCTGAATAACTTGCAATTCCTCAGCTTGCAAGAGAATGCACCACCAGAAGACATCTCTTTGTTTTTTTGTTAAGGATGTAAATAGCGTGGCGGTTTCTCCAAACGACAAGCTGATTGCTACAGCATCCCAGGACAAGACGGCCAAGCTGTGGACCTCCGACAATTGCGAGCAATTGGGAACCTTTGTCGGACACAAACGAGGCGTCTGGTGTGTGCAGTTCTCACCGGTGGATCGGATCCTAGCCACCTCTTCTGCGGACGGCACTGTGAAACTCTGGAGTCTGCAGGATTTCAGCTGTCTAAAGGTACCCTATGGGGCCATCTTTAACACCTAGCCATTATTTTTCATTGGCCAGAAGTTTAGGAGCCTTGAACTTCCTGTAATTTAGATTAAATGGTTAGAAATAATATATGGCTAACCGCATCTGGCGTGTAAGAGGTTTAAGGAATGGCAAAAGGAGGATAAATAGGGCCATTAATTTTCATGGGAGGATAGTGCTATCAGTAGCTACGAGTCACAATGGCTATGTTCTACCTCCACTGTTGGAGGCAGTGATGCTTCTGAATATTAGTTGCTGGAAACTTCAGGCAGGGGGTGGGCTGTTGTGCTTGGGTCGTGCTTCAGGGTTTTCCACTGGGGCATCTGGTTGGCCACTGTGAGAAGAGGTGTTGCTTCTGTGCAGAAAATAAGGCAATTGTGCACTGGCTGCCGGTATGCCAAATTGAAGGTGTTCCTGCTAGTGTATAAAGCCCTAAATGTCTTGGGGTCAGCCTTTCTGCATGCAGTACCTTCCTGTTGTTTGAGAGAAGCATTGCAAACTGTCCCGTAGGACCTCCATTTGGCAGCCACAAGGACTGGGGCAATTGGCATAGCGGCACCTATGTTGTGGAGTTCCCTGCATGTTCCTTTGCATGCTAAGCACATGTCTTCTGTGTTTAGTTTTACACAGCAGTTCCTGCCATATAGCCCAGCTCTGTGTTTGCTACTCTTCTGATTCTTGCCTTTTCACATTTCTAACTTTGGTGTTACACTGATCTTATGCAAGTTTTTCCTCCTTGATTCAGGAGTACTGAAATGTGTGTATCTATAAAAAATAAAACAAATAAGATGTGTTGACCATCAGAAACCCCATTCAGCCCCCTCTCTTGTTTTAATGAACTGCTTTCTTTAGGAGCAGTCTCTATTCTGGTCAAGTCAGTAGCTAGACTCCCAGTGACTGGAATAGTAGGCTCCATTCTTGATGAAAACTGAGGTTGTTCAGGATTCAGAATAAACTGGGTAGATTTTTTTATCCCATGCACTTCCCCCACCTGTTCAGGAATGATTACGTAGCATCTTATCAAGCTATTCAGTGGACAAATGTTTTACGACTCAATTATGTAGACATTTGAGTGGATATGTAATCTGGGGGCTGCCTGGTTGGCAGTAACTCATGACAGAGCCTTCTGGGTGGTGGGTCCCCATTTGTGGAATGCCTTCCCTGGTGAAGTGCGTCAGTCTCCGTTATTATCGTTTTGGAGAAATTTAAAAACATTCCTCCCCTCCCCACCCCGGCATTTAATGCCTGAAAGACATGTCTCTGGCATCCCTGAAATTATTAGTTTTGAGACTAGGTGATTGCATTTAGGAGTTTTTAAAACTGTTTTTAGAAGTTTTAATTGTATTGTTTTCGTATTGACATGGTTGCCACCCTAGGCTCCTTGAGAGGAAGGAAGGCGTATAAATTTAATAAATAAATGTATAAATAACAGCAGGAACAACTTCACTGCCGTCACAACGTTCTTTCTACCTGCTCATGCTTGCTTCTCCCTCTTCCTTGCCTCTCCAGACTTTTGAAGGTCACGAAGCCCCTGTGCTGAAGATCATTTTCGTGAGTGGAGGGGGACAGGTGCTGAGCAGGTATGTCTTCTGTGGAAAGGGTGTGGCATTTTGCTTAGGCTGATGGGCTAGGCAGTCACCCTCTGAAGAAAACAAAATAGTTACCTGTTACTAGAGGTAGGCTGAGCCCCCAGTTCCCCTGCTTGTTCCCCAGCGGTGCCTCGTATTAATATATATATTGTATTTAGCTCTATATAATAAAAATGTAAGGGTGTCATCGCGTAGTCCTCGTTGGAGGATTTGTAGTGCCTCATCACAACTCTGGATTGTGGAGGCAATGGCAGAGCAGAGCAAGCAGGGGCACAGCCCCTAGTATTTAATATAAATCTCTAAGCGCAATAATTTGTTTTGTTTATTGAGTTTATATCCTGCCCTTCTTCCTGGTGGACCCCAATAAATGACATCTAACATTAGTCTCTCCTTGTCTCTTCTCCTCCTTCCCCCAAAGTGGAGCAGATGGCCTTATGAAACTTTGGACAATCAACAACAACGTTTGTGTGAAGACCTTCGACGCTCACGATGATAAGGTGTTGGGCCTACACGCCAATAGGAGAGACAACGCACTGGTGACCGGCTCCGCCGATTCCAGGGTCTTGCTGTGGAAGGTACAACCGACACAAATGCCTGACCTAAAGACCACCATTATAATCTGGCTTATTTGCTTTATGTTCTTTTTCTTCTTCTTCACCCTCTACCTCGTCGTCTTGATCAAAATTCGCTAGTGCCCTTCGTGGAAACGCAGAACGATCCACCTTTCCTGTGGCCTGGTATTGATTCCGATCTGTAATAAACGGGTGCCATTTTTGAACAGAGTCAGTCAATATTGCTTGTCCGTTTCTTCAGTGAACCAAGTCCATCAGTTTATGAGTTTGTGCCAGTGGAAGCTGGTCCGTGATGGCAAATAGGCTGCTGCTCCACCAACCTCAGTTCTGTCCTCAGCCAGCTTCCACCTGCCTGCCTTCTTACAACCATTCTAGCAAGTGGCCCTGGCTGTCAGCCTCTCCCTCCTTAGTCTCTGTGTTGCCCTTGCTGAAGTCAGTAAGGAGAAGGAGGACACAACTAGTATTAGTTGGCTTTGTCTGTCATTGCCTCTGGCACCACTTAATATTGGTCCCTGTGCCTTCTGCTCCGTCAGTCTCAGTGGATACCAGCCACCCCAGTTTGTGCCATTTCATATGCATTTTGAGTCCCATTTGATTAGAGTAGCTATGGGCATCTGTCATTGTATGGTGGTGAGGCGATTCAGAATTATTATCCTACACACTCCTTGAGGATCTCACTAAATAATTTAGGAGTGATGAAAATGTCCAGGTTAATGTGAGCGTAGGAATCTGCCTTATACACAGTCTGATCGTCTGTACAACCAGCCCAATGTTGACTGCACTGATGGGGAACAGCTGTCCAGGGCTTTGGGCAGAGAAGGGTCTTTAACCACCCATCCCTCTTCTCAGGCAACTCTGGGAATTGTAGCTCCTTGAAGGGAATGGGGTCTCAGCACCCTTAACAGACTACAGCTCCCAGGCTCCTTTGAGAAAAACAATGGCTGTTTAAGGTGGTACCATAGTGCTTTAAATGTGTAGTGCGGACGTTGCCTTAGTCGTGCTTCTAAGTTTAAGCTAAGATTCAGGCCTCCAAGGCAGCCATGTGCTAATGCCCCCACTGCCAGGGATAGATCATGTGACCTAGAAAACTTGTTCCTCTAGCTCCACTTTAGTTCCTTTGCCTGCCTTGCCATGGAGAAGTTCTGTCCTTCATCTTCCTGCTTTCATGATTTCTTAAAACTAACTTCCTTCCTTCCTTTCAAGGTAAGGTGTCCAGTGATGCTGATATTGGTTCTTGTTCTAGTAAATATATACTGTATTCCAGTTATCCTTCAGAAACCATTATCATATAATAACTGCATGCAGCTATTCATTTATTTTACTTAACATACATTTCTGACTTCATTTTAGGGCAAGCTTAAAAGAGAGAGAACTGGACAAATTCACGGTAGATAAGGCTGTCATGTGACTACTTTCCGCAATGGCTGTGCTCTGCCACCATGGTTGGAAGCAGTAATGCTTCTGAATGCCTGTTTCTGGAAACCACAGGAGGGGAGAGGGCTCTTGGGCTCAGTTTCTGCTCTCAGGTTTCCTATTGGGGCACCTGGGCAGCCACTTTGAGAACAGGATGCTGCGTAGATGACCATTGGCCAGATCTAGCAGGCTTTTCTTATGTGCTTGTCTTCTTAAAACACAAAGCAATGGAACAAGCACAAAGCAATGGAACTTTACTGGGCCCAGGATCTCCCACAATCTGTGTGCCTTATTTTTCAGAGGAAGCGTAACCAGTAAAACTGGTTGCAAACCTCAATCCCAGATGATGGTCTTGGCAATCCAATAAGCCCACAAGCCTCTCTTTTCAGGATGAGGCTCCTTTCAAGAGGAGCATAACTCTGGTTTGTTTTCCCAAAAGGAACTTTCATAGTTTCTTTAAGCTCCTCACCTCCCTACAGCACACCAGTGCTGGTAAAGACAGGTATATCAATCAACTGTGTTTGGGTAGCACTGATGTTTCAAGCCGTGCTTTCTTTAGATGGAACCACCCACACAGATCCTCTTTTGTGCTCAACAAAGCTGTCGTGACTTAGTTTTTGCCAGCCGTTGAAAACTGACCAACAGTTTCACACTTGGGTACCTAACAGATGGATTTGGAAGTTTCAAGGCACAATTGATTCAAGCTCCATGCTTCTTTGGTGGCATTGCCTTCAAAAAAATATCAGCTTGCGTTTCCTGTGTGGCCGGGGCTGGTGAAAGTTATAGTTCAAAACAGGTTGGAGTAAGGCCACTCAATACAAAGAGAAATCTTTTCCGATTTCTGCCCTGATGCCTTTAACACAGAGTTAGGGAAGCATTTTAGCAGATATTCAACTGTCCCTGCCTCTGCAGGGCAGCTTCAACGGGTGGGTGGCATAACCTACCTGCCAATTTTTGCATTGAAGCAGCTGCTAAAACAGAGCTTTTCCTTTCCTTTTTAGTCGTGGTTTTAATGAAACCCGTCAACACCTTGTCCCAGCAACGGAACAATCAGGAGCTCCCTTTAACCTCCCAATTGTTCGAGTGTAGTTGTGGCTGTACCTGCCCTGCACCTGGTGGCGTAAGGGGGCTGGTGACCATGACTTGTGAGGGACGACACAACAGGCCAGACTGGAACTCACCCCAGGTCAAATTTGACCCACCAGGCAGGGGTTTCCCCACCCTTGCCTTTTAACAGAACAGTTTTGCTCTAAAAGCTGTCGCCTAGGGCTCTGGTACAAATGCAAATGCCAGCTGTGATAGTGGGCACTGCTGTCTGTTAAGTGCGAACGGTTGTGTAAGGTGGTTCTTAATGGACATTTTCACCTTTTGGTGTAGCAGGTGGAGGAAGCCTTCTGAGTGCAGGCAAATTCTGTTTGCCTGGTGAAAACTTGCATCCCTTAAACAACCTGCATGATCAAACAACTTTGTTTCATTTTGCTTTTCGCAAACAACGTGATTCAGATTTGTTTCTTTGAATCTAGTCATCCGACTAAACAAGGGAACTACAAGTCCGTATGAAATGGATGCACGGTAACATCGATAGAAATTTAATCAGCCCTAAATAAAACCATGTTCAGCCTGAAGTTTGCTGACATATTGCAACATTCTCCTTTAGGAGTTTTGTTCCTCTAGCCCAAGATTTCTCCTTAAGGCTGGTGCCTGGGTCCAGCAGCAAGCTTCCTCTTCTTGGTGGGGACTGATGTGCCCACACTTCAGAGTTCTTGACACTTAATCCCCCACTGCAGCAGATGGAGGGAGAAGAGGGCTCCCCAGGGTGGAGGGAGCAATGTCATAGTCAATTCTCCCATGGACTGACATCATCCCCCCAAAGAGATTAGAGATAATTCATCTTTCTGGTTCCCCGTTGCCAGTGATAGTCAACATTAATTGTACTCTGAGTAGATCCCTTGAAAAATCAGTGGATTTAAGGGGCTTGTCCATTGCTTTCAGTGGGTCTGCCCTGGGTATAACTTAACTGGATATCGCCCTATTTTGGTAAAAAGCAATAATTACATTTTCTTTTTAAATTGTTTTATTTTCACCACAAGAGCACAAAAAGTCATTAAAGGAGATGCTTATACAATGGTGGTAAATACAACTGTATGTATGAATGTTAAACTAACACATAAATTAGGAGAGTCATATTTCTTACTTAGGTGGAGGTAAGGAGTCGTACAGGTCATTGTTTGAAATGTAAAATATAAAGTCCCACCAGATTGCATAAAATTGTTCTACTGGTTCTGTGTCTTTCATCACACAAATTTTGCGGGTTATCTTTTTGGTAATAGCCGGGTTCTACATTTAAAATCTAAAATATCTCTCTCTAAAAAAAACTCCGCAAATTCTGTAAAGGACTTGAGTATGTATGTTTAATTTTCCTGAGTCAATTTGACAGCATACTTTTCCATTGCCTGGTGGGACGAGGGTAACACCTGAAAACATGACCGCGTGGGTGGCTCTTTCAGTTCTAAAACTGAGGGGGAATCCCACAGGAGTTTCAGAAGTTGCATTTTCCGAGGCATCAGCCATTCCATTTTGCCATTTTTTCTTCTTCTTCTGTTCCTTCCCTTCTTTTGTGTTTCTGTATGTTAATAGGATGTCACTCAAACTGAGCTTGAAGAGGAACAAGTGAAGCAGGAAGAGCAGATTCTGAAGTGAGTATCTCGGGGCAACTTCCGCAGTTGGGCTGGGGATTGATTCTGGGGGGAGGCTCCCCAAAGAGTGCCATCTGTCCCATAAAAGTGCACACATATAAATACAAGTGTTGAAGTTGCGAGTGGTTACAGCAGCCTTTCCTGCTGCCCTCCAAATGCTTTGGACTACAACTCCCATCAGCCCTAGCTGCCTCGTCCTTCCCAGCATCAATGCTGATAGTGGGATGCTATTGCTGGGCGAGACACTCCTGGAGAATCTCACTTGTCTCTATAAGTGGTAGCATCAAGTATTTGAAAGTGGGAAGTCTGGGCTAGTTGAGAGACTGACCTCAGTGACCACCTGGAGACAGTCCCTTGCAAGGTACCCTGGGGGTGCCACAGGTGCTAGCAGCATGCCAGATACTAGATGGGACCCAAGATGGCCCTGGCCATCCTTCCAATGAGGGCTTTACAGTAGGAGGTCAGCTGCTTGCACAGAGGGCTGTCGAAGAATGAGTTTTCCACCTGCGTTGTGTTCCAGGCTCCATCCAGATTGCAAAACAGGGTAGTAGCAGGGTAAGGTCCATCCAGGTGGCCCAGGGAGCAAAAGAAAGAGGCATGCCTGGGAATGGAAGGGATCCCTCATGAGGCCTTCACGGCCTTCACCTCCTGGTCTGTCTTCATCAAATACAGCATTTGCCATTTTAGCTTTTCTCTGCCGTCACGGCAGCTAGAAACATGCTCTTTTCAAATTCCAGCTGTGATCCAGCACCCTCTCATTCTTGCTTTGTGTTTTCAGAGAGCAGAAGCTGTCTAACTTGCTGCATAAGAAGAAGTACCTGAAAGCACTGGGCTTGGCAATTTCCTTGGACCGGCCACACACGGTGTTGTCGGTGATCAAGGGTAAGGCTCTTGATAACAAAGAACATTAAGGGAGATTTTCCTTGAGTCTTGGCTGAGCCCTGAAGAAACCTGTTGAGCCCCGCTCTGTTGCTTTCCCTCGGCCTTGCAACATGATTCTGTTCACAGAGCGTTCCATGGGGCTTACTTCCAAGGCCCCGTCTTCTCCCCTATACATTTAAAGCAATGTCATACCTCTTTAAACAGTCGTGGCTTCTTTCCCCAAAGAATCCTGGGAACTGCAGTTTTGTTAAGAGTGCTGAGAGTTGTTGTATTATTACATTTATTTTCCGCCTTTCCTACCAAAGAGCTCAAGGTGGCAGACACATCTTTCTCCTCCTTTAATCCCCACAACAATCCTGCGAGGTAGGCTAGGCTTAGCGGCATTGACTGGCCCAAGGTCACCCAGTGAGCTTCATGGCCAAATGGGAGATTTGAACCTTGGTCTCTCCCAGGTCCTGTGCTGACACTCTGGCAACCAAGCCACATTGGCCTATCCTCATTCCCCTCCCAGAGCTACATTTCCTAGAGTTTCCTGGGAAAGTGGGACTGATTGTGAAACCACTCCTTTTAACCCCTCTTCTACACACACACAAAAAAAAACCAAACAAAAACTGGGATTTATTAGTGATTGGCTGTTCGTTGTTCTTCTTAGCTATTCTTAAGGAGGCTAATGGAAAAGAAGACTTGGAAAAGAACCTCCTGAAGCTTCGGAAAGACCAGAAAGGTTAGTTGGTATGCTGCAGGGACGACCTCTAAAGGGGTGTGTGTGTGTGTGTGTGTGTGTGTGTGTGTGTACTGAACTTAACAATTACCCAGCAGGTACCCTTTCGCAAAGTCTTTTTTTGTCGTTTTGAACAACAGCCATGGGAAAGTTGCGAGTTCAAGAAGAAAGACGGGTGAGAGGAGAGGTTGCTTGACCCTGTGCCCTCCTGGCATTTTTCTGATTCAAAACCTCCCACCAACACCGCAGGCTGCTTTTCTACTAGGTGGGGAGGGGTGTTGGATCTGCTTCCCTGCCTTGAAGAAAGGCGCAGGTCAGACGTGTGCCCAGACCTGGCCACGCTTCGCAAGAGAGGTGTGTTGGTTCAAGGTGGCCACGCTGCCTGCAACTTGCACTCCTTCCTGACGTGTCTTCCCCAAACCCCTTCTTCCAGAGGCTGTGCTGAAGTTTTCCATCACATGGAACACAAACTCGCGGAACTACCTCGAGGCTCAGGCAGTGGTGGAAACCCTCCTCAAGCATGAGACGCCAGAGAACCTCTTGCAATATGAAGGGATCAAAGCAGCTGTGGAGTCTCTCCTACCATACACAGGTAAGTGACCTTTTGAATACTTCTCCCCATCCCACCCCAGGCTTCATCCCGTAACTTCAGTTACGGGTTCATATCCTGCCTTTCCACCAGGGAGCTGTACATTGTTCCCTCTCCCCCAACCCAATTTTATCCTCACAGCAACCCTGTGAAGTAGGTTATCCTGAGAGAGAGAGAGAGAAGAGACTGGCCCAAGGTCACACAGTGAGCTAAACATCTGAGCTAGGGATTTTTCCCTGGGTTCCTGCAGTTCTAACCCAGTATTCCAGCCACTGCACTACACCATGACTGATCCTAAAATGGAGATTGTTGAGTGGGTGCAGCAGGGCTTCCAGGTGGGATTGCAAAGGATTAGACCTGGGACCTTCTGTATACAACACAGATGTTCTGCCGCTGAGCCAAGGCCCTTCTCTGGTCCACTGTTACTGATCTTATGGGAGATCCCTTGATGAGCTCAGAATGCAGTTTGAATGCCATGAACTTGGAAGGGAGCAACTGCTGATGTGGCAGGAACAGGTAACTTTCATTCCTCCCCCTGCCTCTCTCTTTCTGCAGAACGGCACTTCCAGAGGCTGGGCCGGTTACTGCAGGCCTCCATGTTCCTCGATTTCATGTGGCAAAACATGAAGCTGCCTGACACCGCCAAGTGGGACGAGGAGATGGACACATGATGAGCTTTGGGTGCCAGCAGCATGCGGGGCAGAAGAGCTGGACACTCCTGCCAAGTTGGCACTGCTCTCACCGGTGGAATATGTTGAATTGGTTTGTAAAAAACGCCCCACAAATGTACGTTTTTCATTTTGTAAAGGCATAAATCTCCCAAGAGTGTCTTCCTACATACATCCCTTTCCCATCCCCTTTAAAAATGAAATAAATTTATTTAGCATACTGAGTTTTCAGAATGAAATAATACTCCATTCTAGGCAGTGGCCCTGACCACCAGAGGCCATATCAGAAGACGGGAAAGCAAGTGGGGATTGGCCAGAGGACAACATTATGGCTATAAAAGAGGCAGCCCGACACTAGGTGGGGCGGTCTGGAGATTATGAGGAGTCTGTGAAGAGTTGAAGTTCAATTAGCTTCACAAAGAGCCTTAAGCAAAGGTGATAAACAGTGCTGTGGTGACTGTGCCCTTGGCTCTGTGTGAGGCAAACCGTGGGTCACAGTTGCCTTTCAGGCCATGGGCAGCAAAAAAAGAGGAGGTGAAAGAAGGGTTGTCAACAGCCCGGCCCACCACATAACACTTGCAGTGAAACAGATCCTCCATTTCAAGGTATCCAGTGGCTTGGTGTTCAGTGTTGTTCTGAGCCCCCGAGGTGGGGGGTACAACAATTACAGCACAATATTAAAGCAGTTTAAAGCATCTTAAAATCTCAGAAATAAAGTGGGTCCTAAAAATATACGCCTCGTGAATCAAAAGGGATATGAAAGGATTGGCTAATTTTTTTTATTTAAATGCACCCTATTGCACCAAGTGCTTGAAACATAACACAACCAATTTAAATACTTAAAAATAATCATTTTAAATATTTTTAAATACTTACATATTTAGAAATGCATCTAAAGAGAATAACATACCAAGTGAATTAGAAAAAAAATCATACAGTACTTGTATGATAAATGTATTTACAGACTTAGTTCTGCAATCTATACATATTAACTCAAAAGGAAAGCCTACCACACCTTTCCCCAATCTACTGCCGCCCAGATGTTTTAAGAACACTATAGGAGTCCTGTTGGATCAGAGTTATATACCCAGCTCCATCCCGTACATGCTTAAAAGATAACATTATATTAATGTGTAATATGAGCCCATTAAATTCAACTAGAGATGAAAAAACCATCTAGCACTCTGCTGCAAGTGCCTGCAGATAAAAGATGTTGAGATTGCTCAAGCAAGCAAGTCTAATTGCACACTACAGTGGAGAGGAATTTCAGTCATTGGTGGTTTGAGAAAACACAACTCCATTCAAATTAATCCATTGCCTTCTTAGCATTAACAATCACTGTAGGGGTCACCCTAAGGCAGTGATGGATTACTCCCAACTCCCATTAACCCCAGACAGCATGTCCAATAAATTCTGGGAGTTGTAATCCAACATCTGGGTGGCAACAGATTTTCCAGTCCTAGTCCAAAGGCAAAGTATGGGGAACCACACATTTAATGGGGTGGTACTTTCAGCCCTACTTAATCAGTAGGGTTTTTTGTTTTGGAGGGGGGACTATAACCCATCAGCCCCAGAAAGTATGGCTGATGTGTGAGTTCTAAGCATTCTAAGCATCTGGAGCACCCTAGGTTGAGGAAGGCTCCTATTCCAAGAACTAAATGAGCCTGTTTATCAGTCAGAGAGGCCTGCAAGAGTCGCTTCCATTTTACCCACTCTCCAAGCATTAAGGCTCCGAGTTCTAAATGCACACATGTAGTGCTGCATGTGTTGCCTTGCTCAGTACTGGCACTACCCCCCCACTTGTGTTTTGAACCAGCTCCTGCTATCCCCCCTTGTTTTGCACCCTCTATGTTGCCGTTTCAATGGCAGGCTTGAGAGGATGCAGTGGGGCTGGCCCTGGCCAGAGCCCCTCGCAGGGCTCTTCTGGTGATGGTGGTGCACCTCTGGAGGATTTCATGGGCCTGAGGGCGTGGGGGTATCGTTGGATGACCAGAAGCGGGTTCAGAATCTGAGGAGCGAAGCAAAGTATCAGACGAGCCCAACGGTTGCTCCTCAAAGCCAGAGTCGCTTCGATGCTTGCTCTCCAGGGGCGGGGAGAGGCAGCCATGACTCCTTGAGGAACAGAGGAGGAGGGTCTCTCCAGGGGTGCTGTTCCTCACCCTGTTCACCTCAGGATTCTGGGGCCAGTCATATCCCTGTCCACTCACGTTTCCTGAGCTGTCAGACAGGCAGTCCACCCCACTTGCCAGCCCAGACGTGGCTACGGCCACAGACACACTCAGAGAGTGGGATCTCATTCTACTTGGGGGCGTGTTGTATTCTTGCATTTCCATCGTCATATTGGTTGAATGAACCTGGGCAGCACCCTCACAAGAGCCTCTCTGTTGGCTTGGGGAGCTCTTACTCAAGGGACTAGTAGCTTGAGATAAGTTTGGCATAGAGTAACACAGGCTGCTATTGACGAGAGCCAAGAATTTGCTGTGAGGGTTTCTGTATGGCTGGAGGAACATGGAAGGGACATAGCCTGTTGTCCCGTTATACCTGAAAGACCAAAAATGCAGAAACGTCACTTTAAAAGCAAAATAAGTTCCAGGATGACAAAAATGGGTTGGTTTGTTTTTTTCATTTTCATTTTTTGCAAGTCGGGGGGGGGTGGGGAATGTTGCTGTGTAGCTTGGAATAGCAGGCTACCTCTCACAGGGCTGAACCTTTCATTCTACTGTTTTTTAGTTTATTTTGTATGGCACAGATGACTTCTCTGCCAAGCATCTCCAAGCTTTGGGTTACTAAGAGGCATCCCTGATGGTGGTTTCATCTTCCACGTGACGAGCCTTCAGATATTTGAAGATGGCTGTCACATCATTTCTCAGTCTTCTCCAGTCTTGTTTTAAGTGTATGGGATTGGGCAGGGAGGGATTACTTGCTTTTAATTAGTGTAAAATGCATTGTTATTGGAAGAAAGTTAATAAATCAGTGATAATGATAATGATGATAATAATAATATGCCAACAATGTTTGGTGCCCATCAGCAGTTTAGCTGCTGAGTTCTGTACCAGCTGCAGCTTCCAAACCAACCTCAAGGGTAGCTCCATACAGAGTGCATTACAGTAATCAAACTTTGCAGTTACCAATGCTTGGACCACTAGCAGACAAGTTATCCTGATTCACGAACAGCCCCAGCCCCACTGGCTTACCAAACAAGCCACCATCCATCATCTGATTTCTCCAGCACTTCCACCACAACCCCAATCTTCACAGACAGTTCATCTGACTTCTTGGCCTCATAAGCCCGTGTGACATAATACAGCATCCCTGAAAGAAAAGAGGAGGAACTGTTTCCAGCTCTCTACTTGTTTTTTTAAACAATACACCAGATGAGCAAGGAAGAAGAAAGGCAACTGGGACAGGGAAGGGCAACTTCCCAAACCAATATGTAAACCGAAGCACAGCTGTCCTCCATATTGCTTTTCTGGATCTTGCAGTGCTGTTCTTCAACCCAAAAAATGTGTATAAAGAGCCATACATTAGGGGATTTGCTTCCAGATGTTTTGGACTGTCTCTCTCCCATTAGCCCCAGCCAGCATAGCTGTATGAAGCTGGGGCTGATGAGAGAGTTGTAGCCCAAAGCAGCTGGAAGGCACCTGGTTGATGGAGGTTGGCATAGACAACCCTGAGGTAGAGGTGACCTGACTTAGCAACTAAGGCACCTGCCTGATGTTCCCCTCTATGAGAAAGCATCAGAGTCACTTGAGAGACTTGTCCAGACTCACCTGTCTCTTTTGTCTCCTCGGTGGCAGCTGCCTCCTCCGTCTCCTCCAGGTACGGGGCTGGGAACCAGGCAATTTGTTTCCAGTAGTTTTCCACCAGCCACCATCCTGCAAAAAATAATCACTCTGAAAGGAAGCTGAGGCCATCTGCAAGTTTCCCCCAGTGTGTCTTTTTTAAAGACAGAACCTGATGAGTGTGGGGCCAACTGCACCACTTAATCCCAATTTTGTGAGAGCATGGATGATGGGAGTTGTAGTCAGCAACATCTGAGGGGCCGCAGATTTCCCACCTCTGTCAATAATCCTTACAACAACCTTAAAAACTAGATATTTTTATTCTCATAAATAAAAAGGGAGGTGGCAGAGAGAAGCCTGCTTGTCCAAAGCCAGCCAGTGAGTTCATGGCAGAAATGAGATTTGAATCTGGGACCTCCTGATTTGTAGCTCAAATCTCACAGCCATGGCGCTGCACCTGTTTTCCAGAATGAAGCACCAGCAGCGGACATGGGACAGCGGGAGGTTTGCTGGCGAAAGCTGTTATGCTGTGTATTTTGTGCTCTTATATGTGAACTGCTCTGCGATTTTTATTTTGATGAGCAGAAAATAGCTGTGATTCCTGCATATTGTTTGGAGGTTGGATCAGATGACCATTGGGGTCCCTTCCAACTCTACAATTCAATAATACAATGATGATGATGATGATAATAATAATAATAATACTACTACAGTGGTGCCTCGCAAGACGAAATTAATTCGTTCTGCGAGTTTTTTCGTCTTGCGTTTTTTTCATCTTGCGAAGCACGGTTTTAACGGGTATTAACGGTTTTAAGAAAAAGGAAACAAACTTGCAAGACGTTTTCGTCTTGCGAAGCAAGCCCATAGGGAAATTCATCTTGCGAAGCAACTCAAAAAACGAAAAACTCTTTCGTCTTGCGAGTTTTTCGTCTTGCGAGGCATTCGTCTTGCGAGGTACCACTGTAATAATAACAAATTTCTACCCTGCCCATCTGGCTGGGTTTCCCCAGCCACTCTGAGCAGATTTCAATGGAACATTAAAAACAGAATAAAACTTCAAACATTAAAAACGTCCCTAAACAGGGCTGACTATGCATACAGAACTGGAGTAAAGAAGCATACCTGTCTTGTCTTTCATGAGGACTTCAAGTATTTCCCCCTTGGTGGCTCTGAAGAGCCTGTTGCTTGTGTCTTTGGTCTCATAGGCTTCAATGCACCTGTAACTCTGGGACATGACCGGCTGTGTGATGGTCGTGCTGGGTGGCAAAGGTGTCTCTTTCTTCCCTGGGCCCATTTCGGAAGGCAAAATCACAATGCTGCAAAAGTGGGAGGAATGATTTGTCTGCTGTGATTTCTGCACTGCAGGGGGTTGGACTAGATGACCCTTGCGGGGGATCCCTTCCAACTCCAGTCCTAGGATTCTATGTCCCTTTTTGAACTGGAATAAATTCCAAAGAAATTACAGCAGATCGGGAAAACTTGTCTTCTCAGTGAGCTTGGTCTCTAGTCTAATTTCGTCCATGGTGACACAATTTATTACTATTATTGCAAGTAATTTATTAACTCCCTTCAGAATCAGTGTCTCTGGGTGTTTTGCACATAAGATAATTTAAAACAGTTTAAAACAACAACAACAACAACAGCAAAAACAAATACATTTGAAAGAGGACTGAAACCCTAACAAGTGAAAACACGCGGTGAAGACTCGTTTACCTAGCTGGGAAAGTCTGTTGGAACAAAAATGCCTCAGCTGTTTCTGGGAAGTGTAGACAGTGGCTGTCTGTTGTATTTCAACACGAATGCTACTCCACAGAACAGAGGCAGCTGCATTAAAGCCCTGCTCCGAGTCACTCTCCAGAGTGGGCTTCTGAGATCTTTGGAACTTGCAGGAGAAGCTCTCCATGCAGATTTTGCCTAGTATATATTACTTGGTGTCTTTCAAGGCTGGAATCCTGGAAAACATCTCATCAGAAAAGCAGCAGACTGCAATATAGGAAGCAACGACTCAGATCCATGGTCACCTGTCACTGACTGGCAGAAGCTGTTATGGGTTTCAGGCAAGGGCTTTCCCCCAACCCTACCTAGAAATGTCATTGAAAATCAAACCTGGGATCTTCTGCATGCAAAATAAATAAATAAATGCTTCACCACTCAGTTAGGGCACTTCCCCGTACATAAAAGCATGCAAAGAAAGTAGGAAAGCATATAAACAAAATAGTGTGGTGCTGATAACGGCAACATCACGGGTTTGATTCCCTTTATGGAACACCTGCATATTCCTGCAGTGTAGGGGGTTGAACCTTGGGGTACCTTTGAACTCAACAATTCTATGATTCTATGAAAACATGGCCTATCAATAGCAATGGCTCATTGATATGTCACTGCTTAGAATTAAGACAAATGCTTAAAACTCATATAACCATAAAGAAAACTCTGGTGCCATGTTGGCTGCAGGCCAGTGAGATATTTGTCAGTTAGGAATCTTCAAAGTATCTCAATCAATTAATTTGACAGATCAGTTCTATAAAAACCCACATGCACAATGATCCTAAGCAGTTTCCTTCAACGTGGCATTTTGCTGCAATTATTATTTCAACCTACTCTGAAATGTGCACGTCTCTGCAGTAGTTCATGTCATTTTCCATTTTGAAAACATACAAAAGTTAATTTGTCAGTTTCAGCTACCAAAAAAAGGAAAAGGGTGGGGGGAAGCTTTCAGGAGCCAATCTGTAATGACCACTCTTACATCTGTCAGAGTTTGTTTGCAAACGACAGTCAGCAGATCACGAAGGCAGCTCTGAGAGTCATAACTAAAAGGTTTTTATTTCAGCTCAATCCATTTACCATCCTTTCCTCATCCTTGCCACAACAACACTCCCATGTGCGCAACCCTGAGAATTAAAACCAGTACAATGAATAAAGCTAAATTCAGACACAGAATCACTTCCAACATTTGGGAAGCTTCATTGTATTTTGGCATAATATTGGAAGTGGCAAGCCACTGGTTTGCTAGGGGCTGGCAAGCCAAAGTTGGGTTTGCAAACAGTGGTTTGACTTGGCTTTAGGGTTGGTCTGAACAGACAAGCCACAGTGATGGGTGTTGCTTTGTTCTAGACTACACACATGAGTGCTGTGAAGGTGAGAGATGAAGGTTGGCAAGCAGCTCTGACCCATGAATTGACTGTTGTCACAGAAGGCTGGTCACCAGGCCAAGGAGTGACAGAGCCCTACCAGAATTTTTATAGGTTTTGGGGGTCATTCTGGAATGATACAGATCCCTTCCAAACCTATGATCCTGTATCTGTGAGGTTAAAATCTATAAGTGAAAACTTGCAGAGCCAGCCAAACCAGTTACTTTTTTAAGTTAAGGGCCTTAGCTGGCCAGTTAACTGCGACCATTAACATATCCAAAGAGGCTGTTCTGTTGCCTGAGTTTGCTTTTCCCTCTCCTCCCTCCCCATCCCTTTTCCTTTTCTGTTGTGTCATTTAGATTGTAAACCTGAGGGCAAGTTCCATATTATAATGAATTGTTGCAACCCCCCCCAAAAAACAACCCCACCTTTAGATATATAAAATGCACACAGAGACACCATTACTTCTAAATAGATATATATACTTTCATTTCTTAAAAAATGACGGTACCTGTTCTCCGGAAAAGAAGGGTCCATATCTCGGCTTTGTGCTTCAAAAAAATGGACGACATCCTCTCCCTGGGAGATCCTGGCTTTTGTCTTCAGGAGCTCCTGACAGTAAATCTCCAACAACATCAGACTCTCCCGGCACCTGCTCAACTTCTGGTTCTTCTTCAGCATCACATTTACATCTTGGAGGGGACACAACAGAAGTGGGAAAGCCATCAAGGGATGCTGTGGTGGCTCTTGGCAGCACCTCCTCCCCCATCCCCCATCCTTTATACTCAGGGCTGTCTTAAGCATATGCGGCGCCGGGGTGCCTCAGGTTAAGTACTTAATTCGTTCCGGAGGTCCATTCTTAACATGAAACTGTTCTTAACCTGAAGCACCACTTTAGCTAATGGGGCCTCCTGCTGCCGCCGCGCCGCCGGAGCACGATTTCTGTTTTTATCCTGAAGCAAAGTTCTTAACCCGAGGTACTATTTCTGGGTTAGCGGAGTCTGTAACCTGAAGTGTATGTAGCCCGTGGTACCACTGTAAAATTAAAATCTAATGAAAGGCCTCCCTTCTTCCCCTTTTACCTCGAAACCTGGGGATGGTCCGGTCGGACTTCTTCAAGAGACCACTTTCAATAGGGAACTTTTTCTTCAAGTCTTTCTAAGTGATGGGAGAAACAAGAAGGGAAAATGAGTACAGTGGTGCCCCGCAAGACGAAAAACTCGCAAGACGAAAAACTCGCTAGACGAAAGAGTTTTCCGTTTTTTGAGTCGTTCCGCAAGACGAATTTCCCTATGGGCTTGCTTAGCAAGACGAAACGTCTTGCGAGTTCTTGCGAGTTTGTTTCCTTTTTCTTAATAGCCGCTAAGCCGCTAAGCCGCTAAAAGCCACTAAGCCGCTAAGCCGCTAATAGCCGTGCTTCGCAAGACGAAGAAACCGCAAGACGAAGAGACTCGCGGAACGGATTAATTTCGTCTTGCGAGGCACCACTGTACTATCATGCTTCTCAACAGAGGAGAAATCATTGTGCACAAGCAGGGGAAACTGGCCTCCCCAGTTTCAAATCTTACTCCCTTTACGTTCAAAAGAAAACTTACATGGAGTTTCTTAAATTCTTCAAACTCCCGGTAGATGAGAATGTTGTTTTGATCTGACCAGGAGACAAGAAGCATCCATACCTGGGGAGGGAAATAGAGCAGATGGTTCCTACAGGCCCTGAATGTCTCCCAGCCAGCTCTTATTCAGTGCTACAGCTACACTACATTCTGGAAACCCAAGACTTATGAGGAACAGATGAGGGAGCTGGGAATGTTTAGCCCGGAGAAGAAAGGATTGAGAGGTAATATGACATCCTTCTTCAAATATCAGAAGGATTGTCACACAGATTGCTTGTTTCCTGTGTCTCCAGAGTGTAATATCCAGAACCGATGGGTTCAAATTACAAGAAAGGAGATTCTGACTAAACATTAGGGAGAACTTTCTGGTGGCAGCAACCATGCGGCAGTGGAACGGACTACCACAAAAGGTGGTGGATTCTCCATTGGAGGTTTTTAAGTGGAGGTTGGATGGCCATCTGTCAGGGAATTAGCTGTGATTCCTGCATTGGAGAGGGTTAGACTAGATGATCCTTTGTCTCCTTTCCAACTCATGATTCTATGATTTTTGATAGAGTTATTTCACAGTATAAAAAACCCCATAAACAATTCAAATCAGCTCCATATATGAAAACAAATTGAAATCAATTCCACACCTAAAAATATTTTCAGACCCAACACACATGCATTAACTGTGGGAGAGGCAGAGGGGCAACTGAAATACCTTTTGTTTTCTGTGCTTCAGCAAGCCCACTGCTTTCACCTCCACGGGAAACCTGCCGCTGCTCATCTCCCCAAGAGGACGATGCTCCATCTGTCTTGCAAGATCTCTTTGAAGCACCTGCTTCCTGCAGGCCAGGTATTTAGGAGCACCCAGGGAGGAGGGGCCAACTTTTCCCAGCTGGCTCTGAAACTCAGGTTTCCTCCTCCGCCCAGAAGTTCCAAAGTCTGGCAACCCTGGAGAGATTCTTTGGAGAAAGGAGGAAGATATGGAGCCCAGACCCCCTACAAGGCCATCTCTCAGGAGATCAATCTTGTTTGTTGCTAACCCAATACATTTTGGAGCCCTTGGCACATTCAAAAGGGTCAGGAGCAGGGACACACAGGCTCACATCTCATAGGAAGCTGCCTTATATTTATGAGTCAGACTCTTGACCCATCTTGCTAAGTATTGTCTTCACTGACTGGCAGCAGCTCTCCAAGGTCTCAGGCAGGGGGCATTCACAGCCCTAGCTGAAGATTCTGAAGACTGAACCTTGGACTTTTTGCATACAAAAGAGATGCTCTCCCACTGAGTCACAACCCTTTTATCCACACCCCGACAACACAGCACTTTCCCCCTAGTTGCTGTCCCAGAAAGCTCATTCCACATTAAAGGGAGAAGTTTTACTGCACTGGCTATAGCAAGCTGAAAAGGTTACTTCTTTTGGGTTCATTTTTGCGAATTTTTTTTGTACCATCCCTTGCTCCCTTTGTGGCAGCTTCCAAGACTGAATTACTCTGCAAAGTTAACGGTCAATCTTAACTAGGTTAAAAACCCAGTTTTACTTCAAAATAAAAATAAAATAGAAGAAAGAGTTTTTTTAAAGCATCATATATGATAAAAAGATATATCACAAGCAGAAATGTCTGTAAGAAACAAATGCACAAGTTGGCCCTAGTGCTTCTGCTGATGAGGATTGCCAGCTTACTAAAAATCATGTTGATACAAGATGCCCTTTAATTGTGACATCATCCGTTGCACCTTGTAGGCAGATGCCCTTGACCTGCTTTTGATCCAAAACCTGCCTCCCCACCCCCAGCCTTCCATATTGGGAAAGAGAGACACACAGGGATAATGGAGGGGGAGAGAGCAGAATTTGTTCCACCAATCCAAACTCAAGAAAGAAGCATCCTAAATACCCCCACACACACACTTCATTCATATGGACCAAGCCAGCTGACTCCCAATGCTCTGAACCTCCAATCTCTGGGAGTTGTTTTATCATGAGTAGGAATTTTAGGGAATTCTGATAAAAACAAAATTGGAAACAGAGACTGCTGCAGCTTGTGTGTTCATCTGTGGTCAGGAAAGGAAATCCATCAGGTGAATACAATAAAATTCATTCACAACTTTGTTATTTGTTTAAGTCTGCAAATGATACATAGTTAGTGACTTTTTTCCATATCAGTTTGACATTTCCTTCACATTGAAATGAATTTAAGTTACATTAATTTTGCAAACTGTTACATAGCGGACAGAGAGGCAAATAATGTACAGTAGTCCAAAACATTATTATTGCAATGAGGATGATTTCGGTGTGATTTGTGCATTGCAGGGGGTTGGACTAGATGACCCTTGGGTCCCTTCCAACTCTGCAATTCTATGCTAGTCGGACACGACTAAACAACAACAAAATTGCATTTTCTCAAAGGATGGTTTCCCCATCCTCGTTTAATCTTCACAACAACCCTAAGGAGTAGGTTAGGCTGAGAAATGTGGAGGGTGCCAGGTTGAAGGATGATGTACAAATCACAGTGAACTTTGCACTGTGGTTGGTGGTGATGGTTCACAAGGTTTGTTCAGTGGTTTTGGTGTGTACCCACTCCCCCCTTTTCTTATGCCCATGGCAGCCATGGCACTTTGATCAAGACACCTGTTTTTTTAAACAACAAAAGCACTGCCCAATTATTCAGCTATTTGCTCCTCCCCTCCCAAATTTGCATTCCTTTCTTTTTCTCCTCTCTCTCACCAATGAATCCATTGCGCAACGTAACCTTGTCACGTTTCTGAATTGACAAGGAAACACTGAAATTAAAGAAATTCCCCCAAAGAAACAGATAGGTACGGCAGTATTTGCAAAGTCAATAGAAGATAAAGATAAAGATAATTTATTACAGTCGGAGACCAGCTTATAAAACACACTTGGGGGTATAGTCACAGAAGTAAAACAGACAATTAAAACAATGTACAACAATAAATTTAAAAACAATGTACAACAATAAACTATCCCAGGGAGTTGACTCAGTGTCACCCATGGAATTCAGTTTGGGGATTTTCATGCCGGACTATTTTGAGTTGGGCGATGGTCTGCGCCTACAGATCTGTACACAGAATCTGGTGACCATCCAGGTCATCTTCTGATCTTTGCCTAACAAGAAAAGTTCAAATTTTTGCTTTTGCGGGAGGTCGGCGAGCCTCACCAGTAGGGGATCAATGATCTTACTACGTGCCTCTTCATAAAAGGGACATCTAAAGAACAAGTGTTCTGGGCTTCCTATCTCTCCCAATGGACAGGTGCAAAGTCTCTGAGCATACGGGACTTTTCTAAAGGCTCCATCCAGGACCAGTGAGGGAAGAGCCAAGCTTCTGGCGAGTGTAAAGGCCCTTCTTGCATTTCTAGATACGAGATATGCTGCCGGTGCGGCTATATATCTCTCTCGATTTCTCCGATTTTATAGTCGGGCACCTTGCGCAGTCCTGTTGTCTCTCGGTGTCTAATATTCTTTGCCTGACTGTAGCTTTTGCCTGGCCCAAGCCCAGTCTTAGAAGGGCTTGAGGGGCAAAACCCAGTTTCTGGAGGGTGTTCAGGACTGCAAAGTCAATATGATTTCCTTAAGATGGCCAGAAGACAATGCTGATGGACAAGTGCTGTTAATTATTAAGGGGTTGAAGTATACTGTTGCAACACATTGGGGTGGGGGGGACTGATGAACGGACAGAGCATCAGGAAGTGGTACAAACGGTGAGCAAAAGTTTGAAGAATTATTGACTGGGCAAAGAGAGCAAATTAGCCACAGTGGGATCTGCTCATGAAATAGGTCTATCTGGCAAGGGTAAAATGCTGACTTGGCTCCACCAACGCTCTGCCTTTAAGGGTTCTTGTGGGGCCAGGCCAGCTCCAGGATCTGACGGTCCTCTCAGGCAGTGGAGCCATCAGGGCAGGAATCTGGGACAAATGTCCATGGGTCCCACTTGGCACAATGACCAGGAGGCCCCCCTCAAGTTAACTAGGCTGGCGTACCACATTTTAAAGTAAGGGAAGGGGTGCACACTTCCATAAAAACAGGGAAAGCCCCCAAAAGCCAGTGTGGTTAGAGTGCCGGACCAACATCTGGGAGACCAGGGTTCAAATCCCAGCTTGGCCATGAAGCTCACCGGATGACCTTGGGCCAGTCCCTCCCTCTCAGCCTAACCTACCTTGCAGGGTTGTTGTGATGGAGAAATGGAGAACCATATAAGCCACTTGGAGCTCCTTGGAAGAAAGGTGGGATATAAATGAAATAAATAATAAATAAATAAAATAAGCCATCTGTTCCAAAGTCTAAGGCTGCGTACACACCATATGTATAAATCACATTCCCCTTCCCACCTCAAAGAATCCTGGGATCTGTGGTTTGCAATTAACAAATGCTGGGAATGCTACAGTTCCCAGGATTAATTGGCAGAGAATGTGCTTAAAAACCATGGTGTGCATGCACCTGCTCTCAGGAAAGGCATCCTAAAGGGCCACCTTAAGGGTTGCAAACCCAGGAATTCTCTGGTGCTCTATCAATATTGAGAAATAATCCATTATACTTTATCTGACAACACAGGCTTCTCCTGCTCCTGAGGGAAGGATCCAAACCAATGGATTCAAATTACAAGAAAGGCTATTGTGAATGACTAAGTGCTGGAGGAGACTCTTGAGAGTCCCATGGACTGCAAGAAGATCAAACCTATCCATTCTTAAGGAAATCAGCCCTGAGTGCTCACTGGAAGGACAGATCGTGAAGCTGAGACTCCAATACTTTGGCCACCTCATGAGAAGAGAAGACTCCTTGGAAAAGACCCTGATGTTGGGAAAGATGGAGGGCACAAGGAGAAGGGGACGACAGAGGACGAGATGGTTGGATAGTGTCCTCGAAGCTACCAGCATGAGTTTGAGCAAACTGCGGGAGGCAGTGGAAGACAGGAGTGCCTGGCGTGCTCTGGTCCATGGGGTCACGAAGAGTCGGACACGACTAAACGACAACAAAGTATTCAGGAAGAACTTCATGAGGGTAAGAGCTGCTTGACAGTTGAACAGACTCCCTCATAAATTCTCCCTCTACAATTCTGTGATTCTATGATCCCCATGAACATGAATACACGTAGTGAGAAGTACACAGACATAGGTCACATTTGCACCATACATTTAGGGCACAATTAATGTACATTTCAAGCACACAGCTTCTTTCTCCGCCCTCCAAATCCTGGGGACTGTAGTTTGTTAAGGTTGCTTGGAATTGTAGCTCTGTGAGGGGGTACACTACAATTCCCAAAAATTCCTGGGAAGAGTTCTCTGGGAATATGATTGATAAACGTCTTTGGGAATTGTAGGGAAATACGGGTCTCCTAGCAACTCTCAGCACCCTTAACAACCTACACCTCCCAGCGGTCTTTGGGGGAAGCTATATTAAAGTTATTTTAGCATACCATGCTAAAGTGGTATCATAACACCTTAAATGCATGGTGTGAATGTGACCATCATTGATTGGGAAGTCTTGTGCAACAATGGGCTTTGATCTGATCCAGTGGGTCTCTTCTAATATTCTTAGATCTTTCCTGAATCAAAAAATATCCCATTCTAGACCTCAAGTAGCCATTGGGATTCACTGGAAGCTGATGGAGAAGAGAAATTATCCCTTGAGGAAGTTGGTATGGACACTATAAAGAAAGGATTGCAGAAACATCCATGGTCAAAAGTCCTGCTCAATGTAGGCCAAAGATTGCAAATACTTACAGCAACTTGGAATGTGAATTTGCATGCTCTGATTTCCTCATATGTGAAAACAAAGTAAAAGTAAAAATGTTCTACTTCTCTGCCACAATTTATTATCTTATTTCCTTGGGAAAACACCTTTCTGACTCAGAAGCCCAACCTAAACATTTGCTAGATATTTGCTGTCCTGGTCATTTAGGGAAATGGGAGAACATCAGTGTCTAAAAACCTTCCTAGATAGCTTAGAGAGGTTGTCAGGGCAGTTCCATCATCGGCTTGCTTCTTGTGCCATGTTTCTGGAGGTCAAAGCAGAAATTCAGCATGAGGTCTAGGTCTGGAGCCTCTGCCCTGTTGCTGATGGGCAGTTCCACAGCCGTTGCAGCAGCCCAACTGTGACTTTTTGAGTTTCTGGTCCATGGTCTCTCTAGATTCAGAGGTGCTAATACAGCTTCCTGCCAAGGGTGCAAGAGATGGGGGTGAGCACCAATATGGCTCCATGGCAAGAACACACAGGAGCCTAGTTACGCCTCTGCCCTAAGCTAGTTGGAGGGAAGAATGTTAAACTGTAACTGCTTTTACATGTTTTTAATTATAATTGTTTTTTAACTGTTTTAACTGTTTTAGATAGAATGGCTTGGCTTGGCTTGGCTTTTAAATTCTGCATCTGCCATTCTCAGCTCCTTTGGATGAAAGAGTTGGATATAAATTCAATTATTAATATTATTAATAAATTAGCATATGAAAAGTTGATGCACATCAATGTTTTTTTTCCTGGGTGATGCATTTCCTCTTTATTTGGAAAAGTAACACCCACCCTCACCCAAAGTCACATTCAGTGAGGCTCTAACATGTCACCTTTGTTCTTTTGCTCGGAGGAAAAAAAATCAAAGATACTCCGCACTTGCCAAAACATCTTAGAACCAAGAAGCAAAGGCTCAGCACCATTTACAAGGCTCAGATGAGAGACCATGTGAATGATCCCCACGCTAAAAGCAGATCAACCTTATGATAACTCTGGACTTTACAGGGCCCTTGGAAATTCACATCCTTCCTGTAAAAAATAATCATAAAAGTTGATACATTTCTACTGTGTCCAGTGCAAATATCAGTATCACCTGCAAATTAAGTGTGTGCACACACAAAAGTAGGCAAAGTCTTACAAGGTAGCAGTTGAATGTAGAAGAAAATAAATATAAACAGAAAACATGGATCTAAAATTTGGAGATTCTTGAATTTGCTCTTCCATTGCTAGCACCACCACCACCCAACCCAAGTTGCATATCTGGCAGCAGAATTCAAGAGGCAGCGCTTCACCCACCTGTTCCACTGCTTCCACCTGGGCAGAGAAGCCAAGCAAGCAGCAACAACTTAAGGAATACCCTGCCTCCTGCCAAGTTCGGCAAGTGCTGGGGCACAGCAGCAGCAGATGTGGAACGCAGCAGGTGGGGCCAGAAGGTGGCAATGAGCATTTTGTCTCAGGTAGCTAAACTGCATGGGTCACCCGTGCCTAGCACCCAGATAAAACCAACATATGCAGCTAACAGAGCAATCCTAGTGTGGTTTATTGAGTCAATTTGCATAGCTCAGTGGCAGAGCATCAAGGCAATTTAGAACTTTTCAGAACTTCGGCAGAGCCCATGCACCACAAAGAATGGAAATTGCAATTGTAGGTACTCAGACCTGCCATCTACATCAGGTAAGCAGTAAGCAATTCCACAGCAGCCTTTCCTAGCTGGAATGCTCCAGATGTTTTGGATGTGTTAGACTAGGACCTGCGAAAGCAGGGTTCAAATCCCAACTCAGCCATGAAGTCCACTGGGTGACCTTGGGCCAGTTCCTCTCTTTCTCTCAGCCCAACACAGAGGAACACATGAAACCGGTCGATTCAGTTCAGTATTGTCTACACCACTGGTCTTGAGCTGGTGGGTTGGAACCCACTAACATGCTGCAGCCCGATCCAAGGTGGGTGGCAACAAGAGCGCTACCACCCTGCAAATGTATGGGAAAAGATTAAGAAATGAGTCCCCAAATGCATGTATGATTAAAAGGATGTCCTGGGTCTTCAAAGGTTGAAGATACCTGGTTTGCGCTGATTGGCAGCAGCCCTCCAAGATTTCAGGGGTCACACCCTGAAAATAGGTCACACCCTATTACACCAAGTGCAATCTATACATATTAACTCAAAAGGAAAGCCTACCACACCCTTCCCCAATCTACTGCCCCCCAGATGTTTTAAGAACACTAAGAGTCCTGTTGAATCAGAGTTATATACCCAGCTCCATCCCATACATGCTTAAAAGATGTTGTTGTTTAGTCGTGTCCAACTCTTCGTGACCCCATGGACCAGAGCACGCCAGGCACTCCTGTCTTCCACTGCCTCCCGCAGTTTGCTCAAACTCATGCTGGTAGCTTCGAGAACACTGTCCAACCATCTCGTCCTCTGTCGTCCCCTTCTCCTTGTGCCCTCAATCTTTCCCAACATCAGGGTCTTTTCCAGGGAGTCTTCTCTTCTCATAAGGTGGTCAAAGTACTGGAGCCTCAGCTGCACGATCTGTCCTTCTAGTGAGCACTCAGGGCTGATTTCCTTAAGAATGGATAGGTATGATCTTCTTGCAGTCCATGGGACTCTCAAGAGTCTCCTCCAGCACCATAATTCAAAAGCATCAATTCTTCAGCGATCAGCCTTCTTTATGGTCCAGCTCTCACTTCCATACATCACTACTGGGAAAACCATAGCTTTAACTATATGGACCTTTGTTGGCAAGGTGATGTCTCTGCTTTTTAGGATGCTGTCTAGGTTTAGGATGCTGTCTAGCTTAAAAGATAACATTATATTAATGTGTAAGATGAGCCCATTCAATTCAACTAAACAATTAGCAACCAAAAGAAACTTTATGAGGATCAGGAAGAGATCAAAAAACCATCTAGCACTCTGCCACAGGTGGGGGGTCCTGCTCAATATAGGCCAAAGATTGCAAATACTTACAGCAACCTGGAGTGTGAATTTGCATGCTCTGATTTCCTCATATGTGAAAACAAAGTAAAAGTAAAAATGTTCTACTTGTCTGCCACAATATATCATCTTATTTCCTTGGGAAAACACCTTTCGACTCAGAAGCCCAACCTAAACATTTGCTAGCTATTTGCTGTCCTGGTCATTTAGGGGAATGGGAGAACATCAGTGTCTAAAAACCTTCCTAGATAGCTTAGAGAGGTTGTCAGGGCAGTTCCATCATCGGCTTGCTTCTTGTGCCATGTTTCTGGAGGTCAAAGCAGAAATTCAGCATGAGGGTCAGGCCTGGAGCCTCTGCCCTGTTGCTGATGGGCAGTTCCACAGCCGTTGCAGCAGCCCAACTGTGACTTTTTGAGTTTCTGGTCCATGGTCTTTCTAGATTCAGAGGGGCTAATACAGTTTCCTGCCAAGGGTGCAAGAGATGGGGGCGGGCACCAATATGGCTCCATGGCAAGAACACACAGGAGCCTAGTTACGCCTCTGACCTAAGATAGTTGGATAGAAGAATGTTAAACTGTAACTGCTTTTACATGTTTTTAATTATAATTGTTTTTTAACTGTTTTAACTGTTTTAGATAGAATGGCTTGGCTTAGCTTGGCTTTTAAATTCTGCATCTGCCATTCTCAGCTCTTTTGGAAGAAAGAGTTGGATATAAATTCAATTATTTTTATTATTATTAATAAATTAGCATATGAAAAGTTGATGCACATCAATGTCTTTTTTGTGGGTGATGCATTTCCTCTTTATTTGGAAAAGTCACATTCAGTGAGGCTCTAACATGTCAGTTTTGTTCTTTTGCTCGGCTTCTGGAGGAAAAAAATTCAAAGAAACCCCGCACTTGCCAAAACATCTTAGAACCAGGAAGCAAAGGCTCAGCACCATTTACAAGGCTCAGATGAGAAACCATGGGCATGATCCCCACCCTAGCTGGAATGCTCCAGATGTTTTGGATGTGTTAGACTAGGACCTGCGAAAGCAGGGTTTCAAATCCCAAACTCAGCCATGAAGTCCACTGGGTGACCTTGGGCCAGCTCCTCTCTTTCTCTCAGCCCAACACAGAGTAATACATGAAACCGGTCCATTCAGTTCGGTATTGTCTACACCACTGGTCTTGAGCTGGTGGGTTGGAACCCACTAACATGCTGCAGCCCGATCCAAGGTGGGTGGCAACAAGAGCGCTACCACCCTGCAAATATATGGGAAAAGATTAAGAAATGGGTCCCCAAATGCATGTATGATTAAAAGGAGGTCCTGGGTCTTCAAAGGCTGAAGATACTTGGTTTGCGCTGATTGGCAGCAGCCCTCCAAGATTTCAGGCAGGATCTTTCCCAGTCCCACCAGGAGATGCTGGGGACTGAACCTGATGCCTTCTGCATGCTAAGCAGTTGTTCTACCACTGAGCTATGGCCCTAGCTCACAATATTGCTGTCAGGATAAAATGGGTAAGGTGGAGGCTGAAGTGTGTATGCTCTGTGGAGGAAAGGTGGGATAGAAGTATAAGAAGGAATAAAGTATGTCAACTAGCATATAAGTGAATAAACTACAGTATATTTTTAACTTACTCTCCTAATAATTTGTATATAAATTATAAAAGTGGTATATAAATTTTGTTAAATAAAAAAAGAGGAAATGTTCAGACTTTCAAACAGTATGTTATGCCTGAGCCTTCATTGCTGAAACTCCCAACAGCACTGTCATGCTCACAAACACCTGATGAAGGAACCATTGTGACATAACCCATTCAAGCAGAGATAAGGGGCAACAGGCTGTCAACAGTGGCAGTAGTTGGGAGCTTCCCAGCTATTAAAAAGCCACATAGAGTCTTTTCATACTGCCTGAGGAATTAATCCCTTACTTAACGTTCATAATTGCTGGATTGATTTAACAGGACTGGAGCTAACATTTACTTGGATTTGGCACCACTGATAGGCAACTGCCTGCTGCGTCCTCCGCTTTGAAGGCACCCTGATCTTTGGGCCTCCAGCACCTTCTTCAGCATGTCCAACCCATCTAGGAGGCGTTTGATGCTGGTGTTCTACTGGGTCAGGAAGCCCCTGACAGAGAAGCCATGCCCTACCATCTCGGCCAAACCTTCTGCCTCTGCACCAGCTTGCAACACTCCTCACATTTCACCCTACTTCACGAGGAGCAAGACACAAGCCCCTCCGCTCAGGAGGTCCAGCAGGCGCAAGGTGCTTCGATTGCCGAATCTCACCGACCCCATGTTTTTAAGATCTGCCATTGGCAGCGTTGGCCGGAAGAGAGCCCGCAGGCGTGGCAAGCAAAAGAAGACTCCAGCAGAAACAGGAAAAGGGGTGAGGGCTAGGCTAGAGGCAAGAAGGCTCCAAAGTTATTTGCGGGGTGGGATTGCTTTGGAAGATGCCTTCTCACAATCTCTTCCCTTGAACCATGTAAGGACATAAGAAGTGCCTGCTGGATGAGGCCACACTGGCCTGTCTAGTCCAGCATCCTGTTCTCACAGTGGCCAACCAGAGGCCTGTGAAAACAAGAGCATTCTGTATTCCCTTCCTGCATCTTCCAGCAACTACTATTCACAAACGTTACTGCCACTGACTGTGGAGGTAGAGCATTGCAGTTTGTAAAGGGTGCTGCAAATTGTAGCTATGCGGTAGAAGGGTAATCTACAGTTCCCAGGATTCTTACAGGGGAGAAGTGACAATGCTTTTAATATATGGTGTGTACACAGCCTCAAATTAGCTACACCAGCTCTGAGCAAAGATTATAATGCATATTGTTGTGGTTGTTTTACTTTTATAAATATTATAAAACCCATTCCTGCAATCCATGTAGTCTGGAATAAACTCAGTCACCCCTCCTGTCATTAATTGTCATCATAGGAGTTCCTAAATGCAGATGGAGCTTATTAATTTTAATAGAGCTACTCCAGAGTAAAGAAAACTGTAGCTTATGGCATTACACTAAATGCTAATTAGGCTTGACATTTGATAATTATATAGTCATAAAGTAAACAAGAGTTAGAAAATAATTTCTGGTGTTACCATTGTTCTAGCTGATGGCACTGCAAGGCCCAGCAGATTGTAGAGGATGTCTAGATAAATGGAATGGGAGAGACATAAAAAGCAAAAAATTGTAAATTGTATTATTTATTTTCTAACACTGTATTTTTTTAAAAACAAAAATATATTCACCACACCTTAATTTCCATCTATTATTATTATTCGTCTGTTAATTAGACTGCATTATTAATATTATTATGAATAATTGAAACCTCCTCCCTTATTTTTCATCTACTGTTATTATTGCAGTCTGTTCATAAGAATAATATTATTCTTAATACGAATATTAGTGTTATTAATACTGAGGTCTTCTTCCTCGGCTGCAAAAATAACAACAGCGCCCCTCCCTTCCTAGGAAGAGGCCTACTGGAGTTGCCATTGACAACCACTCTCAGCCTCCTTTTCCCCCCCCTCGAAGGGGCGGGCCCCTTCTGGCCCAGCATGCTTTGCGCGCACCCAACATGGCGGCGCCCAGCCCCAGCACGTCCGGACCGGCGCCCGCTTTCCCTTTCCCCTTCTCCGCCTCGACGGCCGGGGCTGAAAAACCCGCGGAGGGGCAGCCTTTGCCGGCCGCCGAGCCGAAGAAGAAGAAGCCGCCCTGTCGGGCCTGCACGGACTTCAGGAGTTGGATACGGGATCAGAGGAAGCAGTCGGACCTGGTGAGGGCTGGCAGTGGGGCTCCGGAAGGCCGCAGGGAGGGCGGGAGGAGGGAGCCGTGGCCCTTGGGAGCCCCGCGAGGACGCAAGGCAGGAACGGGCGGAGCTGGGCGAGTGCACTTGGGGAGGGGCCAGAGCAGCCGGTCCCCCGCTTGCCTTGGGACTAAGGGGCGTTATGGAGTGGAGGGTGAGGGAGAAGCTCGATGGCGCGATATTATTTAATTATTACATGTATAGCCATTGCTTCTTTTTTCTAAAAAAAAAAAAGTTTAGGGGTCCTCTCATTTTCACTCAAGAACATCACCATTTTATAGTTCAGATCGGGAAAAATAAATGCAGCAAATGGACAAAAGTACAAAGATTCACGAAATGTTTAGGGGTATGTGTACTCCTGCATACCCCCCCACAAGCACTGTGTGTCTCCCACCTTTCCCTAAGAAGTGCAAGGTGGTGTACATGGCTCTCTGTCTCCCCATTTTATCCTCGCAACAACTGTAAAGGTTAGGCTGAGAAACAGTGACTAGACTAAGATCACCCACTGAGCTTCATAGTTGAGTGGGGATTTGAACCCTGGTCTGCCACATCTTAGTCTAACACTGTAACCGCTACACAACTTGCACAATTCTTTAACAACTATCTCAAGGTGAGACACACAAAAGGTAATTAAAATTACCAAACCAACAGATACATTTAGCACAAGACTAAAACCCTAGCAAGTGGGCACTTGCAGTAAAGACCCATTGATTCAGCTGGGAAAGCCTGTTGGAAAAAAAACTTCTTCAGTTGTTTCTGGAAACTGCAGGTGGCTCATGGGGCATTATGGGATGTAAGGAGAGGTGTGTCACAGGGTTGAACTTGCCCTTGGGACAGGGAGAGAGTGTTGTAAAAAGTATATATATGACCTGCCTTTTCCCGATCATTGTGTAATGAATCACGTGGGGCAGAGATATTCTCCTTCCTTGTTGAATTTATAGAGACATGAGAAGCTGCCTTATACTTGACTATAAACTGCCTTGAGCATTAAAAACGTTAGGTATGACTGCTGACAGTAAATAACTAAAAGATTTCTGATTCAGTTCCAAGAGTTTAACTCTCTGAGGTATATCCAACTAAGCTCTACTCAGATAAGACCCACTGGAATTAAAGAACCTAGGTTAGGCATGCCCATTAATTTCTCTATCTAGTTTTTTTACAGGGTCCAGTGGGACCATGGGTTGATCTTCCTTGTTCAAAGACCTGTTCCCAGAAGATATTTAAACCTGTGGAGCTCTCTTCAGGCCTCTAGGAAGTAGTGGATCCAATGCCTTTCTGCCCTGAGGATGCAGTGGCTCTGTCTCAGGGTTCAAAATTAGCAGGGCACCAGGCATATTTTGCACCTAAAGATACTCCATTTGCAAGCACCTCAAAAAATTGGGTTCCATTTTTTGCTCCTGGCTGACACTCAAGGTTTACTGAAACATATGTGCTTTGAAGCCTCAAAGTATATGTTAAGAATAGATAATATGTTAAGGAATTTCACAGTAGAGTGTTTTGAAAACTGAAGTACGGTACCAATATTTTTATTGTAAACACCAAATTAAACATGTAGTAACAATGTCTGCTAAAAATGTGGTATTAACAATATGTCACATGTGAATTGCATATTAGTTCATACTTATCAAAATAATAAAAAGTGTTGCTAATACCCCACCCCCCAGTGGTGCCTAGACATTCTGTTTTGGTGCCCGCAACCCAAGTCCCAGAAGCCATTTGGCTCTTAGCTTTTCTATCCCAGTTTCTAACACTGCTCTGTCTCTGGAGTCCCATAAAACTTGGTGGTAGGAGATTCCTGCCATTGTGGTTCCGCTTATTGGTGCCCTGGCTCAGCTTGGGAGAGATTCTTGGGGGGTATAAGGAAGATTTGGACATAGCTTCTGTAGTTTTACTAATTACAGTTGAAAACTATGCATACAAATATTGGTGAGGTGTTCTGTCTGTGCTGACATCACAGCACAGACTGCTGTGCTGACATCACAGTGTGACTTGGCACAGTATGCTTTGCCCAACCTGGCTTAATCCCCAAACTGACAGAGGACAGTTTGCATAGGCGGTGGAAGGGGAAGCGAGCAGGGCCTTTGACGCAGCTGTGACTTACAAATCTGCTTTAGAGTCACAGTGTGCAGGACTGTTCTGTGTTTTCTCTGGCTTGTTGCTGATGAGTACATGCTTTTTCCAATCTAGGAAACAGGAGCCGCAGAGAAGGAGTTACCTCCTGATTGCCCTTTAGATAGAGAACAACTGGGGAGAAATTCGTGGTCGTTTCTTCACACAATGGCAGCGTTTTACCCTGATCGGCCCACTAAAACTGAGCAGAAAGACATGGTTCAGTTCATCAACTTATTTTCCAAGTTTTTCCCTTGTGACGAATGTGCAGAGGACCTGAGAAGCAGGTGAGTGAACCAGCCAAGTAGGTCCCATGCCTCACCTGCAAGAAGTGGCATTTAGCGTCACAATGGTATTTCTGTTAACCGCAATAGTAGGTACTAAGCACCCACCTTGAGGCTTGCTCTTGTTTCTGTATAAGGTCCAAGTGATGAGCCATCTTAAATCACTGGCAATTCTGCCTGTAATTTTCAAGCCTGCTCTCTTGAGAGTGTGATGCCATTCCCACACTTCCCAGGAATTGATTTGGGATGAGAATATAATCCAATTTCACACCTGTTCTAACACTCTCTTAACTTCCCAACCCAGGAATCTTGGTATGAGGTGGATTGTAGTAGAGGCTGGTCCATCAGGGAAGAGAGGAACTGCCCTGCTAACCTCAGTCTGCCCTCTGCCAATCTCCACCTGCCTACTTCCTTACTTACAACCAGTCTGGGAAGTGGCACTGCTTGCCATCTTCCTCCTGCTCCTTAGTTTCAGTGTTGCCCCTTGCAAAACTTCATAGAGAGGAGGATGGGGACAGAACCAGAAGGAGTTGGCTGTACCTGTTATAGGTTGTGGCTTCACCTACTGTTGGGTTCCTTGACTTGCACCCCACCAGTCCTTAGGGGGCACCAGCCACTTCTGGTGAATGGGAAGTTAAAAAAAATGCCATTGGACTCTGTTTGGTTTTCCCTCATACACAGATTACGAAGAAACCAACCTGATGCCAGCAACCGCCGTAATTTGACACAGTGGTTCTGCCGGCTTCACAACGAGGTCAATAAGAAGCTGGGGAAGCCCGAATTTGACTGTTCCCTTATAGATGAGCGCTGGCGAGATGGCTGGAAGGACGGGTCCTGCGATTAGATATCCTAGCAAATACAAAATTGGTTCACCTTGATTAAAAGAAGCTAGAAAGAACTATGAAATCAAGCCTTGTATGGACTTTTGCTGAAGCGTACAATTGATCTTTGGTATTGAGGTTGTGGTGATACAGGAGGAGGAGGAGGTGCAGGTGTTAGAATAGATGTCCTGCCTGATTGCTTCTGATTCTGGAAAAAGTAACAAGAAGGTCCTGAAGTAAGCTAGTCTTATGGGAATTTTCTACCTGCTGGTTGTCTTTTCCAGACCACATACTTACTAGCAAATGCTGCCTTAAATTTTTTTTATCAGTACTTTCTTAATGGTAGGAAAAAACATTTATCCAGCCACTGAACTACTAGGCTGGGGGGAAAAGTTTTAGAACTTTTTTTTGCCACCCCCAGTTCTGCAATCTGCCTTCATTTTGTTTGTCTTTATGATCAGATTTTACGTTGTGTCTTTTTCCTTCCCTTATCCTTGTAATCTGGAATGGTTTAAAAATTATTTTAAAGAGAGTACTATTTAACCACTGTGGAGCTGCAGGGCTCTCTTCGTTCAAGGGATACTAAAACCATCCTTTTCCAACTTTTGGTGCCCTTCAGCTGTTTAGGACTACAACTTCCAGTGGTCTCAGCACAGCCATTCTGACTGGTGCCAGTGGGAATTGTAGTGCAAAACAGCTGAAGGGCACCAGGTTGGGGAAGGCTGCCTTATGTTTTCCACAGGTTAATTAAGGTACAAAGAAATTTACAGAGTTGTAGAATCCCAGTAACTTTGCTGAAGTCCTAAAGCAGGGAAAATAAAGTAATTTCTGAGTGCAAGTCTAGGTCTCACATTTCAGCTTTGTCAACAGATATTTTTCTTTGATTTCTATCTGTCTGGCAAGAGGGTAATATAAATGAAAGGAATGATTAAGCACAGGGAAATTAGGATTATATATGTCATGTATTAAAATATAACTTGTGAGAGGTGGGGTTCATGAAGGTCATATTAGCCCTACAGCACTGGGAAGAGTCACTGAGCTTCGTTTTTCAAGGAAGGTTTTATTAACTCATCAGAACTTTGTGTGCAGGAAGTCAGGCGTTCTGTGAAATTATAATAAGAAATAGTTGTGCACTGAGCATATGAAGGTAGAGATGGACCATTACGTCTTGTAGGAATCCTTGTGTGAACAGCCTGTTGCCTGCATTGGCAGTGGGTTGAAGACCTGGCAGTGAGTATTTGACGAGATCATTGGCCCTTGCAAACACTTTACATGGGTGGCATTACTGGTCTTGCGCTGCAGAAAGTCCTGAGCTGTGAATTGTACTACATTTTGATTTAGTGTAGATTTTAACTTTTTACTCACAAGTGAAATTTAGATAACTTGCACTTAAGCAACAATTATGTGAAGCTGTTGGCCTGATTTAGATGTAACCATGGTTTGTTTACATATACAAGCTGGGTCAAGCCATGAGCTTGCGTGTTCCACCTCCTCTTCTTCCTTCAAGCACAACAGGAAGATGTTTGAGCCTTCCATTTTCTCATTTTGTCCAAATATGGGAAAGTGGTTTGAAGAAACCATGGTTCAGTGTTCCTGGTTTGTTAACTATCAAATAATAGTTTTTATATCATGGTTTGTTGTGGTTCTAGATACGTACACTTGCCTCCTCATACATCATGAGCAACTTTAATAGCCATGTATATAGAAACATCTATGAGTGAGTTTCATCACTGGAAACAAACAGGTAGCTCTTGGGCACCTTATTAACAAAACCTGCATTCATATGACTGCATATGCCCTGCCCCAGTAAATCTAAATGTCCAAGCCATTTTATATGAAAAGAGTCTAGTAATACAGTGGTGCCTCGCAAGACGAAATTAATCCGTTCCGCGAGTCTCTTCGTCTTGCGGTTTTTTCGTCTTGCGAAGCATGGCTATTAGAAGCTTAGCGGCTATTAGTGGCTTAGCGGCTATTAACGGCTTAGCGGCTTTAAGAAAAAGGAAACAAACTCGCAAGAACTCGCAAGACGTTTCGTCTTGCGAAGCAAGCCCATAGGGAAATTCGTCTTGCAGAACGACTCAAAAAACAGAAAACACTTTCGTCTTGCGCGTTTTTCGTCTTGCGAGGCATTCGTCTTGCGAGGTACCACTGTACCTTGCTCTACAAATAGGTTGCCTTGTTTGTACTAGATTTCCTGGTCTCCTGCTTTCAGGCTAACATCACAATATAGATCAAAAGACTTCTGGGCTTCAGCATCCTTCGCCAATCTGGTTCCCTCCTGGTATTTTGCACTTACAACTCCCATCAGTTCTGAGACTGATGGGAGTTGTAGTCCAAAATGGCTGTGCTGGCTGGGGCTGATGGGAGTTGTCAAAAACACCAGGAAGGCACCAGGTTTATGATGGCTGGGCAAAGGGATGCAAGGTTCTGGCCCGGAGGTGGGGCCTGTGCTTTGAAACACTCCTAAGAAGCCAGTGAAATGGCAGTCCCTAAGCTGCCAGTGTTTCACCTTCATCCACTGCAAGCCAGACTAGAATCCTGCAATTTACAGCAGGTGGACCAGGGAAAATGGCATGTGAGGTTAATAGGCTCCAGCATTTTAAAGCACTTTCACGGTACCTAGGCAAGAAGGTGGCAATCCCATGTGGTGGCTGTATGGCTAAAGGTTTCGCTGAAGGAAAAGTGATGTTTTGTATCTTGACTGAAAAGTTGAGCTGCTCTATATAATTTATTTTGAGGCATTTCTGTTTATCGATAAAGAATGTCAATTATCTAAATGCACTTGATGAAGGCAGTTGGTAAAATGTATCTCAAAAATGTATTTATTTCCTGGCTGGTGACCAAACAATAAAGTTAAGTATTTCCTTTATTCCTCCCTCCCATTTTAATTTTTAAAAAACATTTTGTCCACATTGTAGGGCCTTAGTAACCAGGGAAGGAGGGACAGAGAAAGAGAGTTGGTTGTGGTTTTATTTTCTATTCGCAAGCCAGATTCAGATAATAAATTACATTTGCAGAGAGATAAGTGAGGCATCATATTAAAACACAGAATAGTTTGTAGGAAAATAGTATAACATTCCAAAATTCCTCAAACAGTGGCTAAGAAGGTATTGGGTCTTAAATGGGCCTGATCCAACAGAGCTATTCTTCTGTTTATGTTCTTATTGGTGTCGGGCGGGAAAGGAGCAGTTTTACAAGGAAGGGTAATCATCTAATGCTGTAAAGCATGTCGTTTCTTTGTGCCTTTAACAGTTATCTAGAAGGGAGAATTTTAACAGATGGGGAAAACAGTGCCTGCTCAAATTCTCCTTTCTACCGAGCTCTTAATCTTTCATTACAGCGACTTAGAAGCAGACAGTTCACCAATGTCATTTTCCCACTAATTATCATAGAATCTTCTCACATAAGTACATCCACTTAAAAACATCAACAGCCTCTTCTAGGATTCTGCTGTATTGAATGATAAATTCAAATCTAACCTAGAACCCTTCAAACTGAAGGCCTCTTGTTCTCACTTATTCCTAGAATGTGCCTTGTTTCATCGTCTTGTGCCTCATCAAAGGTGGGGATGGCTTTCAGTCAGTCAGTCAATCAATCAATCAATCATTTTATTTCTATGCTGCCTTTCCAAAGCTAAAATTGTGCTCAAAGCAACTTACAACATATAAAAATTACATAACTAAAAGCACAACAAAAGTTGTAAACAATAAACAAAACATCAAAAAGTATACAACCAGATTGGACAATTTCCACATAGATCCCAAGATCAAAAATAAAGCTACGAAGAATTAACAGCAACCCCCGTCCCAACAAAATGCGCTAAATAATACCTCAGCACAGCATTTCTTTCTTGCACAAGTTTCATGGGGTTAGCTAATAACTGCCCCTTCAGAGCCAAGTAGGCATTGTCTACATTCTCAAAAGCTGTGCTAATTTCCAGACCCTAATCCGGGGTGTGGTGTGGGGAAGACCAAGGGCTCTGAAGGTGGGTTGAAAGCACCTGTGCTGAGGTACAATAAGTCATCAGTGGGTGAGGGGGGGATAATGTGTTTTCTGAAAGAACACCTTAATTTTAAGTCTCAGCACCATTACTAGTGGAATAATGGGCACACTTTTAAGCTTCACCTTTGGTTTATTCACATCAGCTCATTTCAATAATATTCCATAATCAGGCACTGTTCGTTTTTTCCACTATTCCTGCATTTAGCAGTGCCCTGATTCAGCCTGAGGGTTGCCACTTTGCCACCAATGCATGTTACATCTTCCTTTTTCTTTTTTTTAAAGGAAGTGTTATGCCAGTGGGTGACATTCAAGAAGGGAACTCTGAATGTTGCCTTTCCCTCTGGCAGTTGGAAAAATGCAGAGAGATGATGACTCACCTGTAATTGAGAGAGAGAGAAAAATCCTAAAGGCATACTAATGAATCTTACCAGTGACGTTTTTTCAGATTCCCCTCTTGGCTCCCCCACCCCATCCCCCGGTAGGAAATCAGCAGATCTCTCCCCACCCTAGAAGGGGCAGATCAGAAGGAAGGACGAATTTTGAATAATTTTTATTCCTTTCTCCCCAGAGATGGGCATCTTGTTCATTGACTTGTCTTCAAATATGTGCTATTTATAAGCTGTGCATGTGTCTGTTGCAAAAGGGTAAACCAAGGTACAGCCGGGGGGGGGGCGGGGAGTTACGACAGGAGTCAAGCTTTGAAAGAATCCAGATGCCAGTTGTAATTCTGGGTGTAATTCCCCTCCCTCTTTTTCTCTCTTCCCAGTCCAGAGCAGAGAAATGATGTCAAAGTTGTCATGGTATCAGTATCTATGGCATGAAAATCATCAATATGATGTCAGGGAGGGAGGGGTTGAGAAAGGAGTGTTTAGGATGGCAGCCTGGAAAGGGAGGAGGATTCCTTTTAGCATTTTGCGGTAACATCCACACTGTCACGTTCTGCATCCCTCCTTTACGAATTATCTAGAACAATTAACACTTCTTCATTCTGTATTCGAGACTGCTGGTGTGGGTTAGAAGCCTATAAACATGCATTGAAGCAAGTTGGGGTGGAAGGAAAATCTAGCTATTTCCTGAGTGTTCAGAACATGTCACCTAATCCAGAACGACAGTCCTGTCAGGTAGGCCAGCATTTTCTCCAAATTGCAGGGAAAGGCTCACCAGAGGCCACTTGCTGTGTTGATGGTTAGAGGCAAGATTCAAACTTTGGGGACTTTCTAATTCATAGCTCTGCTTCTAGGCAACTGTTGCTACAGATCTTTTTTTATTCGGGGACGTAGGAAGTGGCCTTATCCTGAGTCAGACATTCAGTCCATCTAGCTTACTGCACTGACTGGCAGTGGCTCTCCAACATTGCAGATAGGGAGTCGTTCCCAGCCCAAACTGGAAATGCCATTGGGGATTATACCTTCTGCATGCAAAACAGGTGCTCTACCACCAAGTTGCAGCCCTTCAATGCTGCCTTCTACTGAATCAGACCATTGGACCATCTAGCTCCGTGCTGTCTACACTGACTGGCAGCTGCTCTCCAGTCTCGAACTTTCTGCATGCAAAGCAGATGCCCTACCACTGAACTGTGGCTGTTGTAGTATTTATATTCTGCCCTTCTCAATATAGCAATTATAGTGGCAGCATACACAGTTCTTACCCATCCACATTTTACCCTCACAACAACCCTGTGAGGTAGGCTAGGCTAAGAGGCAGTGACTGGCCGAAGGTCACCCAGTGAGCTTAATGGCTCCTGGTCTCCTAGGTCTAGTCCAGCACTCTTAAGCACTGCACCATGCTGGCTTTCTTATCTTTCTTTGGGGTATGGGAAAAGGGGAACCTACCGCCCACAGAGGGCCAGTCACTGCTTCCTCTGAAAGCAAAGCAAAACTCCCATCTCATTTCTTGGTATTCTCATTTCTTCAGCGGTGACATCACACACACCACAGGACCAGTGCAAAGTCCCTGTGGACAGCGAGGGGCTCTCCACAAACCCGTGACATTTTGAGGTGGGTGTGATTTAGATCCCTTGTGTTTTCTTGCGTCTCATGTTTCATTCTGTGCCTGAGTGGCAGGCCCAAGTGAGCTTCATGGCTGTGTGGAGATTTGAACCCAGCTCTCCCACAGCCTAGTCAAATCGGTTAGCTACCACACCATGGAACAAGCTCTCCCTTCTTCCTGTCCATCCGGCTGTGACTGTAACTCTCTGCTCAGTACTTTCCCTCCTTCATGGGATGCATCCGATCTTCCTTCAGAGATGAGTCCCATCAACAAAACCCGCCTTTCCCAGAAAGCTTTCCCAATGGGCTGATTTGAGTTGTTTTTGATGGTTTACGCTGTCTTTGATTGGATCTTTTTAGAAATAACCCCCCCCCCAAACAAACCCAGTCTCGTTTTTTTATAGATGTGTCACGGTTTTCAATGCGGTTCTAGGTTGGTGTTTGAAATGTTTTGTCAGCTGCTTTGAGTGCTGTGAGAACAGCAGATACTGTGGCATGTAAATATTGAACATTAATTCTTAGCTATAGATACAGTGCTTTCAAAGTGTGCAAAAGGGACTTTGCATAAAGTTGGAATGGAACCTTTGGAAAGTCCCTGGAAGATTGCCCAAGAGGGCTTTAAAGGGTTCCCCAGCCCTACCTAGTTTTTAGACATACTTATGGAGGAGGAAAGGTCTTCCACCCAAGGTCTCCAAATGGAACATCCAGATTCAGAGGCTGTTGGACAAGATGAACCTTGGGCACAGGGCTCTATATCTCACACATATAACAAAAGTTCTAATACTTCTGTAATTATTATCAAAATACTTACGGACTGTCTAACAATCTAAAACCTCAAATTGGTGTACAAAAGGCATGCAATGCCAGCAACCAAAAGAAAACACAGCCTGTGGGGTGTAGTGTTTAGAGTGCTGACCTAAGGCTTGGGTGACCCAGATTCAAATCCCCACTCAGCCATACAAAGTTCAGTGGGTGACCTTGGGCCAGTCACAACCTCTCAGCATAAACTACCTTGAAAAGTTCATTGTGAGGATAACAGGGGGGATGGGAGGGCCATGAGCTCCTTGGAGGAGGAATGATGATAGATAGATACTTGGGAGGAACCTTCTTGTCACACACCCTCTTTTCTGAGGGTGCAAGCAGTACTGCGAGTTGCAGGAGGCAACTGATGAATGGGTGTGCGGAATAAAATATAAAATAAGGAGCACCGATAAGTAGAAATGCAAAATAATAAGTGGGGGGGGGAGCTGTCTTGGTGGGAGGGAGATCTGCAACAGTAGGCAAGAAATGAAGCGTGCACCAAACAGGGCAGGGGAGGAGCGGAAGAAAAAGAAGGAAGCATCTGGAGAATATAAACACATCCTTTAGATGTGTGGTTTATGTGTGTGTACTTTAACACATGTTAGGAGCATGAGAAAAGCTCTGCAGCTGGATCAGGACAATGGCCCATCTAGTCCAGCATCCTTTTCTCACAGTGGCCCTTCATATGTCTCAGTGGGAAGCCCACAAGCAGAATTCCCCTTCTGCAGTTTCCAGCAGCTGGTACCCAGAAGCATTGCTGCCTCTGGCTGTGGAGCCAGAGCATAGCCATCCTGGCTAGTAGCTGTCAAGGGGGGAGGAGCCCTCTCCAGCCCAGGAGATAATAAAAATAGCAATTTATAGTAGAAAACAAATACAGGCAACTGAATCTAGCATGGAGCAACTTTGAAGTAAAAACCCAATCCAGCTATCATCTATCTATCTATCTATCTATGTTTATTTAAATAAGGCAAGCTTCTCAATTGCACAAACTCTTAGCCGAGAGTGTAAAAACAAGAAAAGCTAATAACTAAATTCCAATTACCCGTTAATACGTACAAAGAGGAGTTACCATGGGAATATTTTTGCAGCTGCAAAAATTATGGCCGTCAGCCAGCCCAATCACAAGCTTATCTACAAAGAACCTAACTAACAGCACCTGGGCTTTACTAATTAAAGAAATCAGCACAAGGCTACTTTAACCTGGGCAAAGTAAGTTCTTGACAGTAGCCATTGATGGCTTTCTCCTCCTTGAATTTGTCTAATCCTTTTTAAAGCCATCCAAGCTGGTTGCCACCGCTGCCTCCTGCAGGAGAGAGTTCCATTATCATGCTGGTGGATATCATATCAATATTTGCAAGTCAGAATCTTGAACTGAATGGCCAGTGGGTCTCTTATGGTAGCTGGCTAATTTGAGAAAGCTAAATCTTGAAAAAGTGACCCCAGGAAGGGGTTTTTTAGGGTTATTTCAATGTAGATTGCATTTTAAACAGAGGATCCATTCAATCCTGTTTTAAGAGGGATTTTGCCCTCATTGCAATGGCCTATGGGCTACCAGCTGGAGAAAGACACCCAATGAATTTAACAAAATACAACAACAACAATTATGCTCTTTTAAAATGTGGGGTTTATTGGGTTGTTTTTTATTTTGCTTATATATTTTGTGGTTTCATATTCTGATTTTGTTCTGTGAACCTGAGACCTTCGGGTATAGGGTGGTATATAAATTCAGCAATAAAAATAAAAATAAATAAAAATAATAAGTGCACAAGCACACTAGTCTGGACGTTTCCTGCCTCTAATGAGGAGGGCTGCAGTCCACAAAAGCTGCTGATGCCACAACCCCCTGAAGATGCTACTGTTGTTTCTGTTGCAGGGCTTCCCGTTTAAATATTATGATTACCCCCCCTCCTAATATTCTGATTACCTTTCCAACCCCCAACCCCACCTATTATTATGATCGCTTCCCCCCTCCCGCCCTAACACCCACCCCCACCCCACCCACTAGGTTGGTCGCTGCAGCAGGAGCGAAGCCTGCGCGCGCTGAGAAGCTGAACCCGGACAGGCGAGCGGGCAGGTGGTGGCGCGAGCTTCCCGGGTCTCCGCCCGCCCGCGCCTGCTGCCTGCTGCCTGGCTCGCTTTGCTGCCTGCCAGCCTCTGCCCGCCCGCCCGCCCGCTCGCCCCCCAGGCAGGCGCCGCCGCCGCCGCTTTCCCTTTCTGTTCTCTTCTCCGCTTGGAAGCGAAAGGAGGGCGCGCGAGCGAGGAGAGGGATCCGCAGAGAGGGCGCCTGGAGAGGAATCATGGAAGGAGCCTCCTTTGGAGCCGGCAGGGCAGGCGCGGCGGTGGATCCCTTGGAGTTCCTCCGGCGGCCTCAGACGATCCTGAGGATCATTTCGGGGGTAAGCCTCGCACCCCAAGCCACCCCCTCCCTTCGCCACTAGACCCACGCCTCGCGTGGCCTTTCAGAGCCCTCCAAAGGTCAACAAGCCTTGGCGTCGTCTGCTGCGCCCCTCCACCATATTAGGGGGGGGGGCGTTATTCCAATTTATTATTTTTATGTTGCAGACATTGTGCATGCAGGAGAAGCAACGCTCAGGTGCGGTGGGCGGAATGACCTTTTTATTTTTGGCGTGTCGGTTTGAAGAAAAGAAAGATGACTCTGCATCGTCTGGCGTGTTTGTGGGTTAATGGTGGTGTGGTATGGCAGCTTCTCGGTTTATTTCTGGAGTGCCTAAAGAATCCCCACCTCTTTAAATGTCATTAATTCACCCCCCCCACACACACACACAAAAGGGGAGGGGGGAATGCATGTGTGCCTTGAAGGAAAAGTCTGCTCCCCCACCTAATTTTCTCCTACCCGCCCCCCTCGCTCTGGTCAGGTTGTCTCTTTACAGCCCCTCTAGGAGATATAGATCTACCCCCTCCCCATGCTGCCAATCTGCTCTTTTGCTACCTGGCTTTGCAACAGAAGGTGTGGAAAGACTTCTCTCTCTGCTCTTTTCTGGATCTGAAGCCCACAGCCGAAGGTGTGTGTGTTTGGGACTGAAAAACCGTTCTGCCAGGAGACATTTTTTCTCTCTCCCCCCCCCCCCCGCCACCTGCCTTGGTGGAAAAAAAGCAAGCATGGCTGAATCCACCTGCAAGGCCTTCCCTTGTTGGAGGGATGAGTGTGGAATGATGTCACGCTTCCTTCTGCTGTGTTTGTCTTTCTTTTTCTCTCTCTTCCTGCCTTCTTGGAAGCGAGAGATGATGGCAGCAGCACCACCACGGCTGCCCACTTTGATGGCTGCTGGGTGACCGTTCTGGCTGCTCTCCTGGAAGGCGACAGCAAGATGGGCTCGGTTCAAAGGAGGGGCAGAATCATCTCTTGCTCACAGCCCCTTTTTGCTGTGGCTGAGCCTTGTGGCTTGGTGGTGTGGAAGGCAACAACACTCTCATTTTTTCATGTATGTGTGTATACAATGGGTGTGTTGTTATTTTGTTGGTATTATAATATCAGGGGCTTGTTGGGCTTTTGGAGGGTTCTCGGTGCCACCTCGACTATGCTGCTCACAAATGATTAAATGTAAGATAGGAAACCACCCTACATTAAGGTTAACTCTTTGCGCTCTTTTTGCTCAGTATTGTCTACACTAACCAGCAGAAGCTCTCGGGGGGGTTCAGACTAGAGAGCCACCATGGCATAGTGGTTAGAGTGTTGGACTAGGACTTGGGAGACCTGGGCTTGGATCCCCACTCTGCCATGAAGCTCACTTGGTGATTTGGGGGCAGTTTCTGACTCTCAGCTTAGCCTCCTTTGCAGGGTGGTTGTGAGGATTAGATGAGGAGGGATAAGCATTTACACCACCCGGAGCTCTTTGGAGAAAAAGCTGAATATAGAAAAAAATAAAAATTACCAAGGGATGCTGGAGATTGAATTTTCTGCATGCAAAGCAAGTGCTCTACCACTGATGTTTCTGTATGCAACTACTGATCAGTAGTCCTTTCCCCCAAAAGTAAAGTTTTCAGTCCTCTTGGTCTGAATAAAGGGCTGATTTGAATAACAACCCAGGAAGCATTGCCTAGATTGACCATCAGCTTCTGTCCAGGATTTCCGACATGGTGTCTATCAAAGCTATACCTGGAGATGCCACTGGGGATTGAACCAGGGACCTTCTGCATGCAAAGCAGATGCTCAGCCACTCAGCTACAGCCAGGACCAGCCCGCTTGTGTGTGGTGGACTGAGGCAGCTGCCTAAGGCAGGGGAATCCCATGGCCCACCCCTGCCGCTGCTACCAGAGTTTTGCGAGATCTCACTGGAAGCAGCCACGTGACCCCAGAAAGCTAGGCCTTGATGGACAGGCAGCAGCAGGGGCAGCCCCTTTCAAAGGAATATGGAGGTGATCAGGCCTCTGTGTAATTAGTTTTGGGATTGCTCAAGGGGGCTGTCCCCCCTCTGCCCCCAATGCGGAGGAGTAGAACAGACTGACTGTGGCTAGAAGAGTTTATGATATTCACAACTTTGTAGGTGGCTATTGAGTACCTTCCGTATGGGGTGTTTCACTCTCCAGCCTATTGAATTATGATTCTCCCGATTTAGGACCAATCAGTACTATAGAATTAGATTTATTTATCATTTATATAGATGGGATTTTTGTTTAGATTCTGCTCTCCTGGTGCACAACACCCCACTCAGGGCAGTTAACAACAATCCAACCCTAAAATGCAATGGAATTCCAAATCAAGCAACAGCAATTTAATAAAATCAGAGACAAACACAACAGATAAAATAAAAAACCAATAGAGCAAACATCCACCTAAACAAGGAGGTTTCTGGCATCTGGCAGCCTTTGCCAAGCTGGCACTCTCCAGACATTTTGGACTACAACCCCCATCATCCCCAGCCGGCACGGCCTTATGGTACTGGGACTGATGGCAGCCAAAGGCCCAAACATCTGGAAGGCACCAGATTGGCAAACACTGATCTGGAGGAAGCCTTTGCCCATGTAAGACAATAATAAACATTGAAACTACCATATGAGCATCCCCAGAATGCCTTCCCTAGGTATCTACATTAGCCTGATTTCCAGCCAGGTAGCCAAATTAGTCCGTAGCAGCAAAAAATAAGCTTGTGGCACCTTAAAGACTAAAAATGGTTTATTACGGTCTGAGCTTTTGTGGCATCACCTTCATCAGATGCACAAAGTGTTGGCAGGTATATATAGCTACCTCTCTACATTGTTACACGGGGAAAAACATGAATCACCTCCTTGACTTCAGTCTCTTTCAGGAAATCCTTGACACACATCAGTGCATGGAAATGTTCATAATATCACTTAACACAGATTCATAATCCTTTCAGAAACCCTTCTGAAAACTGGTGCCCTCCAGATAGGAACACAGGAAGCTGCTTTGATACCAAGTCAGACCATTGGTCCGTCTAGTGTATTGTCTACACTGACTGACAGCAGCTCAGCATGATGGCCTCTTGGCCCTACCTGGAGATGCCAGAGATGGAAGCTGGGATGTTCTACATGCAAAGCAGATGTGCTGATGGGAGTTGTAGCCTCAAATGGCCATGCTGAATGGAGCTGGTGGGAATTGCAGTCCAAAACATCTGGTTGGGGGGGCACGAGGCTGACAAAGATTGCTCCAAGACATTAATTCACTTATTTATGCAGATATAGTGTGTGGAAGTGACAGCTGAAGGAGGCTCCTGTTCCCCTGCGGCAGCTACAATTCCCAAAGTGGTTTAACAATCGATCTCCCTTCCCAAATCTGGGAACTGGAGCTCTGTGAAGGGAATATAGAGGTCCCCTAACAACTCTTAGCAAACTACAGCTCCCAGAATTCTTTGTAGGAAGCCATGACTGTTCAAAGTTACAGTACAGTGCTTTATATGTATAGTGCCAATGTGGCCGATGTCCTCGAAGAGGGGTTGCTAACCTGTGGGCCTCCATATGTTGGCTGGACTACAACTCCCATCATCTCTGATCGCTGGCAATGTGGGCTGCTGGGAATTGCAGTCCCAACATTGTCCAGAGGGCAACAGGTTAAGCCACCCCAGGGTGTCCCAGAAGGACTTTGCTGTAATTTTGTGTCAGGGTTGCAGTGAAATCATCCCAGGGTGCTTTTCACCCTGTTTTTGGATAGGAGGTTGAGATCTTCAGACCCTGCCTTGGAGCAAGAACTGTCTTCCCTGAGCATTAGCTTAAACCACTAATGGGTTTCACTTTCATTGGAGGGAATGGCAGCTCTCTTGAACATGTTGTTCTTTCGATATAGCGAGGCTTCCTGAAATCTCATAAGAGCTGGAAAGTCCTGGGATGTTTCCTCATTCCAACCCAGTTTGCTTTGTGGTGACAGTTTGCATTCTGCTTTTCCTGCAGTCCTGGTTTGCAATGTGAAAATAAACCTTTCACTTAGAAAAAAAAGAAGAAGGGGGCTTTTTACCAACTGAAATAAAATACAAGTATGGCCTTGTTTTACACGATTGGAGGAAGCAATGTGGTTGAAACCACGTGAACTCTAGTCAGACATTGATATGAGTGTTTGATACATAGGGGGTGATACCAAATGTTAGTTGTACTCAGAGCAGACCCAGTGAAATCAATGAAATCAGATATCTTGAGGCTGGTGATAGTAATCTGTCTGTTCTATGACTTAGTGGGATAGCACCCATAGAATCTGGCCCTCTCTGCTACTGCTTGTCCACCCGCTGACCTCTAAGTATCCTTTTGCATGGTACTTCCTGCCAGTAGTATGGAGGGGTGAATCTCTCTGTTTTGTTTTCTCTCTCATTTTTCCAATCTTTGGCTCTCCAGGTTTCCATACACATGTTTGTTAGAGTCATGGTTAGTGCAGAGTCTCTCAAACTTCAGACCCCTGCTGTTGCTGGACTTCAACTCCCATCACCCCTGACTACTGGCCCTGCTAGCTAAGGATGATGGGAGTTGTAGTCCAGCAATAGCTGGGGACCCAAGATTGAGAAACACTGGGTTTGTGTTATGTGCAAACCCTTCTAAGTGGCTGAGCTATGGTTTGTCTGCTAACAACAAACTGTGATGTGAAGCCATGGTTTGTTGTTAGCTTACGAACCTTGGTTTTTTGCTTTGCAGAATTTGGATGGCACCACATTGTTTGCTGGGACGCGGGTGGCGCTGTGGGTAAAACCTCAGTGCCTAGGACTTGCTGATCGTAAGGTCGGCGGTTCGAATCCCTGCGGCGGGGTGAGCTCCCGTCGTTCGGTCCCAGCTCCTGCCCACCTAGCAGTTCGAAAGCACTCCTAAGTGCAAGTAGATAAATAGGTACCGTTTTATAGCGGGAAGGTAAAAGGCGTTTCCTGTGCGGCGCTGGTGCTGGTTCGCCAGCTGCAGCTTCGTCACGCTGGCCACGTGACCCGGAAGTGTCTTCGGACGGTGCCGGCTCCCAGCCTCTTGAGCGAGATGAGCGCGCAACCCTAGAGTCGGTCACGACTGGCCCGTACGGGCAGGGGTACCTTTACCTTTACCTTACTTTGTTTGCTGGGAAATTAGACAATGTTGATTGCCATACAGCTACCCTGCAAACAAATCTGGGATTTCTGCATGACAGGGGTTGGGCTAAATGACCCTTTGGGTCCCTTCCCAACTCTACAATTCTGTGAAATCGGTATGAATTCTCAGGCTGTGTCCACACTCACTTTACATTATGTATGTACCGTGTTTCCAGGGCTGTTTTTTCCATCCTTGTTCACCTGACATTATCCAGAATGCATACGTGCCCTGTACTTCATTAGGAAATACTACTATTTGATCATTGTTTCTCAAACTAGTTTCACACCTATTAAGAGACCTTAATCTATTCCTAATCTCCAGCCAAGGTGTGAACAGCCCCCGCTCTGTGTTCAAATGAATCTAACACTAATGGAGCTGTGCTGATGTGAACGGCTGTGCTGAGGGAGCTGTGAAATGCACAACGCCCCGCCCCCGAACTTATCTATGCTCAAAGGCAGTCATGTGAACACATCCGTAGTCTAACCACCAATTAAGCTTTGTGCACAGCGTGGAGAAGGTGGATCGAGAAAAGTTTTTCTCCTTCTCTCCTAACACTGGAATATGTGGGGATCCGATGAAGCTGAACGTTGGAAGATTCAGCACAGATAAAAAATGGTAAAGGTAAAGGACCCCTGACAATTAAGTCCAGTCGCAGACAACTCTGGATTGTGGCGCTCATCTCGCTTTATAGGCTGAGGGAGCCAACATTTGTCCGCAGACAGTTTTTCCTGGTCATGTGGCCAGCATGACTAAGCTGCTTCTGGCGAAACCAGAGCAGCGCATGGAAATGCCATTTACCTTCCCGCCGGAGCGGTACCTATTTATCTACTTGCATTTTTGGCGTGCTTTCAAACTGCTAGGTTGGTAGGAGCTGGGACCGAGCAACGGGAGCTCAACCCGTTGTGGGGATTCGTACCACCAACCTTCTGATCGGCAAGCCCAAGAGGCTCAGTGGTTTAGACCACAGTGCCACCTGCGTCCCTCAGCTCAGATAAAAGAAAGCCCTTATTCAGGCAGCGCATAGTTAACCTATGGAACTCCCTTCTACAGGAGGCAGTGATGGCCATGTACCTAGATGGCTTTAAAAGATGGAAGAGGTGGTCATTGACAGCTACTGGCCATGATAGTGGCTCCTCCTCAACAACAACACTCCTGAATCCCAGTTCCTGGAAACCACAGGAGGGGGGAGAGGGCTCTTGTGCTTGAATCCTGCTTGTGGGTTTGTCGCACATCTAGCTGGCCACCATGGTAACAGGTTACTGGACTAGGTGTTTCCCCCTTTGGCCGGATCCAGCACTGCAGGGCTCTTCTGATGTTCCCAAGGGTTGCTCTCCCTCCCTCGTCAAAGGCAGCCATGCTTCTGAATACCAGTTGCTGGAAAAGGCAGGAGGGGAGAATGCTCACATCCTGCTTGCATTCTTCCCTCGGGCATCTGGTTGGCCACTGTGAGAAGAGGTTGCTGGAGTAGATGGGCCTTTGTCCTGATCTTGCAGCCTCATATGTTCTTAGGACTGGCACCTTTCCTCTGCCAACCAGCAGCAAATAATGGGCAGCAACCGAGGGGCCTGGCCAGGCAGGGAGTTGCTCCCTTATTTGTCCTCTGATACTTGACGATAAAGAAAAGCAGACAGTTCCACCCATTAGGAGAATTGCTTTTCCTTCCCCCGCTGCTGTCTGAGCGAGTTTGTTTTGTGTTTTAAGTATCATCGAGGGTGTTTTTATCTCCCTGGGGGTTGTGTTCAGTACAAGATGTTTCTAGGTGGTGGGGGCGGTGGACTGGGGGTGGGGAGAAGCAGGGCTGGAGCTTGAACAGATGGGCAGCAAAACCAGGCATCTACGCCAGCCAGCCACATTGTCATAGAATCATGGAGCTGCGGAGTTGGAAGGGACTCCAAAGGGTCATTTAGCCCAACCCACTGCAATGCAGGAATCGCAGCTTAAAAATCCCTCACAAATGACCATCCAATTTATGTTCAAAAGCCTCCAAGGAAGGAGAGTCCACCACCTTCCTAGGGAGTCTGTTCCACTGTTGAGCAGCTCCTAACCCTCAGAAAGTCAGAACCTCCTTTCTTGTCCTTTGAATCCGTTGGTTTGGGTCTTACCCTCTGGAGCAGCAGAAAACAATTTCCCCTTTCTCCTCCATTTTGAGGAGAGAGGGGTGGGATCCAATCCGCATCAGTGCCTTATCCAGGCAAAGTTTTTCCATCCTGAATTGTGCCTTGAATCATGGACACGTATTTGAACTGCTGAGAGCTTTGATTTTAAAGGAATAAGCATCTAGTCGTCGTCTTTGCTTGTGATGCAGTTTAGAAAACGGGTGGAAATCAAGTGGGTCGTGGGACCACAATTGAGAGAGAGAATAAGGGAATAGTGTGGGATGGGGGGAAATGAAGCATTGAAGGAAGGGCACTTGAGGAACTTGGAGAAGTGACAAAGCATCTGCTGTGCATGTAGAAGGCCCTAGGTTCGATCCCTAAGATATCCAGGCAGGGCTAGGAATGATTCCAGTTTGATACCTGCAGGGCTGCTGCCAGTCAGTGCAGACAACACTGAGCTAGCTGGACCAGTGGTCCGACTCAGGATAAGGCAGAGCTTCCTATGAGGTGTCTGCAAATTGGATTTGTGTTTGACTGGCTTTGCGCTTGAGGAAGCCGGGGTTGAATTTTTCTAGCAGTGAGCCATTAGGATGACTTTGTCAGCTTCGGTTTGTTTTGCTATTTTGCAGACTGAGGAAAAAGGAGCAAGTACAGGCAGCACAGTCCTCTAGGAAGGAGCCCTGCCTTCCCTAGAGCTCTTCCAGATGACTGGCTTATTGAGTTCCTGATGCATTCGTAGAAAACTTACATGGAGGCTCAGAGTTGCCTCCAGTTTTACTGAGCGTTTCTGCTGATTTGATTGCAAGAACGTTATCAGAGCATTTATTCCAATTTGCTCATGGGGTGTTATTTATTTATATATTTTATTTATTGAATTTATATCCCACCCCCAAGGAACTCAGGGTGGCAAACAGGCAATTTAAAAACAAAGCAGGAACGTTCTAAAACAGAATAAAGCATTCCAGCAACAATTACGGTTAAAAACATCTAAAAGCAGTTGCAGTTAGAAAGGAGTTACAATTACCTTCAAAAGCATTTTTTTTAATTGAAAAATGTAAAAAGGTTAAGAAAAATAAATCAAAAAGCAATTACAAGTACAGTGGTACCACGGTTTACAAACTTAATCCGTTCCGGAAGTCCATTCTTTAACCAAAGCGTTTGTAAACAGGACTGTTCTTAAACCGAGGTACCATTGTAAAGACATTATACCATCCAGTGATTTTGAGGTTGACAGGAACAGCGTTCTTCAGCTGCCACCAAATTCCTGAGTAAACCGGAATGTTTTCAAACTCCTCCTGAAAGTGAATAATGATGGAGACAGGTGTGCATCACTAGGGAAGGCATTCTGCAACCCGGGAACCACTACTGAAAAGGCCCTGTTGCTGGTCAGGAAAAACCAGGCAGCCCCTGGTGTCAGCACTAATAGCCTCACCTGCTGATAGTAGTTTAATGAGTATTCTTCCTGATTTGCTCATAGGGTGTTTTGACACCTTTCCTAACGATCCCTACTGCCACAGATCATGTGCAGCAGCCGCTGACTTAACATGAATTGTTCCCACTAAGGCCACATTCACACCCTACATTGAAAACACTGGGATGCACAGTCTCTTCTTTACCAAAAGAATCCTGGGAGTTGCAGTTTTTTAAGGGTACTAAGAGTTGTTAGGAAGCCCCTAATTTCCCTCCTACAATTTCCAGAGTGGTTTAACAATCAATCCCTCTTTGCAGGGATCTCTGGGATTTGTAGCTCATGGAAAGGAATTGGGGAAGGAGCACCTAACAACTCTGCACCCTTAACAAACTACAGCTCCCAGAATTCTTTGGGTCAAGTTATGACTGTTGAAAGTGGTATCATAGTGCTTTAAATGTGTGCTGTGATTGTGGCCAAGCTCTCCCCAGAATAGTTAAAATTCCAATGGAAAGTTATTCATCCTAGAAAATGCAATATTTTTGTCTTAGAATATCAGAACTACTTGGTAGTTTGTTGTTTTTTAATGCAGAATTTAGGATAAAAAATAGGCTTTGCAGATTCCTGGATGGACAGAGCACCCGCCCCACTATGTTCATGTGCCATTAAAAGTTCTCATGTGGTCATCTTGGCACAGAAAATTTATCTCTTGTGCCTCTTTAAATATTTTCAGCTGCTTCCTAGATTTTGTAACTTAAAAGTGGATAAGTGAGTTATATTAACATGCTCATGTGCTTCTTATTGAACATGATTTGGATCATGTTACCATGTTGGGATGATGCATTTTCTGCATGCAAAATTGGCATTTTAATGCTGCTTACCCCGCTGGAGCTGATGGGCTGGGCTGACACCTGAGCTGTGACTCACAACGTTCTTATTATTATTTCTGTTGTTATTATTACAATTGTCAGTCACTTTATGCAGAGGAAAACATTTCAAAAAGGCTTGCCCAGATAAAATAAATAAAAGCAGTTTAAAACCAGAACACTGGCCTCTTCCAGTTCCTAATTTGACACTCTGACTGCTACTGGCCTGCCTTGCATGTTTGTTGTAAAGTTTTGTTTTGGCATCATGTCCATGATAAGCATTGCAGCTTCGCATTCCCCTACAGCTGTAGTCTGTCCCTTAACTAGGAACCTCAGAACGTAGGAAGCTGGCTCATACTGAGTAAAACCACTGACCCATCTCGCTCAGTACTGTCTACACCAGGGGTCCCCAAACTACGGTCTGCGGGCTGGATCCGGCCCACCAGGCTCGTAAATCCGCTCCGCCAGCCGAACTCTGTGATGGGTTTACCTCAGCGCGCGTAGACCGTTCTTTTTAACGGAAACATCTCGCATTGCTGGATTTACCTCAGTGCGTGGCGAGGCTTCCGATTGGCTGCAGGAAGCTCCGTCCCCGCGCGACGAGGCTTCCTGCAGCCAATTGGAAGCCGCCCGCTCAGCCTCCTGGCAAGGAGGAACTCTGGCAAGAGGAATCTAAGGGGAAAGGATTTTCCTCTGGAGCACATGAGAACTTTTGGACTTTACCCAGGTGGGTGGGGTGCTGCTATCACCATGTACAAGTTAGTTTAGTATGGGGCAAGGCAGAAGAAAAGGCTGATGTGAGAGAGGAGCAATGTCCAGCTGGCATGCTACCTGCTAGAGCTGGCTTATCAGCAGAGGCGTACCTAGGCTCCCTTTTGCCCTTGGCAAGGAGATGTATCGGTCCCTTGCATCCTTGCCAGAGGAGCTGAGCCAGAATGTTGTTGTTGATGTTTAGTCGTTTAGTTGTGTCTGACTCCTCGTGACCCCATGGACCAGAGCATGCCAGGCACTCCTGTCTTCCACTGACTCCCGCAGTTTGGTCAAACTCATGCTGGTAGCTTCTAGAACACTGACCAACCATCTCGTCCTCTGTCGTCCCCTTCTCCTTGTGCCCTCCATCTTTCCCAACATCAGGGTCTTTTCCAGGGAGTCTTCTCTTCTCATGAGGTGGCCAAAGTACTGGAGCCTCAGCTTTAGGATCTGTCCTTCCAGTGAGCACTCAGGGCTGATTTCCTTAAGAATGGAGAGGTTTGATCTTCTTGCAGTCCATAGGACTCTCAAGAGCCTCCTCCAGCACCATAATTCAAAAGCATCAATTCTTCGGCAATCAGCCTTCTTTATGGTCCAGCTCTCACTTCCATACATCACTACTGGGAAAACCATAGCTTTAACTATACGGACCTTTGTTGGCAAGGTGATGTCTCTGCTTTTTAAGATCCAGAATAGAGAGGTGCAGTTTTTGCGCTCCTGTGGGTCTGTGCCTTTTACTGGGACCAGCCCCTGGGTACACCCCTGCTTTTTAGGCAACGTAAAAGGGAAGGATTGGTCTCATTGGTTCCCAGAGGTGGGAGCTGGGGGCAGAAAGAGCTCATTGACCTGTTCAAGTCCCACAAGCTCTTCCTTCCCATTCATTCACTGTTTTTCCTAGGCATCTGAAATGTGAATGTGAACATGTTACCCTATTCCAGGGCTCAAACTCACCTTCTATGTCTGTGGCTTCTTTTGTCTGGCCCCTTCCTTTTTACTACTGACCCCTCCTGGGTGTGTCTTGAACCCTCATCCAGGAGGGCTGCATATGGTCTTTGCAGGCATTCTGCTCAGATAGCTATGTAGTAAGAGGCCTTATGCTGAGATATGCTCCTTTCCTTAAGAATGCTGTGCTACAAAACTGTGGCTGTGAACAGATAAGGGCATTTGAACCCCTTCCTGAAGAGGTTGGCAGAATGAGGTGGTGCAGGGGTGTGTACTAGGATTCCACCCCTGTGGTCATGAGTTCAATTGGATCTCTGGACTTCCAGTGGTGCAGTCCAGTTGGTGGTTTTCAAGGAGAATTGGGGGTGGGTGTATTCCATTTTTAGTTTCTGCATTTTCTCATCTCCCTGGGCTACATACATATCATGCAGCAGCATATCTACCCCCCCCACCAGCGCATAACTGGTATGTAGAATTACTCTCTAAAAGCTCGCTATAGCTAATAGCAGCTTTTAGAATTGAAATACTTATAAGTTTATGTTGAGTAAAATCATTCTTCATTTTAAATATTGTATTATTTTTCCTGGTTTGTTTGTTTTTTTGCACTACAAATAAAACATATGCAGTGTGCATAGGAATTTGTTCATTTTTTTTCCTCTTCAAATTATACTCTGGCCCCCAACAGTGTCTGAGGGACAGTGAACCGGCCCCCTGTTTAAAAAGTTTGGGGACCCCTGGTCTACACTGACTGGCAGTGGCTCTCCAGGATTTCTGTCAGCAGTCTCTCCCAGCCCTACTTGGAGAGGCTGGGGAATGAACCTGGGACCTTCTGCGTCCAAAGCACACACACTGCCTCTGAGCTATGGCTCATCCCCAAGAGCCAACTGGCAGGCCCCTTAATGTTCAATTGCTCTTAAAAGTCTCTGTTGATGAATTGATGCTTGTGCTGGTAACACTTTGCCTTTTTTCTATGCTTTACTACCTTTCTGGACTTCATCCTGGTGGTAGTTTTAGTTCGTGGAACTCCCTCCCATCAGATGTCAAGGAAATAAACAACTACAGTGGTACCTTGGTTCTCGAACTTAATCCTTTCTGGGAGTCCGTTCGACTCCCGAAATGGTTCAAAAACCAAGGTGCTTCTTCTGATTGGTTGCAAGAGCTTCCTGCACTCAATCGGAAGCTGTGTCGGATGTTTGGCTTCAGAAAAACGTTCACAAACCGGAACACTTACTTCTGGGTTTGCGGTGTTCGGGAGCTGATTTGTTTGGGAGCCAGGCCGTTCGAATACCAAGGTACCACTGTGTCTGACTTTTTGAAAAAATCTGAAGGCGGCAGCCCTGTTTAGGGAAGTTTTTAATGTTTGATGTTTTATTGTGTTTTTAATATTCTGTTGGGAGCCACCCAGAGTGGCTGGGGAGGCCTGGCCAGATGGGTGGGGTATAACTAATAAATTGTTGTTGTTTTATTGTACTTTTTTCTAAATGTTACAGCATTCATTCATTCATTCATTCATTTATCATGATGCCATTATAACAGAAAGGATGTTGTTGGTGTTGGTGGTGTTGAGAGGCTTTCCCTGCCACCGCTATTCCTCCCTTTGCAAGCTACCTCTTCCTTTTTCCATTCTGTTGAAATAACAGCCCCGCTAGTTTTCATCATAGCCCCAATTCCTTTTGCAAGAGTAACGGCTCCGTATTGAAGTCATGGATGTGTCATGTGGACTAGAATCCTCGTTAGCCTTCTGATTCTCACGCATAAGCAGTGCTGCAATTCTGTAGAGGCACATGATGTGTCGCTGGATGCAGAACCCAGCTTCCTGATAATCTGCACTTTTATTTATTTTAAAAGCAAACTTGTAGTACTCACAACGGCGGTGAAAATAAACTTGAAAGAAGAGTAGGCAATGACTGCCGAATTCCTAGAACTTATATGTGTGTGTGCAACCTCCTTATTCTTGTGATTGTTGTTTGTTTCAAAGTGTTTTAAATATTGAATTTCAAATAGCTGTAAGTTGCCCCCGGGACCTTAGGGTGAAGGGAAGGGTAAAAAAATATCAAATAAAACAGTGATATAATGTTGTGAGTTGTGGGGGTGTGCGGTTAGCCTGCATGATGTCTGAATCCATTGCAATTCTTGGGGTGCTGACTCCAGCAAGGGTTCAAACATAATGGAGGATTCTGTCGTTGAACTAGCCAGCCAAGCTTGTTCCTGGGTTAATCGCCTAAGCATGGTTGTGTTAGTATAACCAAGGAAGTGGCTTTGTTCCAGAGGGCAAAGGGGTGGGTCCCCTCCCTCACCTGGCTAGTGGTAAAGGTAAAGGGACCCCTGACCATTAGGTCAAGTCATGGCCGACTCTGGGGTTGCGGCGCTCATCTCGATTTATTGGCCGAGGGAGCCGGCGTACAGCTTCCGGGTCATGTGGCCAGCATGACTCTGGCAAACCAGAGCAGCGCACGGAAACAGCGTTTACCTTCCCACCGGAGTGGTACCTATTTATGTACTTGCACTTTGACGTGCTTTTGAACTGCTAAGTTGGCAGGAGCTGGGACCGAGCAACGGGAGTTCACCCCGTTGCAGGGATTCAAACCGCTGACCTTCTGATTGGCAAGGCCTAGGCTCTGTGGTTTAACCCACAGCTCCACCCGTGTCCCCTGGCTGGTGGTAAGAGGGACAAAAGCCAGAGTTGAGTGTGTGACAGGGAGAGCTGGGCCAGAAGCAGGCAGAGCCAGAGAGTGAGAGCCATGCCTGATTTCTGTTGCAATCCAGGGCTGTGACTGTGGGAGAAGCAAGACCTTCTGGGGAGTTAATGCTGTGAGCCCCTCCATTATATGCTCAGGTTGTATATAAGTGGAAACACCAGATAACATGAAGACACCACAGACTCCATAAACCTCATTCCCTGGTGCTCCCTGAAATCTCACACGGCTCAGAGATTGCGTACAGCTGTGCAAAAACTATATGATACACTGTACTATTGGGAGATCGATTATAGACTACTCAGGCGCTTCTGCCACCTGATTTTGATCTACCTTCTGTCCACCAATTGTTCTAGAAACTCTATCTGATGGTTATCAGAATTGCAATATAAATACACATATATTTTTTTTTAAAAAAAGCTTGATGGTTATAAAATCCAGTTTTTACATGTAAACATTTTTTTTTAAAGGATGCAGCATCAAGTCTGGATGCACCAGCCCTTTTGCAGGGCTAAGCAAAGCAAGCAAACAAATAATGTCAGTTTTCTAGGTATTGCACCAAACGTTTTAAAACAAGATCACCTGGGAGTCTTCCCTCTCCTGGAGATAAAGAGTTGTAAGCACTCAAGCGCGTTGAAAAGTGCTATTGAAATTTGAAAGGCTGGTAAGAGGATGAAAACACACTTCCGCTCATCCTGCCGCCCATTCAAATGCCTCTTAACTCTTAGTCTTCATGGCACACTCTGCTACCCTTGGGGAGGAGGAAGCACTAGGAGGGGAAAAAGATCTGCGTGCACTCACAGTTTCCGGCTGTTCTGTGGAACAGAGGAAACATCCTTCCATATACTGAGCCATGCCATTACTACATCTAATTCAGTTTTGTCTGCACTGATGGTCAGCGGATTTGCAGGGTTCTAGGCAGGGGGTACCCCCTACCTGGAGATGCCAGGGACTGAGTGACCTTCTGCATGCAGTGTAAAAATAAAGTAAGATTCTAGACCTCCTAGCTGAATAAGGGCTATATTAAATAAGAAAGTAGGAAGTTGCCTTATATATAAAGGTAAAGGTAAAGGGACCCCTGACCATTAGGTCCAGTCCTGACCGACTCTGGAGTTGCGGCGCTCATCTCGCTTTATTGGCCGAGGGAGCCGGCGTACAGCTTCCGGGTCATGTGGCCAGCATGACTAAGCCGCTTTTGGCGAACCAGAGCAGCGCACGGAAACACCGTTTACCTTCCCGCCGGAGTGGTACCTATTTATCTACTTGCACTTTTGATGTGCTTTCGAACTGCTAGGTTGGCAGGAGCAGGGACCGAGCAACGGGAGCTCACCGCGTTGCGGGGATTCGAACTGCCGACCTTCTGAACAGCAAGTCCTAGGCTCTGTGGTTTAACCCACAGCGCCACCCGCGTCCCCTTTAGCTCAATATACAGCTTTAGCTTCCCCAAAACAATCCTGATAACTGTAGCTTGTTCAAGGTGCTGAGGGTTAGTAGGAGACCCCTTAGTCCCCTCACTGACCTGCAAATCTCAGAGTGGTTTAGCATTTAATCCCTCTTCCCTCTGGGAATTGTAGTCGTGTGAGGGGTCTCTTAACCACTCCCAGCACACTTAACAAACTGCACCTCTCAGGATTAACTGTGGTATCCCAGTGCATACACTCCAATGTCCCGCTGATGAAAGTCAGGACACGACTCGGCCCCTCAACACGCTTAAAACCCCGCCAACGTCTCCCTGCCCCTTCTCAGTGACACCCCCCCTTTCCCACTGGACACCTCAACAAAGGCCATGCTCTGGCGGGTGCCAGTTGTTCCACCCCAGAGTATGGAAGCCAGAACAGGACACCCCTGGATCCAATCAGAAGCAGAGATGGGTTCTGTAATTCCAGGATATCCCACTCAAATCGGGACGGTTGAGAGTGGCATGAGAGTGCTTTATAGTGTACGTGGGAAGTAAGATTCAGCACTCAAAGCACTGAGAATGGTCCTCCCTTCAAGGCTAGAGATAGGAGGATGAGGGGAAGCGAATTTCAGTTCTGGGGAGACCAGATCTCCACCTGGTCTCTGTGCTGTGAGAGGGATAGCTCTCTGTTACAATTACTGTTGGGTTTACTAAAGGGTTTAATTACTGCTGTTGGCTTGGAAATGGTCATTCAGTGCCTTAACTGCCGCCAGGCTCTGTGCAGCAGCAAACCAGAGTGAGAAGGAGATTTCGCTCTGTCAATTTCTGTTTTCTTTAATGGCTTCTAATGGAACAGAGTAATAATACTATCTAAAATAGCAATGTAGTAGAAGGAGTAATGAACAACAGTAGATTGGAATGACAAGAAGGGAGATTCTGACTAATCCTTCTGACAGTAAGAGCCATTTGACAGTGGAACGGATTCCTTTGGAAGGTGATGGACTGTCCTTTAAATAGAGGCTGGATGGCATTTTAGGCAATTGGGCTAGATGACCCTTGGGGCCATCTCTTCCAACTCTGATTCTGTGTTTATAGAAAGATGGGTTATAGTTGTGACATTTTGAAATAATAGCATTCAACCTTACGGTTCCTTTGCTTTACCAAAATCATGCATTAAATAATAATAATAATAATAATAATAATAATAATAATAGATAAGCTGCCATTTTGCAGCTTTACAGAGAACTCTTTCTTATGGTCCCTCTGGCAAAGCAAGAAAGTGGCAAGGATGTTTGGAGCCAATGGGGTGGCAGGTGGAAAGGGTGCCCTCCACCCACTGACCCACTGGCCGTGAAACCCTGTGTGGCACTGAACCACCTCCATTATTCATGCCGCACAAACATGCCCTGCTTTTTGGCAGGCTGCGCATGTTTCCCTTAAGTGGCTGTCAGTATTTCCAGCAGCGAAGGGGGGTGGGTGGGAGGAATATGTTCCTGCATTATTTATAAATGAGATTAAAAGAAAGAAAGAAAAAACCCATCATCACAAAGTGCTGAAGATTACACCTTCTGGCAGCCTCACAGCTTTGGCGAGATCCTCTTTGCTCTCGCCGGCGCTGCAGTTGTATGTCTTTGGTCCTGCTTTATTGCAGCCTTAGCCGTCCCAGGGCGCTCCAGATGTTTGGGACTACAACTCCCATCAGCCCCAGCCAACATGTTAGATGGGAGTTGTAGTCCAAAACATCTGGAGGGCCCCAGGTTGACCAAGGCTGTTGTTGCCTCTGCTGGGCTCTGTTCAGATGGAAGTACTTTGCAGGTCGGGACAGCGGCATCCTGCAGTGGATCTGATAACGTTGCTCGAACCAGACTCCGACTGAGCGCAGGCAGAGAGCACGATAGCAGGAAATGATAAAGCACAGGAAGTGTCAGGGGCCTGACTTATTTTGCCATACAGGAAAAATGGACCCTTTCCTTGCTAACTGTAGTTTGCAAGAAAGTCCTTCTGCACACAGCGCGTGGTTAAACTGTGGAACTTGCTTCCGCAGGAGCCAGTCATGGCCCCCGATGTGGATGGGTTTAAAAGAGGATTGAACAAATTCATGGAGGGAGAGGGCTGCTGGCGGCTATTAGTCACAATGGCTATGCTCTGCCACCACCGTCACAGGCAGCAATGCTTCTGAATCCCAGTTCCTGGAAACCACAGGAGGGGAGAGGGTTCTCTTAACTGAATCCTGTTTGTGGTTGGCTACTGTGAGAACAGGATGCTGGACTAGATGGGCCCTCTTTGGCCTGATCCAGCAGGCTCTTCTGGTGTTCTCATGAACATCATGCACACCAGTGTTTTGCACCCTGGTTGCATGCACACTGCAGTCTCTTTGCTCCCTAGTTTCCCATCCTCCTCCTCCTTCCTGCCAACAACTTTAAGTCACTCCTGTCCTCAGGGCCTGTGTGTTTCCTCCCCCTAAACCCACCTCCCATTTTTCTCATTGGCCCTTTTTTCCTGAGGAACTTTCCTCAGTTTCTTGACTACCTACCCTTTAAGGCCCTTTTCCTATGCAGCTTTCAAACCCTCACTCTTCCATCCCACTGCAAAAGCATATCCCGCCCCACGCCGCTGCAGGCCTGGGGGCTTTGGATGAAATAAACTAGCCTTTTTGTTCTCATTGTCACAGAAGCTGCATTGTTTTGTAACTGTCTGTGTACCACTCAGAAGTTAGAATATTTGTGGGCATTCTGTGACACTGCAGCTGCTCGGCCAATGCAGGCCGAGAGCCGGAAAGCTGAATGGGGAAAGTACCGGAAATCAGAGGGCCCAAAGGAAAGGGGACAGGTGCAGTCTTCCAGGGAGGGCATTCTGTGAACAGGGAACCACCACCAAGAAGTCCCTGTCATGGATCACATCCAGCGGCGTCACCAACAGGTCTCCCCTCCCAACTGTAGGGGCCTGAAATGATCTTGGGAGAGGTGAGCTTTCAGTTGAATATTGTTCCTCCTTTTCCTCCCCCCACAACAAAATAATAATCCTCTGTTCAGGTTTTCTCCATCGTTGTCTTTGGCTCCATCATCAACGAGGGTTACGTGAACGATGGCAGCAGTCCGGTGCTACGCTGTGTCTACAACAACAACGATGACGCCTGCAACTATGGAATCGCCATTGGCCTCATTGCCTTCTTTGCCTGCAGTTTCTTCTTGGTAGTGGACCTCTACTTCCAGCAGATCAGCAGCGTGAAGGACAGGAAACGTGTTGTCCTCTTTGACCTTGGCTTCTCAGGTAGGACCTGTGGGGTGGGATTTGCTGAGGACAGTCTTCCCCAATCTGAGTCCCTCCTCTAGATGTCTTGGAGTACAACTCGCAGCAGTCCCCACCCAACACGGCCATTTTGGACTGCATCTCCTATCAGCACTTGCCAGCCCAGTGGTTGATTGCTTATTTTTTATTACTTATTACTTGATTCCTTATTCCTTTATTTGATATATATATCCCTCCTTGCTCCAAGGAGCTGAAAGCAGTGTACATTTTATACTTGCTTGCATTGCAATTTTGCCTAAAACTCGCCTCTTTTGCAAAGCAGTTTCCCTTACTCTAATGCATTTCTGCATGTTATCTTCTCTAAAATAAGCATTTTGACGCGTGTTTTCCCCTAGTATTTGACTCTTTGTGCCCATCTCGTGGCTAGAGAACTGTATTGCAACTGAAGTGGATGGATCCCGCTCGCTGTCTTGGCTTCCTCTTTAGCCGCGCGCAACCTCTCCCTGCCGGAGGGGTTGCGCGTGGCTATCCGTGAAGCCTTTGGAGCACAGCGCAAGTTCCCGCTGCACTCCTCAGGCTTTGGGTTCCTTTTGCTGAAGCCAGGAGAACAAGACTCTCCTGGCTTCAGTGAAAGGAACCTGAAGCCTCCAGAACGCAGCAGGAACTCACACTGCGCTCTGAAAGCTTCAGGCGGCTATCCCTGAAGCCTGGAGAGTGAGAGGGGTCGGTGCGCACCGACCCCTCTCGCTCTCCAGGCTTCAGCGAAAGCAACGCAAAGCCAAGGAATGCAGAGGGAGTGCTCCCTCTGTGCTTTGGAGGCTTCGCATTGCTATCGCTGAAGCCAAGGAGCCTGTATTCGCTCCATAGGACGCACACACATTTCCCCTTAATTTTTGGAGGGGAAAAGTGCGTCCTATAGAGCGAAAAATACGGTAGGTTGGCAGGTCTCTAAATGTGACGCAAATCGAATTTCTCCCCATCTCTAGTTTTGGTCTGAAACATCTGGAGGGCACCAGCTGTGGGAAGCACAAGGCAAGTCAACCCCCCCCGCCTCCCCCCCCCCCGCCCCCAAGATTCGCTTGCAGGGGCAGCTGCAGCCTGATTTTTAAGCTGCAGGTCCTTAAAAACTCCTCCTAACTGTGGTGGCATCACAGTGCTGAATCCACAGTACAGAGCCAGTTGTAGTGAAGGTGGAGCATATGCAGCCTGGTGCTCTTTAACTGACTCTGCTGTTCCTTAAATCAAGCTTAAGTGTCGGTGTTTCCAACAGAGACGTCGCTTTGACAGCTAACTGTACCCAGGAGGGTGATGCTGTAACGTACAAGTAAGGTATTATGAAATGGCCATACGCTTATCACACCATGGACGTCTCCAGCAGAGTATTGTGTAATCTGTTTGGAAGCAGCTTCCCGGTGGCTCAGGGAGAAAGGGGCAACATTACTAACTAGGCATGGGGGAGAAATTCAATTCAGTTCGCATTTGAAGTACTGTGAAACACTCGTTCCTCATTCGTAAGAAATCCATCATTTAGTGAGGCAACACCCGAACTTTGGAACTCTTTGCCTATTGTCATCAAGCATTATACTCTTCTCGGCGCCTGTTAAAAGCCTTTTTGTTTCAGCAAGCCCATCCAGGTATATAGAAGGCTGTCAAGTGTTTTTAGCTGGTTTTAGCTTAGTATTTTTTGAATGCTTTAAATAGTTGTTTTTCTTTATTTCACTTATGATAACATTGTTCTTTTCATAAACCACTTCAATGTCTTTTTTTAAAAAAACACCAATTGAGCACTATGTAAGTTTTGGGAAATAAAGAAATAAAAAGACAAACCTACCTAATTCTCATTTCCTAAAACAATAAACAGAAGCCCAGCCATCCTTTGAAATTCATACTTCTCCAAATTTTGCAGTGCAGTTCTCCTAAGTGTTGTGTACAAAAGTTGCTTGTACTAGAAAGTGTGCCTGAAATGCATATGTTAGAGCAGATAACATGCAGAAATGCATTATACTAGGGAAAGTTGCCCTGCAAACAAGTGGGTTTTAGGGGAAATTGCACATAAACATGTGTATATGAGGATACTTAAATGCTGGAGGACTTCAGGGGAAACTGCAAATGGATATGGAAATGCGAAGAACTGAAGTTAAGGCTGGAAAATTGAGAAACTGAAATTGACAGATTTGCCCATTCCTAGCGCTGCCACCTGATCCTTTCACAGGAAATGGCCAGGATTCGAGCAGGACATCCAGCACGCATTACCGCGGTGCTTTAGCCAACTTATTTTTCCTTGGGGAGCTCCTATGCCTTTTACAAATTGCATAACTTCCACGCTGCGGAAAGCTCCTTGCCCTGCAGCTGTTAATTGCAATAATTTATTGTTTGTATGTCAATCTGTGGTTGTGTACCCAGAGAAGCTTACAGCATAAGGATACAGGCAGCATAACGGAATCATCAAAATGCAAATAAAAGGCACTGTGCTTGAAGACCCAGACAGGGATGATGAGAGCCTGGGGAGAGGTAGACCCGGTTTAAATCTCTGCTCAGCCATGAAGCTCAACCTTCTCCTTGTCCCTCAGCCTTACTTACTTACCTTACCTTACTTAGCTTTAGCTTACCTACCTCACAGGGTTGTTGTGAGGAAGGGAAGAACCGCGTATGCTACCAAAGGTGGATATACATGAACTATAATAATGCTGCTTAACACTTGACAAGGTTCTGTGCCAATGTGAGAGGGAGAGAACAGTGACTCTTGTTGCTCTGGTGGTACTGGGATGACCTGATGTGGTTTTTTTGCTTCCTCCCACCAGGGTTCTGGTCCTTCCTGTGGTTTGTGAGCTTCTGCTTCCTGGCCAACCAGTGGCAGAGGACGCCATCGAGCAAAGAAGCACATTACGCAGGTGATGCAGCCAGGGCGGCCATTGCCTTCTCGTTTTTCTCCATCATCTCCTGGGTAAGCTTTGGTGTCCAGTGGTGATCCTGTGATGTGTGGAATACTAATAATAATAATAATAATAGTACTAGTGATGATAATAATAATAATAATAATATTTTACAGTCATACCTCAGGTTGAAGTAGCTTCGGGATGAATATTTTCGGGTTGCGCTCCGCGGCGACCCGCACGTAACAGAGCGTGTTACTTCTGGGTTTCACCGCTCGTGCATGCTCAGACGCTCAAAATGACGTCATGCGCATGCACGGAAGCGGTGAAACGCAACCTACGCATGCGCAGACTTGCAGTTGTGTCTTTCGTTTACTTCAGGATGCAAACAGGGCTCCGGAACGGTTCCCGTTCGTATCCAGAGGTACCACTATATTTTATTTATACCCAGCCACTCTGGGCGGCTCCCAACAGAGGACTAAAAACAGAATAAAACTTCAAACATTAAAAACTTCCCTAAACAGGGCTGCCTTCAGCTGTCTTCTAAAAGTCAGATAGTTGTTTCTTTCCTTGACATCTGATGGGAGGGTGTTCTACAGGGCGGGCGCCACTACTGAGAAAGCCCTCTGCCTGGTTCTCTGAAGCTTTGCTTCTCGCAGTGAGGGAACCACCAGAAGACCTTCCGAGCTGGACCTCAGTGTCTGGGCTGAATGATGGAAGTGGAGACGCTCCTTCAGGTATACTGCGCCGAGGCCATTTAGGGCTTTCAAGGTCAGCACTAACACTTTGAATTGTGCTTGGAAATGTACTGGGAGCCAATGTAGGTCTTTCAGGACTGGTGTAATATGGTCTCGGTGGCCACTCCCAGTCACCAATCTGGCTGCTGTAGTTGTACTTGTAGTTTTAGGGTCACCTTCAAAAGTAGCCCCATGTAGAGCACGTTGCAGTAGTCCAAGCGGGAGATAACTAAAGCATGCACTACTCTGGCCAGACAGTCTGCGGGCAGGTAGGGGTATCAGCCTGTGTACCAGATGGAGCTGGTAGACAGCTGCCTGGAACACAGAATTGACCTGCAACTGCATGGACAGCTGTGAGTCCAAAATGACTCCCAGGCTGTGCACCTGGTCCTTCAGGGTCACAGTTACCCCATTCAGGACCAGGGAGTCCCCCACACCTGCTCGTCCCCTGTCCCCCCTAAACAGTACTTCTGTCTTGTCAGGATTCAACCTCAATCTGTTAGCCACCATCCATCCTCCAACTGCCTCCAGGCACTCACACAGGACCTTCACCGCCTTCACTGGTTCTGTTTTGAAAGAGAGGTAGAGCTGGGTTTTCATCTCCATACTGATGAACACCCAGCCCAAACCCCCTGATGATCTCTCCCAGTGGCTTCATATAGATGTTAAAAAGCATCAGGGAGAGGACGGAACCCTGAGACACCCCACGAGTGAGAGCCCCCAACACCACTTTCTGGACACGGCCCAGGAGGAAGGAGCGGAACCACTGTATAACAGTGCCCCCAGCTCCCAGCCCCTCTAGACGGTCCATAAGGATGTCATGGTCAAAGGCTGCTGAGAGATCCAGCAGAACTAGGAAACAGGGCAGAACTAGGAAGCGCCCTGGACTGAAAGGGAGGGCCTACCTGGAGATGCTGTCGGAAACCGAACCTGGGACCTCCTGCTTTTCCAAACAAATGCTCTGCCGTGGAGTTAAGAACCATCCCCTGGAAATAAATCAAGATTCCAGTCCTCATGGTTCTGAATCTAGGGTTGATTCAACTGGAATGTCAGGATCTACCTTGTATGATGTCAGACCATTGGTCCTTCAAGCTCAGTATTTAGATGCCTGCAATGACCAACATCCGCTTTTCAGTCTCTCCCTGTCCTATCCGGAAATGCCATTGGGGACTCTGCCATTGATCTATGACATAGGAACACAGGAAGCAGCCTTATACTGAATCAGACTACTGGTCCATCTAGCGCAGGAATGCCTACAATGACTAGCAGCAGCTCTCCAGGGTTTCAGACCGGGAGTCTGTCCCAGCCCTGCCTGGAGATTGTGGGGACTGAATCATAGAATTGGAAAGGGACCCTGAAGATCATCCAGTACAACCTCCTGCAATGCAGGAATATGCAGCTTTCCCATATGGAGATTGAACCTGCGACCTTGGCATTATTAGCACCACACTCTAACCAACTGAGCTATCCCGTGGGACGTTCTGCATGCAGTGCAAATGTTCATCCGCTGAGCTATAGCCAATCCCCTTAAATACATAGTGACAGAGGAAGCAGTCTTATGCTGAGTCAGAGCCTTCATCCGTCTAGCTCAGGATGGTCTGCAGCCCTTGGCTGGCAGTGGCTCTCCAAGGAGTCAGGCAGAAAGTGCTCCAGTCCTGAGGCATCTGGTTGCCCACTATAAGAACAAGATGCTGGACTAGATGGTCCATTGGCCCAATTCAATTGCAAGACTCTCCTTACGTTCTTAGACTATTGGTCCATCTACTGTAGCTCAGTACTTCCCACACTGACTGGCAGCAGCTCTCTAGGGTTTCAGACCTGGGGATCCTACCCTCGGATCTGAGAATAGAACCTGGGACCTTCTGCATGCAAGGCCCTACTCACTGAACTATAGAGCCTAGGAAGCCAGACTTTTGGTCCATCCAGCTCAGTAGTGCCCACACTGACTGGCAGTGGCTCTTCAAGGTTTCAGGCTGGAAACATTCCCAGCCCTACCTGGAGATGCCAGGGGTTAAACGTGGGACCTTCTGCATGCAAAGTCGATTTTCTATCACTGAGCTATGCAAAATAGCCCCATGAACAGGCATAAGATTGTCCTTTTAGCTGCTCAGTAGACGCTGGAGAAGCCCCAGAAGTCTCTGTCCTCCTCTATGTTACAGCTTTTCAGGGATCTGAAGAAGGTGACCATCTCCCCCTCCCTCCATCAGCCAATCCTCTCTTCTCCAGGCCAAGCAGACATGGGTCACATCCATACCAGACATTCAAGCACTTTCAAAATGCATGGCTTCCTATGTCCTAAAATGTGTCGGATTCCACAGGAGGTGCCAAATGCGGCGCAGGAGTCCGTGTTTTGATCCGATGTGGCATGTGGCCTTTCAAGATCCTCTTCCCGCTTTTGCCTGCCTTTTCAAGCCACTCCAAGGGGGTGTTGACAGTTAACAGCAAACGCTCTCGGATTTGTTCCCCTTTCATACTGTCAGGAGCTGCTAAGGGAGATGTTAACAGAATGCTCTGATCTGAAGGGAAGCATTGCAGCATTTGTGTCTCGCACGGTTTGCATTTTAAACATGCATCCTTTCAAAAAGAAAAAAAGAAAAAGATGGGGAACATTTTTGGCAAAGGAGGCATGGAAGAGTGACCTGAGGAACTCGAAAGGCTTCATCCTTCCAGTCTGCTCTGTGCTAGACCCCACCTTGCAAATTACACGATGGGATTCTGCCTTCCTGGTTATGCAGAGCCTCCTAGATACATCACACTGTCCATGTTGTGTCAGTATTTGCCTAAAACTGGTGTGTGGGGAGAACCTTGGGCCCTCCAGATGTTGCTGAGCTACAACTCCCATCATCTCTGACCCTTGGTCATACCAAGTAGGGCTGATGGGAGTTGCTGTAGTTGGCTATGCTTTGCCTCCATTTTCAGAGGCAGTCACTGTGAGATCACAGGATGATGCACTAAAGGGGCCATTGGCCTGATCCAGCAGGCTCTTAGGTCCTTACGTAGTTTGGCGACATCCAGAGGGCCAGAGTTTCTCCACATCTGGCCCAAATGTTATATCTGGGTTGGTTTGTTTTTGTCAGCAGCAGCAACAACTACTTGTATAAACAAGTTGTATACCACCCTTTATCCATAGATCTCACAGCGGTTCACAACATAACTGACTATTTGAGTTTGAAAAGCTTGTGTTGCTGGATCAAGTTTGTCAGTTTTGTTGAATTAATGAAACTAAATAATTTTACAGTGGTACCTCGGCTTACATACGCTTCAAGTTACATACGCTTTAGGTTACAGACTCCGCTAGCCCAGAAATAGTGCTTCAGGTTAAGAACTTTGCTTCAGGATGAGAACAGAAATCGTGCTCTGGCGGCGTGGCGGCAGCAGGAGACCTCATTGGCTAAAGTGGTGCTTCAGGTTAAGAACAGTTTCAAGTTAAGAACAGACCTCCGGAATGAATTAAGTACTTAACCCGAGGTACCACTGTAATTGGATTTTGAATAGATGTGCGCTCGCTACTGTTTTTGAACTTTATTGTGTCCTTAGTGGGTTGTGCAAACCACCAATCCGAGCAACCCTTTTTTTATTACAGGGTTGGGGGTTACCGGGGATGAGTTGAGGGAACGTTTTGGGAGCGGCTGACCTAAACCTTTGTCTTCCCCGCAAAAGGTTGCCCTGGCCCTCAAGGCGCTCCAAAGATACCGGCTGGGAACCGACATGTCCCTGTTCGCCACGGACCAGTTCCCCACCGACCCCAGCGCGGCCTACCCAGGCTACCCCACCGGCAGCGGCGTGGAGAGCACAGAAACCTACCAGAGCCCCCCCTTCTCGGAGACCCTAGACACCAGTCCAAAGGGCTACCAGATGCCGGCATATTGAAGGGCAGGAGGAAGTCCTCTCCCTCCCTCAAGGTTGTATAGCAAATGGGAACCCGACCCAGAGAAATGGGGCAACTTTCCCTTTCATGGTGCAGTATAGTCAACTGGTTGGTTGCAAGTGTATTCTAAAGTACCTTTTCTTTTTTAAAAACAAAAAAATTAATGTGGCAAGTTAACGTAACTGGGTTCAACTTACTCTTAGCTAATGGTGCAGTGAATTCTCTACAGTGGTATTGGTTCTTGTCTTACCTGTCTGAGGATATTTTTTGAATTTTATTTTTTAAAAAACAACAGTGTTCCCTCTAAGCATGAAACGTTAGGATGGTTGCTACCAACTGCCATCTTTGTGAGCCATCCCTGTGATCTTGGCTCATTGTGGCATTTTTTTCCTGAATTCGCACACAGAAGCTGGCAATAGCCCAGCCTGTTAAGAGACGTCCCACTCCTTACACAGATAAGTAGATGCTTTATTTTGTGCTTCCGGGGCTTAATCCAGAAAATTGCTCCCACTGTCTTCATCCTAGGAACCTTCCAGATCATCCTCTCCTATTTTTTTATTCCCTTGCTCTACAGCCCTAGAAAAAAGGTAGTTTTAAAGCAGCCTTCTTGCCCTCCAGTTGTTTTGGATTCCAACTCTCAATATCCCCAGTGGGAGCTGATGGGCGTCCAAAACATCTGGAGGGAACCCAGTTGGGGAAGACTGTTTTCAAAAGGAATGTGCCAAATTTAAAACCAAAAATAATGGTTGTGTTGATTTCATTTGTGTGTGTGTTTGTTATGTACTTGGCATATTTCCTGTGCTAAATGAGTGAAAAACCCTTCTGTATTAGCTGTGTTAGCTTTGCGATTCTGGTACCGCAGGAAGTTTTTTTCTTTCTTTTCCAAATGGCTTTGATGCAAGAATCATTTTTGTACACCTTTTACACAAAAATTACTGCTCTGGGGTGAGGGTGGGGAAACAGTCACACTGTCAGGCCATCAGCCTTTAAGAGTCTCCTAGCAGTGGGGATATGTAGCATTCAGTAGCTCAGCTGTCGTCTAAAAATAGGGCTTGCTAACTGCTAGGGTCCTCATCGTATCCTCATGAGGAGTGTGATCCAGCCCACCAATTCTGCCTCTGCCTCAGAGATGGGGGACACACGTCAAGCAGTCTGGAAAAAGATGGAAGCGAAAAGGAAGAAATATGTCTGTTGAGGGAATAGCAGCAGGAGTGGAGGTTTCTTGTGACAGGCCATTTTCGACATGGCCTCAAGATGGCATCCATTAATTGGTTTTTCTTAATAAAAATTCCACCGCTATCAGTATGCGGCCATTTTGCCAGCCCCTTCAGTACCAAAAATTATCCACGCCATCCCTTTAAAATGGTTGTGTCTGGTAGAGGCCATTTTTTTTTTGAACACAGAGTGGAATAATGTGCATCACAGTATTTGTTGGGAATAGCTCCAGCCTTACTCTGTAAAGAAAGTTTGGGCAAAAAGTTTCACTGTGGCAGACAAGAGAAAACGAAAAGACAGTTGGATGTCGGAAACCAGAGAGAAAAGGCTAAATTCCCATGAAGATGTAGTAATGCTTAAGGGTTAAGAGAGTGGGCTTAAATGAAATTTAAACTATGAGAAGATGGGTAAGTGAACTGAAATAAAACGACGCTGCCTTTTAAAGTGATTTCAGCAGCAAGATGTAAATTATTTTATATTAAGGCGGATCCCGATAATCTGCCATTCTCATTCAGCTGTAACTCTGGAGAAATTTGATCTCTGAAATTCCACCATGAAGATAGGGCCTCAATCCAGTAAGAGAGAGCTGCATGTGCAAGGAAGCTTTCGTGGACATATGCCCTTAACAGTTTGATACACAATATTTCCGTGAAGGTGGCCAAATTGGCTGGAACTAAGAGTGTCCCATTTCAGTCTTTCAGATTTTACAATGGAAGGCCATCAGTCTTGTGGACAAAGACCTATATAGGGTTTACACTGATACAGAGAATGGTATTGATACAGGGTACACACAGAACTGTAGCAATATTTTCCTTAGAGAGAACACTGGCATTTTAGCAGTATACAAAATTGTGTCTAAATATTTTTTCGGGGGGAGGGAGGGCAGACAAACACACACGCGCGCGCGCGCGCACACACACACACACACACACACACACAGAGAAAGTCACAAAAGTATAATACATTTAAATGTTTCTTTAAATCGATTGTATATGTGAAATAAATGTCTGTTCAGTAAAGTGTATTTTTTCTAACTATAAAGAAATTCATTCAGAGTATCCTTGTATTAATTGTAAAGAGAAAGAAAGCGATTACGTTCTGTCTGACTAGTAGAACTGCCTTGGTCAGTAGTGTTAATGTGTTATATATTACAATTTTGAATGTATGCACCTCAATGCCTACATCTGTATTCTCTTCCTTTCCAACCCATTCCTAACCTCCCCACAATTAGCACTGCGGTTTATACAAAGCTGTGTCATTCAGACAGGACTAAGGCCAAGTGCAAGAGACTTCGGGGCCATTGATGGAAAAGCCAGAATACTCCCCCCCCCACCCCGCCTTCTCCTGTATTTGGGAAGCTCTGGGTAACATACAGGCCCAGCATCACTGTGGAGTCGATTCTTCAGAAACCTTAATTCCCATTGCAGTCTGGCTGAGTTGTAGTTCAGAACACCTGGAGGGCGCCAGCTTGGAGAAGGCTAACTTAAGGCCCCAGCCACTGTCATGCTGGGGCTGATGAGGGTTATTGTCCAACAGCTTCTGCAGGGCCATTACTTCCACAACTCTGCTTTAGGTTAAAGACAAATGCCAACCTTCTTCACCCAGCACATAGTTAAACTATAGAACTTCCTTCCACAGGAGGCAGTGATGGCCATCCACCAACTTGGATGGCTTTTAAAAGATTGGACAATTTCACGGAGGAGAGGGCTATCAATGGCTCTTAGCCACGATGGCTAAGCTCTGCCTTCATGGTTGGAGACCTCAATGCTTCTGAATGGCCGTTGCTGGAAACTGTAGGAGGGGAGAGCTGCCGCCGTTGTGCTCAGGTCCTGCTTGTAGGGTTCCCAGAAGAGGCATCTGGTTGGCTACTGTGAGAAGAGGCTGCAGGGTGCTGGACTAGGTGGGCCATTGGCCTAATCCAGCAGGCTCTTCTGATGTTTGCATGTTCACCTGCATACTTTGGAAAAAGGTGTGCAGAAGTCGGCAGGATGAAGCTCAGGCTGCATCTGAAAGCTGATTTGGAGTTCTCAGTTTGGAGTGGCAAAGGTACTTGCTGTTTGGGCCAACAGGAAGGACTCTTGAGGGGACTGGCATTTGGGGCAAATTTAGATAATCTACAAGCTTATCTTTTTTGGGGGGGGAGGGATAGATGAGCAGGAAAATAATATATACTTGGCTAAAGTTATATATTGGCCAGTCAGTCCTTTTTTATATTGTGTGGGCAAACTATCCAAGCCGACAAGTAATAGATGAATGAGCTGATTTCACCTGCTTTTGCCAGGAAAAATATTGCTGGCAAGTTGTGGATCTCCTTTGAATTCTTTTGCCACTACTGTAATCCTAAAACATATTCTCTCCCCACACCCTGCTTGTAAAAAGGTGTAGCAGCTACTTAAATTTATCCCCTGAATGCAAATGGTGCTTCTCTTGTAACTGTAGCTCTGACTTCCTCAGCCTGGATGTTTTGGGATGACACATTCCATTTGCACCAACCAGGACAGCCTCTGCTTTAAAGGCAGTACTAGGTAGATGATGGGGTAGGCAAACATGTCGATACCTTGCAAGAGATCAGGTGGCATGCATGCATCTATCGCTGATTGCAGTTGTTGGTGCCCAAGCCCAGCACCCAAGTGGTCTTCCTGCCCGGCATTGTAAGGGGGAAATAGTTGCCACAAGCCAGTAGAGAAAGCTGTGGGCCCCCTAAATGGGTGGTGAAAACGGCATCCACTTGGTGAATTGGTTAGCAAGGATCTGTCGAATCAAGGTGAGGCTCACAAACTGCACATCCAGAAATAACTTGCTTTGTTTCCTACCACTGGAGAAAAGGCAGGGAGCTGACTAGTTGGGTGTGACTGGGCTTCAAAATCCTTAAATCTTTCAATTATTATGCTGAACCTTTGTGTAGGTTTGCCAAGTTAAGTAAACCAGCCAATGAGACTTTGGCCTGTTGCCACCACTCTGCAATTAAAGTAAAAAGCCACTGCCGGAGGCGTTAAAAGCATTCGTTCTCCTTGTTTCCATGTGCTCCTATCAGCACTCAGCCAATGTTTTGCGACTCAAGCCATGTAACAGGGACTCATCAGAGGAACTGTGTACACAGAGCTCTAACCAAAATACATTCTTACAGATTACATGGTAGATAATGAGTAGGAGCTGTTGGTAAGTTGTCCTGTTAGTTCCCCCTGCCCCATTCCTGTTTTTCTTGAGATCAGTGCTCAGTGTTCATCTCCCATCCATCTTTCTGCCAGAGACCATTAACCCACGGCTTAAAGTGGGGGGGGGAGCACTTTCACAAAGGGGTGTGGAGCTGGTCAAACCCCATCAGTCCTCGGCACCTGTGCTGCTTTTGTGATGCTCATCCAGGCATTGAAAATGTGTCAAAATAACTTTCTGCTTTGCCAAAAGGGGTTGTTTGCAACTTGGGAATGCCTGTCTTGCCCTGCCATCAGTGCTCTTCGTGCACAACAGTTCAGGGTATGGAAAAGCTGCCTCTTATCTCAACGGGACCACAAACTCACATGGCTGGGGTGAAGGTGCCACAGCTTGCTTCTGGCACTCAGGGCAAATCACAGCTCAGAGTTTACCCTGAAGAGGAAATTGCCAGTAGCCTCCACCCAGAGCAACTAAAAGCCTTGACCAGAGCCATTGCGACAACCATCTGTTTTAAAAAGCAGTCAGGATTATTTGTCAAACAAACACCTTGTGGTGAAAGCTGACTTTTGACACCCAGGCTGTATTTTCAGGGCCCACCCTATTCCTGTGACTGCCATTTCTTTTTAACTGTTGTTAATACTGAATTTTAACTTGTTGCACTGCTGGTGAAGTGCAGGAAATACATTTAATGACATGCCAGCCACACTGCACACAGGCAAAGAAAGCAGGCTTTGGGAACGGGTTCCATGCTTTATGGGAAATGCCTGCTAAGTGCAATTAGAGGAAGGCTGGCTGACCTCATCCTCCTCTGAAATCCAGATAGAGCCAGAGCTCTGGTCCTGACTGCTGCAAGCCCAACATGCAGTTGCTTCAGGCTATACTCACAGTTGGTTGATTGACTGATTTCGTTTGTAGTCCGCCTTTTTCTCCAAGGAGCTCAAGTTGGCATACATAGCTCTCCCCCTCCTCAATTAATGCCAACAATGCTGAGAGGTAGGTTAGGTTGAGAAGCAGTGATTGGCCCAAGGTCGCCCAGTGAGCTGTGTAACTGATTGGTGATTTGAACCCTGGCCTCTCATATCTTAGTGTGCCAATCTAACCACTACACCACACTGGCTTTGCAGTCACCTGGTTGAGCATCCTGCAACCTGCATGCTAGAGCAAAATAAGATTAACATGCCCCAAGTTTCTAATTATGCCGGGAGCAGAAAGTTGTCACGCTTGGTTGCGGCCGCAGAAAACCATCTCACGTCTTCTAAACCATGCTTGTCAAGATGAGCGCAGCAACCTTTTCCATCATATTCTTAAGGAAATAATCATGGTGTGGCCTAACCCAGTTCTGTCCTTTCTCCTGTGGGGCTGTCAGAAGCCTTACTACAGTCTCACAGACACCGTTTTCCCTTCCATGAGGAAACGCCATCACCTAATCCTCCAAGTGCTACACAGAATGGCAAAGTTGATCACTTAATGTTTGCCAAGTCTTTATGCTGCAGGAGTAGAAACAGGTTAACTCTCACCAGGCTAACTCCAGCTACCTATAAGCCCTTTGCTCCTTCCATTCCAATACAGAGCATCTTTATGAAAACCCCTTCGCCTCTTTTGACGTCCTGCAATATACAGGCAGGGGAAACTCATTTTGCTCAAAGGTTCACTCATTTGCCTTTAATAGACTGTGTAGAGGCTACCACAGAGACAGACAGAGAAAGCCTTTCAGGGTGAGCAAGGCCCAATAATACCTTTTTAGTACAGAGAGAGAGAGAGAAGGAAGCCTCCCTTTCATTTTGCTGCAAGTATGCAGTTCGACCTCACATTGTTTTCATCGTTTTTAATAGGATACCAAACATACAGATACCTCCCTTAAAAAGCAGACTGCTTCAAACACACAACAAAAAGTTGCAGTTGTTAGTGACCCAACGTGCACTGTGGTAGAAAAGTGAACTGTGTGAACATAGGGGCTTTCAATGTTTATAGTTCTATTTTTGTCTGTATATATAACGATAGATAGATATAACATTTTGGAAAGACAAAGCATCACTCTGTGACTGTGTTATTTTAATTGTCTGTATACCAACTGCAACTTATTTTTCAATAAACATTTAAAAATGAACAGCTCGAGACCTCTTGACATTCGGCTGGATCACGTGTAAAGGGGGAAGGAAGTGAGAGAGACCTGTGGGTGACTGAAACAGCTAAAGGATGCTTATAAATAGCTGATAGAAATAGTAAGAATCTAAACCAGGCAGGGTGACACATGACAGACATTGGCTTTTTAAAGCCACCAACAGTTGAGAAGTTTTAAGCACAGCAGACCAGCTAGCAAAATCTATTGTGAGCTGGAAACTTATTTGTGAGTCAGAGCCAGTTGTATGTTCAATTTCATACTATTTCTGCACTTTAAAACAAAAAGGGGGGAATACAATTGCCAAGAACAGCTGCCTGATTTTATTTCACTCTTTCCAATGGGACTCAGGTGGGATGCCTGTGGTTGCCTTCAATAAGCCAGAGAAGACAGAATTGCTCTGGGGGAGAGAGCACTACCTGCTACATGGGGCCTCCCAAACTACTTCTTGATGGGCACAATGAGCACAGACATACAGCTAGATGTATCAAAAGGATCACTGAGAACATTTGGTGAGCTGTTCCGATCTCCCACAGAACCAGGAGTCCTAACTCTGCAGGTTTCCCATGTTTGTGGGAAGTGTGTGTATTTGTTTCCCGTGTTTGGTGGGGCTACAGGAAATATGACCCTGCCTTCCTTTCCAACATACCCTGTACATGTGGTGGAAAGGTCCAAAGTACCCTGCATTCTTAGTTTTACTCAAGTAGTACTTAACAAAACCACCTCAAGATAAGTCCTGCATTACTGAGCCAATCTTAACGATCATCTTTGGGGCCATGCCTGGATGTGTAACAGTTAAGTAACTTTTTCTTAAAATTGTGGGAATGATCCAAGGTTTAGATCAGACTTCCTCAACCTCGGTCCTCCAGATGTTTTTGGCCTACAACTCTCATGATCCCTAGCTAGCAGGATCAGTGGTCAGGGATGATGGGAGTTGTAGTCTCAAAACATCTGGAGGGCCGTGTTTGAGGAAGCCTGGTTTAGATCTCTTCCACCCCTCTAAAGCAAACAGGGAGTTCTTGTAACACCCCCCCTCATTTCAGCAGTACTTGTGCAGAACTGCTAAACTGCGTCAAGCATTTTTTGATTAAAGAGCCAGGTGGATTCAGTAAAGACATCCCAATATAAGATCTTTAAAACAATAATTACTTGAAAATACTGAAGTGAAAGGCTGCTGACATCAAGACTTGAGCAATTACAACAAGGTGGCAGATAAACTGGGAAAAAATCTGTTTGGACAAGCAGCTCTACCTAGACTCTACCATTTCATACCACAGGCTGGTGGAAATGGCATGACTGATTTGCAGCCTCTCCCACCCACAATGCAAAATAAATGTTCTGCAAACCTGGATTTAGGGGGGGGATCTAAACTAGCTGCCCTCATGTGACAATTCCTATGCGAAGGGTTGTTTTTTGGTGGGACAGATTTTACCTGTTGCCAAAGTATTTGCAATTTCTCTTCCTGGACTTGAACAAGAGGCTGCACACTCTCAGCTGGTGTTTCTCTGGTCTTGGTGACTGTATTTCACTTCCAAGGTAGCCCACTAGGAAAGGTCTCTGTATGGAGCTGTTGAGGTTTGCTTACCCTGTGGAGACAATGTAAAGGAGGAAGCTCTCCCTGGCGACAGGGTGGAATTTAGATCCTAGCCAGCTCTCTCCTACCCGCTTCTAGGTAAACTCATAGGAAGCTTGCATTTCAAGGCATCAGATGGCAACATAGGGTGGTGGTCAATGTGGAACAGCATTTAATGAGCCAACCACTGGCTGATCTAAGCCAGCAGATTCCTCAAAGACAATGGAAATAACTGAACTCGCATCACAGAGGCAGAAATGCACATTTTACACAGAGAAGAAAAAGCATTGAATACCATTTTTTTAACCTACATGCAGTTTTAACAGAACAAATCTGGGTTTCCTTGGAGAAACATTTAAGCTTGACAGAAAAAATGCTTTGAAGTCTAGATGCAGATATTTTCTTAAGAAGTTCCATCCCTGTCGATGGAAGAAACTCATCCAAAAAGCTGAACTGGGGTGAGAGACAATAGTAGGCCAGAGGAAAGGCCCAAATCCATACTTGCCATGGCACTTTTGCCCAGCTCTACATTCCCAACACCCTTCCATGCTGTGCGGCCTACACAACTTACATCTTATGTGCGACTGCTTCTGAGCCATTCTCAGTGGCTTTCTGCAACCAAAATGGTAACCTTCCGGTTTTTTTATTTTTTTTACAAATGAAAACAACCCCTCCCTGCCCATATTTCCATATTGTGCCAAGGTCAGAAACTAGCTAATTCATCAACGGTGGTGGCAAACTAGGCTCCACCCACTGGGAACTTGCAATTCCAGCCCATTTTTGTGGCAGGAGGCCCATTGTCACTGGATTTCCCCAGTGGCCGCAGCTGCCGCCACCCAGGAACCCCCTTACCCTGCCAGCACCTTCCACAAACTCCCTCTGCCCGCCCACAGAGCCGGCTGCTCTACACTCTTCTGAGAGCCTGCCTTCCAAGAAACGCCATTATTTTTTTAAAGATGGAGACTGGCTTTATTTAGTTGCCTGGAACAGCTAGCTGATGATCCTGCTGATAGCCTGCAAGGAAGGGAACTCCTCCTCCTCCTCCATATGCAGGGCTTTGTGGGAAAGGAGGTCCTGTTGGGTCAGCACCTGCTGGCATGTGGGGCAGACGCAACAGTCGAGGTCGGAGCCCAAGTCTGTCTGCCAGGCGCTCTTCCGGTTCTTCCTGGATCTACCAATGGGGGAAGCGGAGGAGCCCAGCCTGGCCTTCAAGTCATTGTGAGCGGCAAGCAGTTCCTGCTGCTTGGCCGTGTCCGGCAACAGCACAAGGAGCTCGTTGAAGATCTTCTTGAAGTTCTCGCCCAGCAGCTCCTGGCAACTCTTGTAATACTGAGCTGCAGAGATCAGACCCTTGGATTGGAAAGGAGGGAAGGATATTGGACAGTCAGAAAATAGGAGGGGGCTGGGAAAACAGCCTTCATGCAAATGATGTATGGAGTGGAGGCAAAAAAGTATTCCCCCCCCCCCCGAGAGCATTTATAAGAATGTACTAAATCACAAGCCCAAGTCTGCTCATGATTTACTAGAACTCGTCAAGACACTGCAGGGTCACCTAGATCCCTTGAAGTCCCTGCTGAAAAGGCGACTGGGCAAAAGGTTTGTGCAAATAGTGAATCCCCTGCAGATACCACACGGGTCACTAGGGAGATCTTCCCCAACCCCAGCTTCATAGGGACCCTTGGAGCATGAGAGAAGATGAAATGGCCTCTTATTGACAGTGACTGCTCCTATAAGCAGATCTTATTGGCAGCGCTTCCAGTATCTGGGAACATGAAAGTACATTTCCTAGAGAACCACAGGAAGCTCCCTTGCTGGAAAGCCTCCACCACTGCCCCGGGAGATTTTATAAACAAACTTGCTCAAAAGCGGCAGGTCCAGAACAGCTCTCCAGGCCTGCTTTTGGTACAACAAAAGTACCTTGGTCTTGTTTTTCAGGTGATGAGGGTATGTCTCCCCGTGTTTGACTAGGCTAACCTATTCCACAACCTGGGTAGGGTGACCAAGAGGTAAGTGATCTATGGGATTCACCACAGAATCCAGGTTTACCTTGTGCTAGGGATAGCAAAGTGCTGGCACTATCATTATCATGAATAGTAATTACATATATATCCCACCCTTCCTCCCAAAGGAGCCCAGGGCAATGTCACTGAGCAGCCTTCAGATTCCAGTGGATACACGTCACTGCTTTCTGACCTCACTACCCCACCATAAGCCACAAAAAGCCACCAATGACTTCACCAAACAGTGCTAAAACACAGGCAGACGCTTAACATCAAGCCCAGGCCCACCCAGATACATGCTGCCACTCATGGGAAGAACTCTCCGCCACTGGATGTTCCAGTAGAATCGTCTTGCAAGTGTATCTAAGGGGGTCTCCCTGCTGCTCACCTGCCTGAACTGCCCGGAGTATGTCTTGAATTTGTTGAACTGGGATTCGTCCTCTTGCAGAAATTCCTTGATTGACTGGATTAGATGGATGTTCCGCTGCTGGAAGTTATCCAGGATCAAATAGGGTCCCTGACAAGGTTTTGGCCTGTTTTGAGAGGGGAGGAAAAATGCAAGATCTGAACTGGATCCTTGGATGTTATTAGGAAAAGGTGTCTTGTTGAGGATGCTCCCTGGAGAGGCTCTTGATACTCCTTTATGGTTACTGCTCTGAGGCTTCCCCCTTTTGAGGTTTCCCTCTCCCCACAGTAACTCCTAAACGGTGTGCCACAGCACATTCCTGAAACATGGCAAAACTGCTGCTCTACTGTGAAAAACAGGACTAAATTATCAGTCCATAGAGAAAGCTGCCAGCTGCAGCCCCATGTGACTTTCTGCTCCAGTGCTTATGGATGAAAATATTGCTGTTGCTCTATGCATTTTAGAGCGCAAAACTTTTTTCAGGAGGGAGCCTGAAGCACTTGCAAATTCCCTAGAACCAGAAACACCATGTTTGTAAACTGGAACAAAAAAACCACCTGTAAACATTTTTCCTAGCATCTTTGCAATGAACACAGGGAGAAATTTTTTTGTTTCTGGTTCTAAAGGATTTGCAAACTTTTAAAGCTCATGGAGTTTTGTACTCCGAAATGCTTAGAGCAGGGGTCAGTAACCTTTTTCAGCCGTGGGCCAGTCCACTGTCCCTCAGACCATGTGGTGGGCCGGACTATATGGGGGGGGGGAATGAACAAATTCCTATGCCCCACAAATAACCCAGAGATGCATTTTAAATAAAAGCACACATTCTACTCATGTAAAAACACACTGATTCCTGGACCGTCCGCGGGCCGGATTGAGAAAGCATTTGGGCCGTATCCAGCCCCTGGGCCTTAGGTTGCCTACCTCTGGCGTACAGCAACAAGGTTAGATAGCTTTCATCCATAAGCACTGGAGTTTGTCACTTCTTGGTCTGACTCTCCCTCTTCCAGCACACTCCCCTTTCTCAGCAGCCTGTGCTGAGGAGCATCAGGTGTGCCTGAATCACACAATCCCACTTTCCTCAGAGGCAGCAGAAGCACAGGAAGAGAGGGCCTAAGGTCACATCAACACCATACATTTAAAGCGCATGGCTTCCCCCACAGAATCCTGGGAACTGTAGTTTGTTAAGGCTGCTGCAGGGAATGGTGAGGGTTAACTACAGTTCCCAAGATGACAGAAGCCATGACTCTTCAAATAGTGTAATGCTGCTTTATGGTGTGGCTGTTACCTTACACACAGTAGAACAGCATTCCCTAACCTGGTGCCCTTTTGGACTATAAGATTCAACAGCCCCATCTGCTGGGGCATCAGTTTTGGACAGATGCCTCTAAAAAGTAACACTTTTAGAATGCAAGAAGAAGAAGAAGAACCCTACCCACACCCTCATTCTGAATTTGGAAAACGTGTGTCTCAACTATCAGAAGTTTGAGAAAGAGTCCCTAACCGCTACGGAACCGCCACCTTGGACATTTATTTATGGTAAAATATTTTTAGTGTTGTTCCATAAAAACTCCAAGGACAATTTGCATAAGAACATGCCACCTCCACCCCGAAACACAACTAAAAAAAGGAATAACAGAAGCCTAAAGAACCATAATAAGAACACAATAAGTAAAGAGGCAATGAGGGCTTAAAAGCCAGATTTTTTAAAAGTGTATGAAACGAAAATACTGCCTAGATTCAGAGGCAACATCAGTAAGCTAACGAGCCATGGCTTATAGTTTATAGTTAACATAACTAGAAACAATGGTATTCATATGGCATATAAATAAAATGGCATATAAATAAAACAACAATGATAAACTATATTTAAGGCACTGGGTTGGATTTGCACAGAGCACTAAACCATAGTTTAACCAATATTTACTTAAACCGTGGTTTAATGTTATGTGCAAACCAAGCCTATGTCTACAAAGCCTGGAAAAACTAAAGGTGTCAGGAAGTCCTGGAGGTGACATCATAAAGAAGGCCCTCTTCCTTTGCAGGCCTCATCCTATACCAGAGGGTGGGAGGGCCCCAAAGACCTATGTAACAGCCACTCCATAAAGATGAAAGTCAGCAACACCACAACACACAAGAGCCAACTACTTACTCTTTCACAGGAGCAGGGGCAGACTCCGAGATGCTAGTGGGTGGAATAGGAGTGAAGCCAGGGGGTGGTTTGCTAAGAGACACTGACAGTCCCGGAGGTGGCGGGGGGCTGTTAAGCAGCACCACAGAGTTGAAGCCTGGAAAAGGGAGTGGGGGAGACAACAAGCAGTTAGATCCTGCACCAATGGCATATGCAGCCAGCGATTTAGACATAGCTCTTTTGTAGTACACGGCAGGTTGCTCTGTACGTGCTCAAGCGGCACCCTAGAAAACTGGTCCTAGTCCAGTGTGTGGTAATGGGAAACCTGGGTTCAGAGATTTCAGCATCTGGGACTCAAAAGCTTTCAGACAACTTTATACAGCCAAAACAGTTGTTGCTTGTTCATTTATTTCATATAATTTATATACCACTTGATGGTAAAATAAACCCCTCAAATCGGTTTAGAAAAAGTGATAGTGGAGATTCTCAGGCGGCCAAATTCTGCACCGATGGAAGAGTCTTCACACCCACACCCACAACACTCACTCACCCCAGGAACAATTCTTCTCAAAACCTGAGAAGGAAGCCTGCAGCCTTTTACCTGGGGGTGGAGGCATTCGGGGTGGTCCAGAGTTTCCGAGGGCTGGGAAGTCTTCCTGAGGCAGCAGGGTCTGGCTGGCCACTGGGGGCTTCTTCAAACCAGGGGGCTCTTTAGAAGCGTTGCAGGTGCCCACACACTTCTCTGAGTGACCGTTCACAACAGCTGGTACATCGGCGTCGGCAGGCAAGGTTGGCACCTGCTCGGCTTCCGGTGCCTTCTCCGCAGAAGGGATGGGGGCTGGTGCTTCCTGCAAGATGGAGGGAGAGGCTGCCCTCGGCTTCTCGGCCCCAACTTTCTTCTTCTTGCCCACTTTGACAAAAGTCTGAGAGTTTGAGGCCGCCAGCAGAGAGGAGACGTCGACCATCGTCGGAGCGCTGCGGATCTCCTGGCTAGTCAGGCCACTGCCGCTCTCCTGGTCGTCGCTGCAAAGGGCAGCCTTGTTCTTTCTGCCACCTTTGCCGCTGCTGCTGGGGGCTGCCTTCCTGGCCGGTTGGCTGGCACTGGAGTTGCTGGTGGGCACGGCTTTCACCATGCTCTTGCCTGAGCCGCAGTTCCAGGCGGAGGTGAGGGTCGAGGCCGCCTTGATGTTTGGCTGCACTTTGGACACCAAGGCCGGGAAGTCCTCCTCCTGAAAGGCTGACCTCCTGGCTGTGGCCGTGTAGGTTAAGGACATGGCCGATGAGACCGTAGGGGCAGTCGAGGAGGAGGCAGAGAGGCTTGGGAAGTCCTCTTCGTCCAGTTTCACCGAGGCTGGCTGGGCCGAGCTGCAAGAAGAAAGCCCCGTGTAGAAAAGCAAACCTCCCCCGTCATGCAGCAAAAAACCCACCGGGAAAGAGGTGCTCTACTGAACTGTTTTCATTGAAACTGCACAGAATTTGATATATGGATATGGGGAGCCCCAAGGATAGAATGGGAAACTTATTTGGGAGCCTTGGGTGCTAACAGGGGAGTGATACTCTCTTCAGCCTGCAGATCAAGCTGAAACAAGACATGGAGGCACAGGCGAACCTAGGCAAAAGATTCCTGCATTGCAGGGGGTAGGACTAGATGTCCCTTGTAGTCCCTTCCAACTCTACAATTCCATGATTCTGTAACTGGTGAATGAGGAAAAAGGCTTTGCCTTGGAGGGAGACCCCGTCCCCTCTTAAACTAGGTGATATGCCTGACCTTTTGGCCCTTTCCAACTCTGTCATCCTACTAGATCAAAAACTCACCTCTGCACAGAGCCCACTGCTGTCGAGTTAATGGCAGGAAAGTCATCTTGGCTCAAAACAGCCTTTACAGCAGTTTCCTTGGGAGCTTGGGAGGAAGAACAGAAAGGCAGGCCTAACTTAGAGACTGTATTTTAGCAAGCATCCTGAAATATGGTCCCTCTCCTGCCTGGTGTTGAGCCCACCCCGGCCCTCAGAGGCCGCTCTCACCTGGCACATCGGCTGGAGGTTTTGGTCCCCGCTTGGAGGTGCTCAAGTCCAGATCTTTTGCATCTTCCTTTTTGGCACGGGAGCCGTCCTCTTTATCCTCCCCCCGCTTCTTCTCTTCTTGCCTTTTGGCGGCTACAGATGCCCTGACAGCTGCTGCAATGTCTCTGTCTTCTTCCTCCCTGTAAGGATTTTGAACAGTGCAGTGCAAGAAAGGCCAGAGTTAAAGGGACATGTCTCCTACCTCTATAAACCAGGTGGTTGGGAACCTTCAGCCCATGAGGCTAACCGGGCCCAACAGAGCCTCCCCTCTTGGCCCATGAAGCCAAGCCACACCCATCTGCCATTCAGGCTGGGTTAAAAGGGCTTTGCAGGCACTGCCAATCAGCTGATTAGTGGCACTTGCAAAGACCCATGCACTGATTGCTGGTGCTTGCCTACAGCTGCATGCACTGCTTTGCATCCCCAACAACCAGCTGACTGTTCAGGCTTCAAGTACTGCACCCGCACAGTTTAATTCCAAACCACATGGGCGGAAATGGGTCACTTGTCATTGTGACAACAGGCAACTGGCAGGCTGGCCCCGCCCACCCAACAAGCTTGGTCCATACAGGAGCAGGGGAGAGAATTGCCCCATTGGCTGGCAAAGGCTGCTGCAAAGGTTATTATGCTATACTGTTCTTGTAGAAGATGGTGTACAACAAGTTATGCTAGATTTTGAGACAACATATTGAAGTCTGGAAAAACAGAAGGACTGGCAGAATCTGGGGAGATAAAAGCCAGAGGCAGCTTGGTGCTGCCACCTGCTGGCAAAAGCAACACATCTCCAAAGCCTCATGCAAATAGAATGCACAGCTCACTGTCCTTAATACCTAAACAAACCCACATAGTTTCTAATGGGTTTTTCTTTTTCTTAGACAGGCATTTTTATAAGTTGTTTTATGCATGAAAAGTGTGTTATAGAAGTACAATAGGTTGTTGCAATGTTCTATTGCTTTCATCGTAAGCTGCATGTGAGGTATCTTAAAACAGAAAAAACAGAACGTGGATTTTATAAACAGGAAAAAGGGGTTTTGCAACACACCCTCCTTTGCACTGACCTTTCCTGCCTGGGCCTGAGTCTTTGGTTTTTGCTAAGCGTGACAGTGGTCCAATTCTGGCAGCAAGCTCTGACTGCATCCTTAAACTAAGGGGACAGTACATGTCACATCCTGATTTGCACCCCTGTTCACAAGCCAGTTTCCTGCCCATTGAGACGACACCCAAAGGCTGGCTGAAGTTCGCTCACCTCTTATATCTCCAGCTGCCTCTCCGGTTTTGCTGCCCTCCTCGTGGCCCTGACCGGCCTCCTCTCACTTGCCTGTTGTATCGGTCAACCTCTTCATAGTCCTCGCCACCCACGACACCTGGGACAAGAAAGATACGGGGCCAGTCAGCCTCAAACTGCTATTTTCCACCTTGTATGGGATCAGTCACCAGTGTGTGTGGGGGGAGGACGGGGGACGGGACAGGATAGGATAGAATAGGATAGGCTACAATGGAGGTGATGTGCTAGGAACAAGCATCAGATAGATCCTAGGCTTGTCTCAGCCAAAGCCTTGCTAATTGCCCCCAACCAAATTAGGGACATTCAAACTAATTCCCAGGCCACAGAGAAGTTAGGCTGGCCTCAACTAGAGCCAGGGCTTTTTCGGCCGTGGCTCCGATCTGGTGGAACACTCTGTCACAAGAGACCAGGGCCTTGCGGGACTTGACATCTTTCCGCAGGGCCTGCAAGACAGAGCTGTTCCACCAGGCCTTTGGCCAGGGCACAGCCTGACTCCCTCCCTCGGCAATCTTCGCGGAGCTCTGGCCCAATGGTTGCCAGTGGCTTGAATTAATTAATTTTATAATGAATGATTTTAGAGTGTTGTTTGTGCTGTACTTTTGTACTGTTTTATTGTTGTTAGCCGCCCTGAGCCCGGCTTCGGCTGGGGAGGGCGGGATATAAATAAAATTTATTATTATTAATTATTATTATTATTATTGGGGAGATTTGGGGTTTTTTGTTTTTGTTTTATAAATGCAGGCCATGTGTCTGCTGCAACTGAAATGTTGCTCCGCAGGCTTGTCTTGTCAATGTAGGGAGAGGTATTTTGTGACTGACAGGTCTAGTTTCTAATCAGAGGCAACAATACTAACAGGGCTCTTCCGGTCACCGTGCTTTGGGCAAGGGATGCTGAAGTGTTATATCACCTTGCTCTTGCCTGTTCTGTGCTCTGTCCTAGTCCTGCTAGCGGCACTTGCTTGGAAAACGCCAGTGGTGGATATGCTTCTGCCTCAGCTGCATGGCCACACATCCACCTCTATCAGATCAGCTCTGCACTTAATTAGCACAAAAGCTGACGGAAACAGAGAACACAAGCCTAAAGCCAGCCTCCATCCTCCATCTTGGATGCCTCCAAAATTTGGCCAGTTAGTTCACTGCTCGGGACACCTCTGCAATGGAATGCCATTTTCCTACAAAATCACATCCAAAAAACCCAACATGATTTTTGCCTCCAGTGCTTCTTTCTAGGCTATAAGAGAATACGCAAACACCCCATGATAATCACACAGCTGAAAAACACTGAAGTGAATTGCCTTTGTCCTTTGAAACGGCCAGCCCTTCCCTGCCTGGCCAGTATGGCGTACCCTCATTTCTCCGCTGATGCCTCAGCGCATAGTTGAACTGGAGGTCAATCTGCCGGTTCTGCCTGGCCTCTGCCCGGTTCTTGCTGTGACAGGCCGTCTTGTGGGCTTTGTAGTCTATCTCAGTCCGGAAGGCATGAGTGAACTGCTCGGTGCTGCACCGGCCTTCTTCGCAGAGGAAGTGCTTCTCACGGAAGTGTTCCCGGAGGTACTCATAATCACTGCAAAAAGGGTAGAGAGGAGGCATGCACTGTGAGCTTATCTGTGGGCTCCATTCAGGTTGAACAGATTTGAAGCACATTGCTTCCTCCAAAGAATCCTGGGAACTATAGTTTAAGGATGCTGGGAATTGTAGCTCTGTAAGGGGTAATCTACAGCTCACAGGATTATTTGCTGGGGGGTAAAGAAGCCTTGTGCTTCAAATGTATGGTGTGGATGTGACCCAAGTTTGTGGTGACAAATACAGATGGGAAAATGGAAAGCCTCTAAATTGGGCTGGGCAGGATTTGGACCCCTGGGCAATTTCTAGGAGGACCACATTGCACTGAACTGGTTACTGGGATTCCTGCAGAGAATGCTGAGTGAAGAGAACTTTGCTCTGACAGGGCAAGACTTTTCAAAGGATACATATGCAGGATCAGTTAACAGTCAGGCCTGAAGAATTCAGAGTTCTCCTTGTGTGCCCCAGCTTTGTAAATTTACAGCACGTTGGAAAGTTAGGAGAATTTGGTTTTTAAAACAATGGGCAGACCATTCAAGACTGAAGCCAGCTCTGAACCTCAAGAACGACAACTTGACTGCCATCTATACTGATAGTGAGTAAAGCTGGTTGTGTCCACTGAAGGTGACTGCAGTGTGGCAAGGAAAGAACCAGCACTGTGGTCACCTTCAACAGTGATGAGGAGAGAGCAAATGCTTATTTTTAGGGTTAATCATTTCAGGGTGCTATATTGGAAGTGATTCATGAAAGGAAGGAAGGAAGGAACTTTCCCAGCTGTTTCCAGCTGCATTTTCACCAGGGGAGGTGGAGGCTGGCTTGACTCCGAAGAAGAAGAAGAAGAAGAAGAAGAAGAAGAAGAGGAGGAGGAAGAGGAGGAGGTGTTTGGATATCCCGCTTTATCACTACCCGAAGGAGTCTCAAAGCGGCTAACGTTCTTCTTTCCCTTCCTCCCCCACAACAAACACTCTGTGAGGTGAGTGGGGCTGAGACACTTCAGAGAAGTGTGACTAGCCCAAGGTCACCCAGCAGCTGCATGTGGAGGAGCAGAGACTGAACCAGGTTCACCAGATTACAAGTCTACAGCTCTTAACCACTACACCATCCTGGCTCTTGATTCAACCTGACTCCTTATCAAGCAGAGAACATGTAAACCTTCACCCATTTTATTCAGTAAAGGGTTCTGTAACTGAAGTGCAGGGTGGGCTAGTTTCATCCCCAACCTCTCCTGCTACCCCAGGAGCAGTCATTTGTCAAAAGAAGCTACAATTCATGGTGGCTGCTAGCCCTCCAAACCTGACCACGGTCTCTTCTTATGAACCTGGGCACAAGCACCTGGTTCTGGGTTGGCCAGCTGCATCAAGAACCTTAAGACTGATTAGCCACAGGCAAATTCCCATCTGGGGCGCCGCTCTAGCTGTGCCCACGAACCTGTAGTATTCCTGTGCCCCGTCGGAGTCACAGAAGTGGCAAAAATAGTGGTCTCTTCTCAGGTGCTTCAATAACTCATCATTATCCAAGTAGCGCTCGTCACAGAATTTGCACAGGGGGTGGCCGCGGTGAGAAGTGTCGTCGGGGTCCCCGTGGATTCTGTGCCGGGCAAGGTCCTTACGCGAATACCACTTGCGCTCATAGGTAAAGATCTAGAACACAAGGAAACATGTCGTTAACTCCTTGCCCTCAAATAAGAGCAATGTCATTGGGAAGGCCAAGACCCAGCCCCCTACCCAACCAGGTACCCTGGAGGACTCTCAACTACTTGCCTTCAGGTGTTTCACACACAGTCTGCAGCAGAAGAGCTCATGCTGTTTCCTCATGTGCTGCTCCAAGTCCACAATGGTGGCGAATGGCTTGGCCTCTGGGCACAGCGGGCATTCGTGCTGCAGAAGCTTCCTAAAAGAAAGAAAAAGGCCAGAGGACACAATTTAGCTCCTCCAGGAGCTATTCCCTAGTTTCCCCTTTGGCACATCGTCCTTTTAATTAAAGCACCAGCAGGAGGAGAAAGGCACTGTATACATCAGGTGTGGAGAACCCCTCCAGATGTACAAATCCCATCAGCCCCAGCAAGAATGGCCAATGGGCAGGGATTCTGGGATGTTCGGCAATATCTGGAGGGCCAAAGGTTCCCTGCACCCGAAATAGCTTAGTGCATACTTCTGCAATGTTCAATATAGATCACTTACAAACACAGAGTCAGCCAGCATCAAGAAAACCTAAAATGCTTGTTTTGCATAGTTTGTCCTTCTTGTTTAGGAATTGAAAACCCACCCCCTGGCCATGGAAATCCAACTGAGCTCCCATTCTGGTTTCTTGAGATTTCATCAGATATTGCCCTCTTAGGTAGGGCAGACTTCACCAACGTGGTCGCCTTCAGGGGTTTGAGACTATAACTCCAAGAGGCTAGGGCAGATGGAAGCTCTAGTCCAAAATATCTGCTAGGTGTCCACTTGACTAAGGCTGACCAAGATGCACTTTTAAATACTATCTTGAATCATCCACCACATAGGCCATGTTTCCAAGCAAGAGACCAGACAGGCTCCATGAACTCTTGAGTAAACCCCACGGTGCCATGAATCAGGATTTGACACAGAGATTCCTCAAGAGGAAACCAATGTATATAGATGGCTATCTTCTAGGTCATGGATAGGCAAACTAAGACCCAGGGGCCAGATCTGGCCCAATCCCCTTCTAAATCTGGCCCATGGATGGTCTGGGAATCAGCGTGTTTTTACATGAGTAGAATGTGTGCTTTTATTTAAAATGCACCTCTGGGTTATTTGTGGGGCATAGGAATTCGTTCATCCCCCTCCCCCGCAAAATACAGTCCGGCCCCCACAAGGTCTGAGGGACAGTGGACCGGCCCCCTGCTTTAAAAGTTTGCTGACCCCTGTTCTAGGTGCTCCTTTTTGGGATGGGACACTTTGCCCAATTTATCTAAGGGGAGTAAACTGCAGAAGATTTACCTATAGAGAGCATAAACTTTTCCATCAGTAAAATAGATGTCATATTTCTTCTCGTGCTGCAACTGGTTGAGTGCAATAGTTGAAAAGGATGCCAACTTCTTCCCAAAGACCACCTACAGAGAACACAAGGAGGAGAGTTAGAGGGCTTGCTGGGCCCATGACTGATGATACATACAGAGCTATGTTCCATTGGCCCAGTCCTAAAAGCTGGAATCCATAGGGTAGATTCTGGAGTGGTGATCAGTGGATGCAGATAACACCTAGTGGATAAAGTGTGGAGTCTTGATGAGGAAGACACAGATTTGAATCTTAGCTGAATGCACTCACATTCTAACCTCTTTCACGTGAGAGACATTAAACAAGGATGAACCATTGCTGCCAATGAGCCAGTGGAATGAAAGCAGGAAAGAAGAGAAGATATCAATAGTTTTATCCAGATGAGCTACTTAAGCCATGTGAGCTCCCTGAGAAATTTAGCTGTGGCTTTCAAAACATGTAGGTTGCTAATCCGGCATGTGTACAACAAGAGGGGCTGGACATGGGGCTGTGATGTGTGAAAAAAGCTTGAACAAAGTCACGAGCCAAAACAAGTCTACAGCCTTTAAAAGGGGTGAGTAGTTTGCAGACCGCAGACTCCATTCAGCTCACATATTTCATTGGTTCTGCTCTGTGCCTGCCTCAAGGACTTTTGCCTGGCTGGAATGTGTCCTTGAACTGTGACTATGCTGCTTGCTTGTCTAGACTAGGAATGAAGAGGGATGGGTGGGTATATTCTTTACACATACAACATGTATAATACACACACAAGTGTGTGGCACACACAGACAAACCTCTGCCTTTTGAATGGCTGAGAAGTAGCCCACTACGCAATGATGAGAGTCATAACAGTTACCACATCCACCTTTGACTTGGGCCCTGCCCACCTCTGGCGTGCAGCCCCCAGAACGATGCCCATGAGGGAACATTGCCCTTGTGGGGAGTCTCCTCTCTAAACTCATTGCCTGGTCCTGCATTTGTGGGTAGCAAAAACCAAGGACTTACGCAACCCCTTCCTTGCAGGAATACCCAAAACTGGGGGGGGGGGGGAGGAACTAGGCAGTTGCAGAGGGACTTAACTAATCACATGGGTACTTCCACCATTCTGAAGGACTAAAATGCTCACATGATAGAAGTCGCTTACTATCTAGCAGTTCCAGTTGAACTTTAAAAAAAAAAGTTTCACAGATTATTGGTGTGTTGCTCACCCCTCCCTCAGCGACTGGCGCGGTCGGCTGAGCTTTCATTTCCTCGCAATTTAAACATTATGTAAGAGGAAGTGCCTCTGGCTGGTGACACACCATTCCAAGAATAAATGGAATGTATCATCTCCATTGGGCATGAGAAAAATCCAAGCAAGCGAGTCATAAACCAGGATTGTTGTTGAAAAGGCTTGGGGTGGGGGGTTGTTCTTATGAACAAACCAAGTTACTGAGGGGGCGAGCCAACTCTAGGGGAAGTCACAAGATTCTGGTTAGCTACACCGCACCACTGAGACACTGTCACTAAGAGAAACTGTTTTTCTTTGTGGCCACAAGGGACAGAAATGCCACTTTCAAAATGCTGAATCTTCAACATCTCCTATGTCTATGAAGTTACTGGATTCTGTGGCTTGGTCCATACTTCTCTGCACACTGGGTAGCACTCAGCCACTCCTTATTTGTCAGCCTAACCTAACTGCCATGATTCTGTCTGACCATAGTTCTGTGACAGAGTACATGTTAGGCATGCAGAAGGTTCCCGGTTCAGTCCTTAGCAGTTAAAAAGTTGAAGTAGGAGATACTCTGGAGAACCACTGCAAGTCAGTGTCCATTTCAGACATTGCAGACTACAACTCCCATCATCCCTGGCAAGAAGCCACACTGGCTAGAGTTGTAGTCCAAAACCTCTGGAGGGCTCCATGTGGCCCCAATGGTCTGACATGGTATGAGGAAGCTTCTTAAGCACCAATGGTTGTTCTGAATTATACAGGGCTGGGAGTGGCCGATGGGACCATATAACACCACTCCTAAAGGATTGGGTCCCAGTGCATTTCCAAGCACAATTCAAAGTGCTGGCCCTAAACGGCCTCAGCCCGGTATACCTGAAAGAGCGTCTCCACCCCCATCATCCTCTGAGGGTCTTCTGCTGGTTCCCTCACTGCAAGAAGCAAAGTTACAAGGAACCAGGCAGAGGGCCTTCTTGGTAGTGGCACCCTCCCTGTTGAACACCCTCCCTTCAGATGCCAAGGAAATAAACAACTATCTGACTTTTAGAAGACATCTGAAGGCAGCCTGTTTAAGGAAATTTTTAATGTTTGATAGTGTTTTTACTATTCTGCTGGGAGCTGCTCAAAGTGGCTGGGGAAACCCAGTCAGATGGGTAGGTTATAAATAATAAAATTATCATTATCATTATTATTCTAAGAAAGGACAGGATGCAAAACAATTAATTAATATTCCTGAATAAAGGAGAGGCTGCCACTGATGTCATCACCAGGGGACCATCTACAGAGAACCTCAAAGTCTTCAGCAGAAGAGACTGGAGGAGCTGACTTTCCCACATGTGAGGCCTGAGCATTCCAGAGCTTTATAGATACTGCCCAATGTCCAAGGTAGGGCTGGCTGCCAATGTGCAACAGAGAGAGGTCCCCCTGCTCCCAACTCTACCAATCTAACCCTGCCTGCCATCTCACTCTGGTTCCCTCTATTCCAAGCCCAAAAGAGCCACTTCCAGTGCAAAGGCAGCTTGACGAGGTAACAGAATCACAGCAATCTACTCCAGTACTTGGCAGCAGCTGTAACAGGATGCTGCATTGCTAAGAGCATGGAGGAAGGCAAAACAGGGTGTGATAAGGAAAAAAGAACAAGGCAGATTGCCAGCACTGCAGACGCAAACACACAAGGACGTCTGGGTCGTTTGCTATGGTGGGTTTATGGTGGCTAGTACAGTATGGTACTAGTACCCTTGGAATAACCATCCACATGCCCCTGTTCCTTCTGTCTCACTTTTTACAAAGTACCCAGTGGCATTTTTGTCCTCTGTTTACTTGCTAACTCTCTCTCACACCTGCCAACTCTCTTGGGGGAAATCAGTTTTAGCAGAGGCAGAGGTGTAGCCTTTTTATGTAAAATGAAACTTAGCACAATATGCCATATAAGCAAGCAGAGAGGACCACAGGACGCTGCCTTATCCTGAAACACAGACCCATCTAACTCAGTAATGTCCACACTGAATGGCAGCAGCACTCCAAGGGACACATGGGACATTCCAAGCCCCTACCTAAAGATGCCATCAGGGATCGAACCTGGAGCTCTCTGCATGCAAAGCAGGGGCTCTACTACCAATAACCTGCCTGAGACATGGAAATAATATGACAGTGTGAGCACTGTACTTTGTATTATACTCTCATTCTGTAAGTAGCTATCTCACACACACACACACACACACACACACACACACACACATGTCCCACCTGCTATGCAAGTATCTTACACCCTGAAGCTCCTTGCCACTGAACTTATGAATGGGCACATGGAATAGGGTGATCACAAGGAAATCAACAATGTCATGCAATGACCTCCTGGGCAAGGTGCACTCTCTCTCTCTCCCTCCCCTCTCTCTCCTGCCTCTTTTCCCATGTCAGTATCTTTTGGACTATTGCGTGTCCCATTTCCCCTTGCCCCCCCCAAACATTCCCAAAGTACAGGACCTGAATAAGCTGGAAATGCTAATGCCTACAACATATTTACTCCCAAGAAGAATGATCTCATTGAACCTTGATCTTTAAGCAAACATACTGTTCCTGCAACTGGAACAAAAATGATATCACTTGCTGCTGGACTGAAGCCAAGGAGGACAAAGAGAGCAGCCATTCGTTCTTGAATGTACAACAGTAGGCACCTTATGGGCATATTTACAAAATAAGCTCCCTGCTGGAACACCCAGAGGTGTTCTGTTACTGGGAGATTCACTTATGTCCCCAAATTCACGAGATAAACCTAGATTAAACATTTTCAGGATTTTTCTATATGGAGGATCCTTAATATTCACTTGCATATCACTAGACCAGGGTTGGGGGAGCTTGTGGTCTCCCAGGTGTTGTTGGACCCTGCCATCAGCCCTACCCAGCATAGCCAATGATTAGAGAAGTCCATGGCTTTCCCACCTTTGCACTCGAGCAGCCATTGCCCACCCAGCACCCTCCAGACTAAAGGTCTATCCCATTTTAGTGTTCTGAACAAATATTCAGCCCCATAGGGAGACTGCTGGTTCCCAAAGGCTCACTGCACTTTTAAGACACATTGTTAAGTACATAACCAATACTGAATTTGATTAATCAAGATGTGACACCTGATACTAATGAGGTCTATTCCACATTGGTAGCATTCAGAGGAGCACTGAAGTAACAGTAACAACAGTGAGGCACAGCAATGGTCAGGGAGCAATAGCAGAATGTACACACTGAATCTCTTCTGACTCACAATTTTGCCAGAGGAGCAGAGAGAAGCCTCAAAACATACAACACTCAGGCAGCCTGGATTCTCCGAATGTAACCTGGCAAGAAAGGGGGGCGGCAAGGAGCAAAGGGATGACTGGAAATTTGTTAAAACTGGGCTAGTAGAACTACCCATTAGAGAACGAAGAGCAAAGGTTGTGCCCTCCAGGTGTTGTTGGACCATCCTCTTTTTATAAGAAAATAAACATATTTTTAATTGATTTTCAAGAAAAAGAACATGTAAACATATCCCCTCCCACAACAGATTTCCAATCACCATTGACAACTTGCCATGCTGGTCAATGAGGAATTTTAGTCCAGCAACTTCTGGAGGTCATAATGTTGGCTAACCCTGCATTAGAAGCTTCAGGTACTGGCGAGCAGAAACTAAGAAAATGGTGTCAAGTCAGTTTTAGCAGAATTCCAGGAACCTGTACAAAGATTTTGAACCAGATGGACCAAATGATACAGTGGTACCTCAGGTTAAGAACTTAATTCGTTATGGAGGTCCGTTCTTAACCTGAAACTGTTCTTAACGTGAGTTCCACTTTAGCTAATGGGGCCTCCCACTCCTGATGTGCCGCCGCCACGTGATTTCTGTTCTCATCCGGAAGCAAAGTTCTTAACCCAAGGTACTATTTCTGGGTTAGCGGAGTCTGTAACCTGAAGCGTCTGTAACCCGAGGTACCACTGTACTTGATCTTAGCCAACAGGCCGAGAAGCGATGGTAACACACTAGTACTACTCAGCACAAGACACCACAACATCCATCAAAATATGAACTGTCCATTAGAGAGCGTAAGTAGGGACAAAGCTCAGTTAAATTGCATGAATGCTAGAAGTGGAGCTTTAAAGTAGTGTCGAAAGCCCAGAGAATGGCAGAGAAATACTGGAGACCACCTGAGAAACAGATACAGTGGTACCTCGGGTTAAGTACTTAATTCGTTCTGGAGGTCCGTTCTTAACCTGAAACTGTTCTTAACCTGAAGCACCACTTTAGCTAATGGGGCCTCCTGCTGCTGCCGTGCCACCGGAGCATGATTTCTGTTCTCATCCTGAAGCAAAGTTCTTAACCCGAGGTACTATTTCTGGATTAGCGGAGTCTGTAACCTGAAGCGTATGTAACCTGAAGTGTATGTTACCCGAGGTCCCACTGTACAAGCTTTCTTTGAGGGATGGCTACGCAGGCAGAAGCATAGTAATTCGAAGTCAAAGGGTATGTAGATACCCAAGGCCAGCCTCAGGGTTGAATGCAACTCTCTCTATTAAAAACTCCTCTATCAGTTGGCAAGGAGTAGACAATATGTCTCCATAGCCTTCTGTGGCCTGGACACATTAAATCCCCAAATTATGATGTTAGCAGCACCAAAAGAATGAGAAGCCAAACTGGCTTTACTGCAAAGTGAGGCTTGTCTTGAATTAGGAGGTGTTAAATAAGCAAAAAGGGTGAGTCTGCAACTCCACCCCTGTGTGTATACATGTTTGTTATACATCTCATGCAGAGCTCACAAGTACTGTTTCCTATTCTGTTGAAATAACTGACCTTCATAGCTTCTCCTTCCAAAACAATAAAAGGAAAATACTTTGTGAAGGTCACATGGTTCTTACAAGAACATGCTGTTATGTACAGTATTCCAAACCAGAGGACTGCACAAGATAGTTGTATGAACATTTAAACAGAAGAGATGTGTAAGCGACTGGCCACCAAGTTACAGATTTCAGCAGCTGTCTATGCACTTCAAACTCATCCCATACACAGAAGGGGCTTGGTTAAGAGGTGGCAACTCAACCCTTTGGAGCATAAATGGATCAGCAAGTCCCATAGAACATAAACAGCCAGCTGTTCATCATCTAAGATACTGATACTCAGAGGTTGACTGTCTCTGAGCTTGGAGGTTTTATCAACCTATTATGGTTAACAGCTAAGAACATAAGAGATCTGCTGGATCAGACCAAAGAGCCTTCTTTCATTGTTGATCCCCAGCAACTGATAATAATGATAATAATAATAATAATAATAATAATACAACAACAATAATAACAATAATAATAATAATACTTTTTCAAATAAAATAAAGCAGGTAACACTAACAAAAGTCCACTGCTCATTTTTTCACTTTGGTGATAAACAATATTAGCCACACTCAGATCAGGCCCAATGAAATTGGTAGGCCTAATTACTAATACTGCCAATTGATTTTGTGGGATCTGTTCGCAATAATGATGGATGGATTTCACCCCCACCCCCACTAGTAATATCAGATAGTGGGCTGTACTAAACTAAATTCTACACTGGGCAGATCCAGTGAAACCAATGAACCAGAGTTACTTATGTCCATTAATTTAAATGAGTCTACTCTGGGTATGACTAATGCTGGACACGATCCAGAGTGAGTGTGTGTGTATATGTATATATTCTACACTTACTTATAATACACTCAATAGTACAAAACTGAAGTAACGAATGCCTAGAATATATGAATGAAAGTAGAAATATATAGATATATTTCTAATGAGTGTTCATCACACAAACATATATTTACATTATTATCAGTTTAGCAGTTCTGAAAATAAAGGCATTTTTTGTTTTTCAGATCTCTTTAGATCTTGTTTTCCGTGTGTGAGAGAGAGAGAAAGAGAGCGAGCGAGATACAGATAGCTATAAATCTTCCCCTTTTAGAGGTATCTCAGAAGCATTTGCCATCCGTAGTGGGCTGTATGGATATACTGTATAGTATTATTTGTTTTTTATGTAACCTGCCTTGGGACCCTTGGGCGGGGGTCGGGGCAGGGCAGGTAACAGATACAAGAAGTAAAACTGAAAGCCAGAGCCGGCCGTGGCCCTGCGAAGAACAGGGAGCCTGCCTCCCTTCCTCCCTCCCGGCACCGGCTCCCCGGCCGCGCTCACCTGGGCCAGCTCCTCCCGGCAGACGGCGCAGTAGCGCACCCCGCAGAGCGCCCGCATCCGCACGGAGCAGCGGTAGCAGATGGGGTGCTCGCACCGGCCCAGCGCCACCACCTCCAGCTCTCCGCAACACAGCACGCAGCTGCTGGGTGTCTCCGAGCCGCGCGGCTCCGGCCGAGGCGAAGCCGCCATGGCGTTCCCTCGCCGTCCTTTCGGCTGCCTGCCTGCCTGGCCGGCCACGCCGCCCCTGCGGCCTACTAGGCCCGGAGCGCAGCCTAGCAACCGCCCCCCTCGCCCGCACAGAGACGTCGGCCTAGAGCGGCGGCGGCAGCGCCGCCTATCAGCGAGCGAGTGCGCGCGCACGCTTCCACGTCACCGCCGAGATCTTTTGACGAAAAGCGCCAGCGCCGCCGCCTCCTGCGTCGCATAGACTTGTATAGACTGACACACGGGTAGCAACTCCCGCGTTTCTATCTTCCCCGCTTCCCTTTTCCCCGGGGGGAGGGGGCCTGAATTGCGAGCTTCCCATAGGAACCAATGGATAAAACGTTTCAGCACAGGTGCAACTGGACAGCGGTTTGTGTTTCATCCTCCCACCACCAGTAACTAACATAGCTGTCAACGTTTCCCCCTTTTTAAGGGAAATTCCCTTATTCCGAATAGGATTCCTCGCAAGAAAAGGAAAAAGTTGACAGCTATGGTAACTAATAAGACTGGAGCGGATGCTCTTCTTTCTAATTCCTTCTGGAAATTTTCTAATTCGGGCCTTGAAAACACATGCACAAAATTTAAAAGGCTCGTTCTGCGCTTATTTACATAAATATTTTTTTCTCAGGTCTTTGGTCAAAAGAAGCTGCCAGAGTCCCTGCTCTCAGGTAAAAAGACGTGGCACAATAGGAAAACTGACTGGGAGGAAGATGGAGAAAGATAAAACTCAGGTACAAGTCCTTAGTTGCAATTTATTCTAATGATTAGCTGGGGTGGAACAGGTCACGAAGAGAGGGGGTCCCCAAATTGCTGGCCTTTCAGCTGCTTCTGTGGAACCACCCTGCATCCCTTCTCTTCTCTCCTTCCAGCTGATGGAAGGAGCCTGCATAGTTACCTTCCTGAGCTCACTGGTTTTGAGCTAGGGCTCCAGCAGGAAATGTTATTACACTGCCCTTTGCTGCAAGCTAGGAGTTTTGCTGAAGAGGCGGGAGACGGACCTTGGCTGGAAACCCAAACCAGATTCAGTAGTGGAACAAATTTAAAAATAGAAAACAAGAAATACCCCAAGGGGAGGGGGAATAAAAAATTGCAAGAATAAAATGTTGTCCCAAGCCAGTCTTCAGCCTGCACTCTGGGGTTGCCCCCAAGCAGCAAAATGGGATAACTCACAATATTGGCATTTGCATTTGATCTGGCTAGCAGGTCGTTTTAAAAATTAAGGCCTACACCCATCTTGGCCGCTATCTTTTTTTGAGAGTAAACACGGGTACACTAGAATCATAATTTTAACATTGAATTAAACATTGGACAACTTTCCATTGGAAATTTTGAAATGTCTTTCAGTGCAAACCAGGAAATTCTCAATCGATGGATTAGTCCCTATTTCTTATCTCTATACTTCATGCACCATGTCCTCCTAAAATGACGCTCTAGCATGGTGAGCGTCTTTCTCTTTCTTTCTAGTGTAGAGAGTCCCCACCCATAGAGCTGCATATTCAGGCCGGCCGCTATATCAAAATATTGTAGAACACCCCCTTCAGGCACTCAGCTGTATTTGCTCCACAGACTTAGATTTGTTTTGCGGCCATTTTCTCCTCCCAAGGAACTGTGGGAACTGTAGTTTGATGAGAGGAAGGTATGGCTATTTAACAGAGAAATCTATAGGGCACACTCACTCAAAGCACAAATGTCCTCTACAAAATGGCAGTTCAAACCGAGGCCTAGTAATGTATAACCATCCTTTCTTTCAACTTGCTTGAACTTTACAGATGATTTATTCTTATTCTTATTTAGAAAAATAATATTTTTGCCTTTACTCCCAGACAATATCCCATTTAATCCTCAGAACAACTCTGTGAGAAATAGTCACTACTTCACTGCCTAGCCTGTTTCAAGGTCACCCAGTGAGTTTCACGGACAAGCATGGATTTGAACCCAAGTCCCACTGTAACATTCTAACCACTGCAATACATTGGTAAACCTTGATAACCGTTTTTGATCAATTTAACTGCCACGACCTTTTCCCAAAGGCTCTTGGAAAATGTAGCTTTGAGTGAGTGTGCCCTGTGGATAAAGTTTATTTTTATTCCACATTAGCCTCAGGCCTGGTATAAAGTTGCATCATCGTTTGGGGTGTGTCACTGACATGAAATGTGCACGTATGAGATTGTGTCCACATTTTCCCCGTGCAAATTCTGCTTTAGGGCATTTCTATCATTTCAGCTAGTGTGGCATAATAAGCGGCATTATCACTATAAATTTGTTTGCATTTCATTTTAGTCTCATTTTTAATAATAGGTACAGAGAATGCTGCCTTTTGCTAAGCAAGATCATTGGTCTATCTAAACCAGCATTGTCTGCACGGACTGGCAGCAGTTCTGCAGGGTTTCAGGTAGGCAACATTCTCAGCACTACCTGGAAATTCTCCCAGAGAATTGAACCTGGTACCTTAGGAAATTTTACTGGCTGTTGCATTTTTATGGTTTGTATGTTTTATTACATTAAGCAGTATTTTTAAAAAACAAATTCTATTATTTTAGTCCTAAAGGGTGCTGTCCAAAGTGCTGGATATAAGCCAAAGAGTTCTAGATTCAAATCCTTCTGCAGCCGAGAGCCATGGCCAAGAGCCATAGCCACCTTCCTGGCTGGAGAGTCACGCGGCTTGCAGAGCCTCTATGCCGCAGTCACTCCCAGCTTATGAGAACGTGCTTGATTATTATTTGTTAAATTATCCTGCTCTCTCAGCTGGAGTAAGTAAGGCTTGCAGAATGTCTCTGCAACAACAGTCCTGCTCTCTGCCTGTAGGATTACAACCTAAAAAGACACAGCACAAAAAGAAAATGGATTGTGAGAGGAGGAAATTTTAAAATTCAGACTCATGTGCATTGTTACAAGTTCTAATGTGAAAACCCTCTACATCTGCTCCTCAAATAGCTACCTCTTGGTTGCCAGTTCATTTCCAGGCCTAATTCACGATGCTCATATTAGTGTTTGAAGGCTTGAAATACCCAAATATCTGAAAGAGATGTATATTTTTAGATTCTATTTTTAGATGTATATATATTTTTTATATTCTATTATTGTAGGTTGCTTTAAACTGATTTTAATACTGTGTTTTAATTGTAAACTGGGACCTTAGGGCGAAGAATGGGTAATTAATAATAATAATGGTGATAATTATGATGTTACACGCCGCCTCAATCTCTGAGCAGTGAGACTCCAGAAATTCTAGGAGCTTATACCGGGTTCGATTTCCTTGGAATGAAGGTCAGCAGAGATTGCGGAGTCTTTAGGATATATGGCTTTACTTACACATATAGACAACCTGAGCATAAGATGGAGGGTGTCACAGCAATAATATCCCAACTGATCTTGCTTCTTCATTAGTCACAGCTTGGGATCTAGCACAGAGTGAGCACATCTCTGTGTCCCAGCTTGCTTACAAAACTCAGCTCATACACATTCTCCTGTTGTTTTCCTACCTAGCAGCTAGGAGGGGTGGTGGTGGAAAAAAGGCCCACACATAAGCCTAGAGGGCCCTGCTGCATATTTGTAGCTCTTGCAATTTAGCTCTTTTGGGATGCCAATGAGGACACTTCAGTGGGTAGCTAAGGCCATTGTCCTACAGAGAAGCTTGTCTGACTAATTCAGCAACTTCCTTTGTCAGGTTCTAACCTTCACTGGGTGCAGGACCCCAAGAACGGGAAGGGTCTCAGGGCCTCATCCAGACACACCCCAAAAACCCACAAGAACAACACCACCACCACCAAGTCAATGAAAACCAATAAATGACCGCATTAAGAACCATGAGCAGTGCAAAGTGGAAATGTTTTAGCACCTCAAAAACCATTTCAAAATGCAGAATAATATTTGCCCTTTTTGAAAATGCTTTCAGGGGCTCGCAGGCATACAGGGCTCTGAGCATGGGGCAACTGGAGTGTAAAGGAAAGTGTTAGGGGGCGGAGAGGTGATTAGGAATGACTGGCTGCATGAGAGTTGTAATTACTGCATAAAGCACTCCATGCTAGCAATTACCCCTTCCCTCCCCTGCTCCCAGTCTCTGTCCCAGATTAATGATACTTCTGCCACTGTTTTCCATGTCAGAGAAGCGCCCATCCAATTTGGGAAAGCAATTAGTGCGAAATGAGACGGCAGCGGCTGACTATAATGGGCCATCTTAAGTGTCACTTGTCTGTGAAACTGCGCAGGGACTCGAGTGATGTATCCTGCCGAACGGGGCATTGTAAATATGCCATCATAATGAAGCTACACACACACACAAGCAACACTACTTGTCTCAGTCACTCCAACAAGCAAATTGAGCAGAACTACAAACTGCCACCACCTCCCACTAGACACTGACTCGGTGCCTGTATGCTGTCTCAGTAAGGCAGGCTTTGCCAAACTAGGCCCTCTGGATGTTTTGGACTATGATTCCCATCAGCCACAGCCAGTGCATGCTAGCTGGCACTGATGGGAATCGTAGTCTGAAAGATCTGGAGGGCCCCAAGGTGGCAAAGCCTACAGTGAGGGCTGTGGCCTACAGTTTATTAATAATAATAATAATAATAATAATTTTATTATTTATACCCTGCCCATCTGGCTGGGCTTCCCCAGGCACTCTGGGCAGCTTCCCAAAAAATTAAAATACTGTAATACATCAAACATTAAAAACTTCCCTAAACAGGGCTGCCTTCAGGTGTCTTCTAAAAGTCTGGTAGTTGTTGTTCTCTTTGACATCTGATGGGAGGGCATTCCACAGGGAGGGCGCCACTACCGAGAAGGTCCTCTGCCTGGTTCCCTGTAACTTGGCTTCTCGCAGTGAGGGAACCGCCAGAAGGCCCTCTGATTCCCTGGAATCTTTTTATTCCCTGGAATCTTTCACCATTCGGGGATTGGGGTGGCGAGCAACAGCAACATTCAGTGCTCCCCCACACCCCTGCTTTCAGATGCCACAAGACTTTCTGGGTTGTATCGGAGCAAGTTTTACTCAGAGTAAAAAATGAAAATGAAAAATGCAATGGGGCTACTCTGAGTACAGCCAGTATTGGACACACCCCTTGCTTGTTTTTGCTGCAGCAGATTTAACACATAAATACAGGAAAACTCTCTGTAGCTAGATCCAGATTTCTTGCTGGCAATGAGTCTTTTGGCTGCCAGAATTTTAAGATAAAATCTTACCTGAAAGGCAGGTACAAATCTCTTCTTAAAAACGTTTCCAAATGCAATTTGTATTTGAATTATAAAGATTACCTTTGCTTACATGTATACAAGCTGTGTTTTCATTCTATCCTTAATTATGTGTCCATTTGATATCAATGGAGTAGGCTGTCACTTTGTAACAAGCAGCACTTCCTGGTGGTATATTTTGATAGTAGCAACTATTGGTGCCAGTAAGAAAGGCTAGTTTCAGGCTTTTTGGTATGCAAAATATGATTGTTTGTTTTTAAGCAAATTATGTTTTCTAAAAGCTGACAAATGCTGCTCTAGATTTCCCAGATTCTAGATAACCAAGGCACACCTATTCTACATTAAAACAGGGGTACACTTTTTTCTTACATCTCCACCCCACCCCCAGTTTACTACTTTTAGAGTGTAGAAGATTAAGAATTACCTGCCCTCAGAGGACCTTGCTTCAACCTCCCTTTGGTTTCTACACAGGCTGCTGATCTGGACTTCCCTTTTGTCCAGAAGGATGCAAGGCCATGGGCAGCGACTCATGCCGAAGTGCAACAGGCACCCTCCTCTGGAATCAGGCAATTCTTCAGCCTCTCTGCTTTGGCAATGAGTGACTGCTGCAATCCATGCAAGGGCAGGGCAATGTTACCTACCTGCAGTGCTGACTGATTGGAAGAAGGCAAAGGCAAAGCAGTGACTCATACAGAGAAGCAGCAGGCAGTCTCCTTCAAGGGTGAACAATTCTGCAGCATCTTTGGAATGGAGGAAATTGACTGATCAACCAACCTGTGCTCAGTGCAGCGAGTCAGCTGGCTGACTCCCTAGCAGCAGTGCTGAGAAAGGCCCAGCTGGTCTCTTTTGTGAATGGGGGCTATAGAAACATCTCACTTTTTGATTTGTTTATTCCTTCCGGCAACTATGGTTTGAGGAGAGATGTGAAGGAGGGGCAGAAAGTAGTGTGGCAGGTAGCCTGGAAAGAACATCGCGGGAGAAGCCTATATCTGATGATAGCTAATCTCTTTCCCTCCTTCCCTCTCATTCCCCCAAGCCATCGAAGTGGTTGTAGAAAATGGCTTTGTTATACCCACTGCCTGAATGAATCACCCCAAATTTAGACTTGGTGTTGTTCACAGTTTAAAAGCCAAATAGGATTATCCTGTGCCGTCCTCTTTGAAGGCTGACTCACTTCATTCTTCATTCATAACCTGGGGGATGTGTGTCTATATAGCCCTTTCTAAGAAGCATTGAGTGGGGAGTGGGGTGAGGAGAGGAAATCAGTGAGTTGCAATTATGTACAAGTGGGAACCGCAACCGAGTGTTGCAGCGCACTTCCTCACTGCGTAACATGAGTGTTCCTGAGCAGCCATGCCCGCCTCCAGAAAATCCAATTTCCTTCCTCTTACCACCTAGTTTTCTCAATCAGTGAATCACATTTTTTTATGAGGTGGCCACATAAAAACAAGATAAAACACCAAAGTGATATGTGCGATTTTTAATATAAAACAAGCTAAGCTATATCCTGCATGTTATAGTGGTTAGAGGGTTTGACTGGGACCTGGGAGACCAGGGTTTGAATCCCTACTTGGTTATGAAGTTCAGTGGGTGACCTTGGGTCAGTTAGAGTGTCTCAACCTAACTTACCTCTCAGGGTTGTTGTGGAGAGGTAGGGGACCCATATATGTCACCTTGAGCTCCTTGGAGGAAAGGTAACTGCAATAAAACAATTAATAAGTATATAAAAAATAAAGCTGACGGTATCCTTTACAAAACTTTGCAGCTAAAAGGGAAAAACCTATTGTTTTCATTGTTGCTTTACTCATATTGGCTAATAAGTAGGGGCAGCAATAAATACAGTGGTACCTCGGGTTAAGTACTTAATTCGTTCCGGAGGTCCGTTCTTAACCTGAAACTGTTCTTAACCTGAAGCACCACTTTAGCTAATGGGGCCTCCTGCTGCTGCCACGCCGCCGGAGCACGATTTCTGTTCTCATCCTGAAGCAAAGTTCTTAACCCGAGGTACTATTTCTGGGTTAGCGGAGTCTGTAACCTGAAGCGTATGTAACCTGAAGCGTATGTAACCCAAGGTACCACTGTAATTTCATGGGTATTTTAGTAAAACGGGAGCAAATTATCCCTTTTGCTCATCTCTGAAAAGGTGCACGCAGAAAGAACATGAATTAGTGTTTCTGTTGCTCTGTCCTCACAGGGAAAGAGCTGTTCATTGTAAGAAATATATCCCCAAAGTGGAAAGAAGGCAATTAAATCTTTCCCTTAGAATAGATCAGCCAATATTTGAGAGCAGTCAATATTTCCTCCATACTGTCAGTATTTTGCCTGAGTATGTCAAACCAAAGCGTCCTTTGGTTGTGAAGGGGAGTTCAGTTGCTGCTGCTGCTTGTATCAGTTAGAGGTGTTTTGTGTGACTTCTTTTAATAGTGTTGTAAGTTGCTTGGATAAGGGACATGGGTGGCGCTGTGGGTTAAACCACAGAGCCTAGGATTAGCCAATCAGAAGGTCGGTGGTTCGAATCCCTGCGATGGGGTGAGCTCCCATTGCTCGGTCCCTGCTCCTGCCCACCTAGCAGTTCGAAAGCATGTCAAAGTGCAAGTAGATAAATAGGTACTGCTCCGGTGGGAAGGTAAATGGCATTTCCATGTGTTGCTCTGGTTCGCCAGAAGCGGCTTAGTCATGCTGGCCACATGACCCGGAAACTGACTTCCTCGGCCAGTAAAGCAAGATGAGCGCCGCAACCCAGAGTCAGCCATGACTGGACCTAATGGTCAGGGGTCCCTTTACCTTTGGATAACAAGCAAAAAATAAATACCAGAACTTGAAGTGGATCCAAGTGCTCTGTCTCCTTTTAAAAAACCCAACAATCCACTTTAAAAAAACACACCAAACCAGACTTTTGTAGTTTGAAAGGGGCAGAGAAACATATTTAAAAGTGTGTGGGGTAAATAAATGACTTAACAAGAGGACTGGTAAACACCTTACAAGCAAATCAGAATGAATGCAGAATAATTGTCTCACAATAAAATCAGAACAAATGCTCCATAAAGGCCTGATACAGTCTAACCGTTGCATAAACTTTGGGCAAGCAAATCAGAACGCTAAAGGAACCAGACATTTGAAGGAACCACAAGTTGTCAGAATAATCTTGGCAGGGCTCTTAGAAGTCAACACACAGACCAAGATGAGCTGGAGGACTTTTATTTTTATTTTTAATGAGGACCATCAGCACCCTTAATATAAAGGTTAAGAATGTATTTTGTCTGGCAATAGCCCTGAGGAAGAGGAAAATTTCCAGAAACACCTAATAATTACAATTTATCGCCAAAAGGTTTGGACACCATGAGCTTGACATAACTACTCTTCTGAAGAAGGCACAGGTGACCTGAAGATGTATTAAAAGAAATGATGTTTGAAGGTTAAGGAACAAGCAAGCCCCTCATTCATCCATTTCCAACACAATTATGTCTTCACATCCAAATGGGTGGCATTTGTGAAAAGGAAGTGATGACTTTATGCAGCTTTTCTGAACTCTATGACAATAGCATTTTTAAAAGGCAGAAAACCACCCACCATCATCTCCTGGCCTGCTCTGCCAGCATTTCTGGCTCATTTCCTTTAAACAAGGCATTTGTAAGGCAACATAGCATTTACACAAAGCTGTTAGTAGAGAGCAAGTGGGGATTATGCAGCAGAGGGGGCTGAAAGCCTGGATCTCTCCATAGGGAGGTCCCCCTCTGATGTGTCAACTCTTATCTCAGATGCTGAATCACCCCTTTTTGGCTCTTGCTGAGTCAGGGTCTGTTCTGGGGTGGGGCAGTGGGAACAGGGGAGGAGGGCGAGCAGGCAGGCACCCTAGAGATTTATTCCTCATCTCCATGCTACAGCTCAGAGATAAAACGCAATTCCAGAGCAAGGGAACATTCATAAGTATGTCATGAAAAAAGGCATTTATTGAACTCCAAGGAATTTCTCTTCCCTTTGTCAAGCTAAAGCAGCTTTTGCCAACCTGGTGCCCTCTAGGAATTTTGGACTACAATTTCCATCAGCCCCAGTCATTGATTTGAGCCAATGCAAGAAAGCCAATTCCACATGTTATGCTTTTAGATTTTCTGTGGACACATACACACCGTACATTTAAAGCACATTTAAAGCACATTGCTTCCCCCAAAGAATCTTGACAACTCTAGTGTAAGAGTGCTGGGAATTGTAGTAGTGGTAAACTATAGTTCCCAGGATTCCTTGGGGGAAGGAACGTGCTTTAAATGTATGCTGTCATGCTATAGGAAAATGAAATGCACGCATAAATATGATACATTGTATAACTAAATTGCTGTCTTTATTTTCCTTTCCCATTAACTTTTCTAGGTTTCTTTGGGGAAATGAAAGTGAGCGGTATAAATATGAAATGAAACGCTGCCGTGCTTGTGCCAGCCATTTATTATTTATTCCATAACAATTTTGTTTCATTTACAAATCGCTTCCCATGAGTCAAAGCAATTCATTTATCATATTTGCATCAAATATTCATGGTGTTGCAAGTTGTGGGTTTAAAGATCAATCAAAGGATGGGCAGTGTTCTGTGTACTGGAATCCCTGGGATTACTGGTGGCAACGGGTCATCTGAACTTCCCTCTCCTTTTTGCTGCGGCCACAGGAAGCCATAGGGTGGGTGAGCACTGGGGGGAGGTAGAGGGGGCCCTGCCACCCCATCCATGCACACACACACACCTTTCAGACATTGGGCTGAAGTGGGAGAAGGGCCATTGCTGACTGGAAGTGTGGGAGAACACTTGCTTTGCATGCAGAAGGTCCCAGGTCCATTCCCTGGCATCTCCAGGCAGGGCTCGGCGCAACCCTAGTCTGAAACCCTGGACAGCTACTGCCAGTCATATTGCAGATATTAATATTGTGCATCATGAAGCAATTGGATGCATAAAGGCTGGCTCCTTTTGGAATAAAAATGGTCCAGACCCATAATTATAATTCAAAGCATTGCTAACCAGGACTTCTTCAAAACAGGTACGAAAACATCAGTCATACATCCAGATAATGCCATTAAGCATATGCTTATTCAAGCATAAGCTTTTCTTAAAATATATATAACAGAATTATGATCAGGGTAAAAATCTAATCTGTCTCTTCCATAGCTTGCATTAGCCTGCATTCAGCCTAAGGCTATGCAGCTCCTGGAAAGGCTTTATTATCACATCTTTTGTTGTCTCTGTGGCGTCCAAGAAAGACTAACAGGCAACTCCATTCAAGAAGGAGATTTGCAATGGAATACCCTCATGTGAACTAAGGTTAAACACTCACACGAGTGCTAGCAGAGAGCATCAAATGTTAACCATTAACTCAGAAGCTTAGAGAACTTCAGTATGGCCCAGTGGAATTTTCCAGTGTTAAACCCTTTCAGCAATAAATGTCTAATATACTTACAGGCATTTTCCATTTTAGTGTGCAATTAAACAACTATACTTTCCAAGTCACTGTACACAGTACAGTACGTATTGGGACAGGAGTGGCACTGTAGTCTAAACCACTGAGCCTCTTGGGCTTGCTGATCAGAAGGTCGGCGGTTCAAATTCCCGTGATGGGTGAGCTTCTGTTGCTCTGTCCCAGCTCCTGCCAACCTAGCAGTTCGAAAGCATGCTAGTGCAAGTAGATAAATAGGTACCGCTGCAGCAGGAAGGTAAATGCACTCTGGTTTCCATCACAGTGTTCTGTTGTGCCAGAAGTGGTTTAGTCCTGCTGGCCACATAACCTGGAAAGCTGTCTGGACAAACACTGGTTCTCTTGGCCTGAAAGTGAGATGAGCGCCACAATTCCATAGTTGCCTTTGACTGGACTTAACCGTCCAGGGGTCCTTTACCTTTACCTTACCTTTACAGAGCATTCAAAAAGATGGATCAGTGACCTGATTAAATACAAGTCGGAGATTTCTATGTTCCTATTTAAATTAGCCCTTTATTCAGAACCATGAGGACTAGAAACTTACTTTCTTTTTAGGGGAAGAAGCATAGCTACTGCTTTCCATGCAGAAGGTCCCAGGTCCATTCCTTGACATCTCCTGGTAGTATTGGGACAGACCCTCCTGCCTCGCCACCTGAAACCCAGGACAATAATGAGGTAGGAGGACCAAAGTTGGAACTTGATATCAGGCAGCTTCTGCACCAGCCTAATAGATCCAACAAGATTTTGCATTTGATCTGCTCTGCCTCTTCCCCTTTTGGTTCCAGCCAACCGATTCCCATTCATATTTTTAGGTTTGTACTCTAGTAACTTGCTCTGCTGTCTTCCCTTTTCCTAATGAATGGGAAAGTGATGGGCACTCTTGTCACACGGCATGCGCCAGACCCTAGTCATCTGCCCTTGTTTAATCACACATGAATTAATATCACAACAGCAAATCTCTTCCACACGCCTGGGAAGGTTCAGCTAATGAGGCTGCTCGATCGTCAGGCATCAAACCCAACAGGCTGTGAGATGTTCCTCCTGCCTGTCTATGTTTGCAAAAGCTGTTGTCTGTGCTGGAGAAAAATGCAGTTTAATTTTCAGGATTATTATCCTGTGGATGATGAACAGCCTATGGCTGTTTTCTAGCCTTTAGGGGCTGGAACTGGGGGTGGGGTGGGGAAGCAACTCAGAATTAGATTTGAGCTGAGGAAAGACAAAGGAGGCTTCATGTTTGAACTCCTTGGTGGCTGTCACTCATTTCCTTAGAAGCAGGATCCTTAGATCCTTAGAGTAACCTTGTATCCATCAACACAGATGTCACTAAGGTGGAAATAATAGCACAGGGAAACAGTGCGTAGTTAAACTACGGAACTCGCTCCCACAGGAAAGAGTGATGGACACCAACTTGATGGCTTTAAAAGAGGATCGGACAAATTCATGAAGGAAGCAGGAAGCTATCCAGTGCCTACCAGTCATGGTAGGCTATGCTTTGCCTCCATGGTTGGCAATGGGGCATCTGTTTGGCCACTGTGAGAACAGGATGCTAGACTAAATGGGCCATTGGCCTGATCCAGCTTTCTTATGACCTGAATGGCTGAGAGGGTCAGAGCATCCTCACTACATAGATAGGCTAACATTTAGGGGTTTTTGATTCTGAGAAAAGGACAATTACAGAGCATTTATTAATTGGGTGGAACAGCAGGTGGGGCTGAATGTGGCCCTTATAGCCTCCCCATCTGGCCCTTAGAACTCTCCCAGGCTACACCCCTTGTCGTCGTCCCCCAGTGCTTTTTCCTGGCTGGAAACTGTCCTTGAATGGTGTGATAATGCCCCTCACTTGCTTTGTTTATCAGGCAAAGATTTGGACTAGATGACCCTCGTGGTCCTTTCCAACTCTACTGTTCTATGATTCTGATACTGAGGAGCAAAGGGAAATGTGGGAGCTGGGAGAGGAAAATCTCTGTGGCCTCTGCTAGCATCATTTCTCAGCAGAAAGATGAGAGGGGCAGTGCGGGTGGAGGGAGGTGTTTATACAGCTCCATGGAACAAACTCCGAAGCTCATTTTAGATCTCACTCAGGGCTCATTTTGCTTTGAATCACTGCAATTTATCCCCGTTTCCCCAATTCCTCTGGGACAAGAGCAAAGGCAGGCTTGTGCTGAGCACCCTCTCCCTCTCCCACACATGTACACTCACACACACACCCCACATACCCCACACAAACCGGGCCAAGATCTTGGGCATGGATGGTCTTCTTAACAGATGTTCACTTATCTTATTTCTTCCCTTGTTGCCCTTAATGAAGCTGGTGGGCCCACAAGTGCCTTCACCCTCCTCCCCACTGTGGGGGACTTATCAACATGGGGCAGGGTGTGTGTTTGTGAGAGAGACAGAGTGTGGTGATATCACCCCTTTAGGATCAGTTTATGGGAATGGGTTCGCACCTCAGAAATAATGAGCTTCCATACAGCTGTCTCCCGTTAAGGCTTCCAGGCCAGTGTCACAAGGTAACTGGGTGGAAGAGGTGAACGCCCATGGTCTAAGTTCCCATAAAACCTGGATTGGCAGGAGTTCTCAGCAGCCAGCTAAGCCGAGGTCAGCGTCTATTTGGGCTTTTGACAGCATCTTCTTCTGTTGCTCAGCCTACTGAGATTTAAGTGTAAGTGTTGATGTTCGTTAGCTGGATAAGTTAGCGTTTGTTGCTTTCTTACCTTCTGAGCTATTTTAACTCCCTTGTAGAGTTTTGTTTTAGTAAAGTCTGTGTATGATTTTATGAAATTTGGTCTGGTCAGAGTTCCTGAACCCTTTCATTCTGACCACGCTTTTCGGAGCAAGGGTCATCCACCGCACAGAGAGGGAGATGATGTGCCCAGGACCAATTCCTGTTTCTGCTCCAAAGTTGCAACAACCTCCCATCCCGTGAACCTCCTGCTCTTTGCAGAGAGCGAAGCCGCATTTAAATTTCTCCCCATTTTGTTATTCCCCTGATAAATCCCCTCCTTACCTCCCCACAGCTCTATAAGCTCCACTGGGAGTTTCTGAGCTCGTATCCAGCTATCTAAGCATGCTACAAATATTCCATTGTGTGTGTGCGCACGCAGGAACAGCCCCAATCCTAAAAAGTACATTTCCTTGGGAAGGGGGCCCCAGACGTCCCTTGCTGCTGAGAGTTCCAAGTCATGATGTTTAGGAGCTTGGGCTGACGACAGGCAGAAATCCAACTGATCCATCATCCTTTCCTGGCACAGCTGCAGTGACGGAGACTCTTGTGTCAGTTGAATGTCTGCCTATGGAGTTGTGGCAGAGAGGGTGGTACCTCCCCTGGGGGTGGAGAGGGTGGGATGAGGATGCAGACTCCAGCTTGATCATGGATGTCAGCTGGGGAAAGGGTGGAGCCAGAGGGAGGGGGTTCTCCCTCCACCACCACCCCCTGCCTGCAGTTATATACAAGTTGTAGAAGCAGCAGCAGCAGCAGCAGCAGCAGAAGAGAGAGAGAGAGAGAGAGAGAGAGAGAGAGATAGATACCTCCTCCACCTTTGACTCACAAAGAACTAGCATCTTCTCTTCGAAGCAAATAAGGCAGCTGCCACCCTGCTCCTGAGCCCACCTGAACCGGGGCTGAACTTCACCTGTGCTCATGGTTTTATGGCAAGTCTCCCGCAGGCCCCTATGGAAAGCCCTGGGCTTCCTGGGCTTGATCCTGCTGGTGGCCCCAGCAGGCGCCTGGTACAAGCATGTGGCCAGCCCCAGGTACCACACCGTGGGGCGGGCTTCAGGGCTTCTGATGGGAGTCAGGCGCTCCCCTTACCTGTGGCGCCGGCAGGCAGCAGAGGGCTCCCGGGATAGCCTGGAGGCTGCCCCCACCCTGCCCGTCAGCAGGGCCACTCAGTGGCTGACACTCCAGCAGGCAGAGGAGGAGGAGGGACCCTGGACCACTCTGGATCTGCAGCCTCACCTGTCCTCCCAGGTGGGCGCCTGGAAAGATGCTGCTTCTGCTGCCGCAGGGGCCATCAAGAGAACGCTCTGGCCTCAGGCCTCGCAGAAGAACCACGCCAGGCACCAAGGGAGGATCTGGGCAGCCCTGTGCCCAACAGGATGCCAGGAGGCTCTCTGGCAAAGCCCTGCCATGCACCCGAAGCTCCTGGAAAGGCGGATGTGGAAGACAGCACAGCCCAGCACATCGAAGGAGGCCAGGTAATTGGGCACAGTAAGTCCAGAGTCTTAAGCCTCAGAGGGCATCTAGGACATAGCTGTCAACTTTCCCCTTTTTTAAGGAAAATTCCCTTATTCCGAATAGGATTCCTTGCAAGAAAAGGGGAAAGTTGACAGCTATGATCTAGGATGCAGTACTTGTAAGACAGATGAGCTTTCCCTTGGCCCACTTCTAGGGGGTTTCCTGACAAAGTTTTAATATTTATGGACAAGGGTCATGCCTCAGTGGTGGAGCATCTGCTTGGCACGCAGAAGGGCCCCTTCCCTTTAGTAACAAACCCCTTTCCCAAGGTTGAGGTTGCTATCCAAGGAACGTTCCCACTGAGAGAAATCTGATTATATGGGACAGGGCATTGGAATGTAGAAGGCTGTCTTAAACCAACTGATTCATCTAGGTCAGTGTCTGGAGGGAGCTCTCCAGGCAAGAGCCTCACCTAGCCTTGCCTGGAGATGCTGCAGACCCAACCTGGGACCTTCTGCATGCAACGCAGGTGCTCTACCACTGAGCTGCAGTTCTTTCCATTAAGGCAAAGGAAGCTACCTTAAACTGAGTCAGACTGTTGGTCCATCTAGCTCATTATTGTCTACACTGACTGGCAGCAGCTCTCCAGGGTTTCAGGCAGGAGTCTTTCCCATTCTTACCTGATGATGCTGGGGATTGAACCTAGGACCTTCTGCATGAGAAGCAGGTGCTCAGGCACTGAGCTGTGGCCTTTCCCCTTTGAGTTTTCACATTAGACCCTCCTGACAGTGCAGCATGTTTCACAAATTCAACCAGGTGGCTACCTAGAGCAGAGCTTTTAGTGGGCTGGCTCCCTCTGGAATACTCTGTTAGACAATTGCTCAACTGTTTGGTGTTTCTGATACCTGCTCAAAACCCTTCTGTACACCCAGGCAATTTCAGGATGTTGATATTGGCTGTGGCAGGAACAGGCAACCTTTGGCTTCTGGACTCCAGCCCTCATCATCTCATAGACCATTGGCCATGCTGGCATCTGGGGCTGCTGGGAGTTGGAGTTCAATGACACCTGGAGGGTCACAGTGTCCCCATCCTTAGGTTGTGGGCACTACTGATCTGCCAGGTTTTTTATCACTGTCCTTTTCTTTGAATGCCTTATTTTAATTTTTATGCATGCTGCTCCGAGAGCTTTCTGAATAGGGAGAGGTTTGTAAACACAAATGAGCAACAATAGCGATGGCTGTTCCAGGGGACAAAATTACACTGCTAGGAGAACAACACAGACCCTCCTTTCAGCTTCTTAGAATCACAGAATCATGTGTTGTAAGGGACTCAAAGGGTCATCTAGTCCAACCCCCTGCAATTCAGGAATTGCAGCTAAAGTATTTGATGGTCACCCAACCTCTGTTTAAAAACCTCAAAGGAAGAAGAGTCCACCACCTTCCAAGGGGGTCTGTTCCACTTTCGAACAGCTCTTACTGTCAGAAAGTTCTCCCTGTCATTTGAAGCCATTGGTTCAGGTCCTAGCTTCCAAAGTAGGAGAAAATGGCAAGGGCGCAATCCAGGGATTGCCCAAGTCATCATTTGAGCCAATTGTGTTTTGGAACAAGAGGTATCAGCAACCAGGGGACTAGCTTCCCTTCCTGGCAGCAAGTCAAGAGAAAAGGGCAGGGCTGCATACGCTGCCTCGAAGATGAGAAACCAGGCTGGGGTTTATGTGAGGTCTTTGTGGAAGACAGATCCCAAGGGAAAACCTCTTCACTCCCCCAGTTCACTTAGGCCAGTAGTGAGCAAGAAGGCATTTCCCACAAAACGGAAATGACCACGGGAGCCCTTCTTCTGGCTCCACAATGCTGAAGGGGAGAACTTTTGTTTTGATCACAGAAGTGTTTGCTGCCCTAGGCTCCTTTGGGCGGGAGGGTGGGATATAAATTTAATTGAGCAAAATGAATGAATGAATAAATTGGCTGTGCCTGTCGTTAGCTGTGGCTCCAGCCAATCTTGGGCTCCACAAATCCCAAAGGAGCACTAGCCACCAGTGATGGAAAAGTTTAAGGCTGCTAGCCTAAATACGTAAGGATTAATCTCCAGACTCTACCATCTTGGTTGCCCTCCTCTGCACATGCCCCAGCTTATCAATATTGTGCAGCAAGAGGAGAACTGTTAGTTAAAGAATGTGGTTTTTTCAGATCAAGGAGTATGCAAGCTTTGGAGTTCCACTGAACTCTACAGCAGGCAGAGTAGATCCTTTATACCTATCTATACAGTACCAATTATGCAGCATGCTAGGTGAAGAGAAGCTGCCCTTCCTTCCTTCCTTCCTTCCTTCCTTCCTTCCTTCCTTTCTTCCTCTTTCATCCCCCCGCCCTGCCACACTGCTTCACTTCTGCAAGGACATCGCTGGATTTCTTCATTACTTGCTAATGCAACTCTGGGCGAGTTACAAAGGGAGGTGGCAATGGGCCCCAGTGTCTATTATCTTTGAGATTTGCTCTGTTGCATTTTACCTGCATGCCTGACAGCCAACACTTGATGATGCACTCATCAATTGATGGGAAGATATGTGTGAACCTGCCCATAAACGCCATCTAATGTGCTGCTGCTGTGTACAAGAAGTGTACTGCAGACTTCGCCAACCTGGTGCCCTTCAGATGTTCAGGACTACGACTCCAATCGGCCCCAGTCCACACAGCTGAACGATGCTAGGACAGGTGGGAATCCAAAATATTTGGAGGGCACCAGGTTAGTGAAGGCTGGCCCATGGCATGAGGGTGGAAGTAACTGACCTAAGAGCCTCAGGGTTCCAGCCAGGAAGGTATTGAGTTCTCTGTCTCTCAGTGGTGTAGCCAGTGTGGTGTAGTGGTTAAGAGCGGTAGTCTCGTAATCTGGGGAACCGGGTTCGCGTCTCCGCTCCTCCACATGCAGCTGCTGGGTGACCTTGGGCCAGTCACACTTCTCTGAAGTCTCTCAGCCCCACTCACCTCACAGAGTGTTTGTTGTGGGGGAGGAAGGGAAAGGAGAATGTTAGCCGCTTTGAGACTCCTTAAAGGGAGTGAAGGCGGGATATCAAATCCAAACTCTTCTTCTTCTTCCTCTTTGGACATCATTGCAATGCACCCTTTCTCCATACACACACACACACACAGCATAATGAAGCCAGGAGATGAGGTAAGTTACGAAGGAGAAAGGGAGCACAGGACAGCAGCCCCAAGGATCTGATAAAGTTTAATTCCGGGGGGGGGGGTGTTAGAAAATTGTCCATTTTGTTGATGTGGAAAACTGAGGCCAAATTAGAAAATGTGAATTGCTTAAGTGTATGTGGCAGAGAACTAAGACTCTCTTTTCTCTCAATTTAGCGACCCTGAGATCTAATCTCTGATGAGATGAGGTACCCTGCTGAAGGAGTTGTCTGAAGCAGGCTGGTGGATGAGCATAGAAACTGATTCCAGTACCTGAGAACGAAAGAATTTTGGAGCATCCTTTTGGAACCATGCATAGTCACACATCCCCAACCAAGGGAAGAAGCTGTGAAACCCCTAGTGTCATATAATTGTGTGGATTCTCCATCAGCAGCTATAGGATGCCTGCACTTTCCTGGTTCCTGGGATCGGGGCCAGAAGCTTTTTGATTGCCTTTTTCCAACAAGTAGGGGCATGAGTAGGAAGAGCCCTGTTGTTATTGTTATTATTATTATTTTAACCAACTTCATGCTCACATTTTTTGGGGGTGGGGAAACAAAAGTGATATATTGTGTTGTTTATAACGGCTTCTCTGCAATATGGTAATATGTATTCATGTTCTCTCTCCCCACACACCCAAGGATGCTGTACTAATTAAAAACAAGATTTAATGAAATGAAAACCCTGTGCTTTCTTGTGTTATAAGGATTAGACAAATTCTTGAGGACAGCAAGATGATTTCTCAATTTAGTAGCGAACTCAAGGGAGTGATTTCAACAGGATTGGAAGCCAAATGGGAACACTGAGGAAGAAGAAGGGGGGGAATCAACAGGCCAAGGGGAACTCTGTAGTTAACAGAGGTGAAACAAATCTTTGCATGTGTTCTAAAAGGAACAAACAAACAAATATGGAGCCTCCCCCCCAAAAAACCACCAGTCAAAAAGGACTGAGTAGCCATAGAATTTGGGATGTTAGCTGGGAAAAGAAAAATTGGTGTATGTGTGGGAGGAAATGCAATGGAGTATTCTGGAGAAGGGCGTGGTGGATGGCTGGTGTAATACTGCACAGGGTGTGGAATTTTAACAGCGTAAAGTCTTGCGGCATGTTAAAGACCAATGGATTATTTTAGGGCATGAGGGGTTTTTTGGACTACAGTTTGCTTCATCAGCTACATTGAGGGCTATCCTCACTAGGAAGGTATGCCTGTATACATGAGAGTAAAGTCGGAAGGGAATAATAGAATCATCTAATTGTAGAGTTGTAAGGGACCCAGAGGGTCATCCACTCCAACCCCCTGAAATCCAGAAAAAAATGTGTTACCCATCTATGGTCAATGGATCCAGCTACTGCTTAAAAAATTTTTTTTAATCGATCTGCTAACGAACAAACAGACACGTACAAACACGACTAAAAGAAAGAAAACAAAGAATAAAGAATTTAAACCATAAAGCATTGCAGCCTGGAAGAACAAAAGTATGAAGATATGGCACACCTCCAAAGGGATAATAAGGTATTAACTCAGACAAAGATTCTCGTAACAAGTAGTAAAGATTTATAAAAATAAGAGCAGTGCTTTTTTTCTGGGGGGACACAGGGGTACGCATATCCCTAAACATTATGTGAATCTATGTTTGGCCTCATTGAGGGGCAGTATTTCAATATGAGTAGGGAAATGAGACTACTCCTAAACATTTTTTTTAGGGGGGAAAGCACTGAATAAGAGTATTTTCCAGCTGTGAGTTCCATCATTACTATATTTTGTACTAACTGAAGTGTCCAGACAGTCTTCAAGGGCAGCCCCAAGCAGCACACATTGCAGTAAACTATCCTAGAACTAACAAAAGAGTGTGGAACTGCACACAGATCCACTTTTTACCAAGGATGGGGGCATAGTTAAGACACCAGGAAAAGCTTTCCAGTAGATATTCAGATTATTGGAAGCGAGAGAAACTTGCTACGGAGAGGAGCAGCTGCTTAGAAAGCAGTTCTATGTCTCCCTGGTTGGTGCCTCAGCTGCGAGTGAAGTTTGTGGGGATGTGCAGAAATGCTCCTTTCTGAGAACGGGACTCAAATTGGCCTCTATTAATTCCTCCCTCTCTTGTTCGCTCCCACAGACAGGAATTTGCGAGATTTGTGGCCTGTTAATGTCTCACATGGGGAAGGGCCTCAGCTGTGGAGCCGTGTCTGGATCTCAGAAGCCCTTGCCCACAGGGGAGAAGTAGATCACGCATAAAGGCAGTGGATCTCAGATGCCAAAGTGTCTTGTGCTGCCAAACCAAGGAAAGCAGGAGACCAGTGGAACACACAACACTAACCAAATACACACCTGCTTCAGACAAGCCGGCATTTGCCACACATTATGGGGGGGGGGGAGGCAGATACAGGCTGTTTGCACACATTAAAAGGGAACTGTAGTTTTACTGAGGTTGCTAGGAATTGTCACCTTGTGAGGTGCAATGGTCTAAATTTCCCAGGTGCCAGGTGCATTTTGCTTCTGGACATGGGTCCAATTGTGACTGTATGGAGATTTCTGGACGCCAGGTTGGCGACTCGCATCTCCATCGAGCCAGCTGATTTGTGCACAGCAAAACAAGCACGTCTTATGCTTCTGAGCTGCCACACGAATCATGGACATCTTAGTCCTGCGCATCTTAGTCCTCCATCATCACATCAACGAAAGGAAGTGCAGGGCTGAGTACAGATACAGTGGTACCTCGGGTTACATATGCTTCAGGTTACATACGCTTCAGGTTACAGACTCCGCTAACCCAGAAATATTACCTCAGGTTAAGAACTTTGCTTCAGGATGAGAACAGAAATCGTGCAGCGGCAGCGCAGCAGCAGCAGGAGGCCCCATTAGCTAAAGTGGTGCTTCAGGTTAAGAACAGTTTCAGGTTAAGAACGGACCTCTGGAACAAATTAAATACATAACCAGAGGTACCACTGTATATCCAACTGAGCTGCAGACTTTCCACAGGCCATGCAAATGGAGCTCACAGACCACAGTTTAAAAACCTCTGCCTAGTTAATACCATTTTCACTGTGTGTTTCTCCCTCTTGTATACTGGGATGAGAGAATTGTTGTAAGAGCTCCAGTGAGACCAGAGAATCGCAGAATTGTAGCACTGGAAGGGATCCCTGGGGTCATCTAGTCCAACCGCCTTGCAAATAGACATGCCATTGTTGCGACCCTGGTTTAAGGTGCCATTTGGCTCCTAGTTTCTAACACTGTGTAAGGGGCAAACTACAACTCCCAGGATTCTTTGGGGGAAGTCAGGGTCAATCTCCGATGGCATCGTCCAGGTAGGGCCAGGAAAGGCCTCTGCCTGAAACCCTGGAGAGCCTCTGCCAGCCAGTGTAGGCAACACTGAGCTAGATGGACCCATGGCCAGATTCAGCAGAAAGCAGCTTCCTGTGTTCCTTTTTATATTCCACAATTCCAGGGCAGAACACCTGCTTGGTGCCCAGAAGGTTTCAGGTCTAACCTTCATTATCTTCAGGTAGGGATGGGAATATCCTCTACATGAAACCCCAGAAAGCAGCTGCTGGTCAGTGTGGAGGACTATCCTGAGCTAGGCTGAACACATTGACTCAGTCTAAGGGCAGCCTCCCCCCACTGATTCAATCTGCAAAGCTTCTGGTTCCCATAATGAATGGCACTTGACAGGTGAGCTTTAAACGAATCCATTAGGCTCTCGGCGTTTGCCCCTTGTTTGTGCCGCTATATCTGCCTCTCAAAGGACACTGTAGGGAAGCAGGTCCTGCCTTATCGGGAGGCAGAGATAAAAACACTGCCTTCCGAACAGAGAAGATTGGCTTGGCAGAAGAGGCCAATTCACAAGAGGCTGATGGAAACCAATCTGAGGTGCGTAATTGACGCATTAACATTCTCATCTCCGCTGCCCCTGAGTCAGGAGAGGGTCCTTGACTGTGTCAATTACACAGAGAGAAACGCCAGGGCGTTCTAAGTCAGAGGGCCTCTCGGTTACGGACAAGGCACTCAGAAAAGGCACCCAGCTCTTTCTCATTGATGCAAAGAGTCAGTCTGATTGATACCTTTCCCCAGGAACAGAGGGCAAAATGAGAATGAGTGTGGATCTTTATTGTTGCTACTGTTTTCGCTGCACAGGTAGAGTGCTCCTGCCCAAAGCTGTTGTGAACAAGGCAAAATGAGCAACAGTGCTGCTCATCGCTGTCCAGGGTCAAGCTTAGGAGGAGTGGAGAAAGAATGAGGTGGGTAGTTAACTTAAAACTACCCACCCACCCACAATTGCTGCCCCAACAATTGGCACAAATCTTGAATGAGCAAAACATTATTTCTTGTGTTTTCATTGGGTAGCATTTGGAGACAGGTTGAATGAAGAAGTAGGGGCTGGACTAGATGACCCATGGATTCCCTTCCAACTCTACAACTCCACAGTCTTCAGTGTGCTTTTCTGTGTTAAGTTACATTCTCAGGTTCAAGCAGAAACTTCAGTGGTGCTACTGTGTCTGGCCAACTGCCCACATTCAGCCTCTGCATAAGAAGACACAAAATCATTCAACCTTATTTCAACACTGGTCAACTGTCTTAAAAATGAGCTTGTTTTCATTGCATAAATACTGCTATTATGGGTCAGAATGACGCCCTGCCTCAGGAACTTTGCCCTTGCAAAGCTACCACAACTCACAAAACCAAGCTTAAAGTTGCATTTTTGTTTTCTTTCTCTCACACACAAGCTGAGGCTGAACTGTGGGACTCATAACAGATCGGAGGACCCCAGCTTGAGTTTTCTTCTCTTTCTTTACCAGTGTGTGTGTGTGTGTGTGTGTGTGTGTGTGTTGTCCTTTGGGGCACTCGGGAACAGTGGCTGGAACTTCTCAGAAGGACGTCCACGGCAAAGCTAGCAGTGCCACCTGCTGGCGCCTCTTTGGAAATGCACCTGGGGAATATGGCCCCCGTCTTTCCCTTATCCATGTCCTCTTAACTCCTGGAGTGAGGGACCACAGGGAAACATGCAAATCTAGGATGCACCTGAGCTTATTGGAAAACCGGATCCTTCATTTCTCTTTTTCGCTCCTCATCAGAATCGCCTTGTTTCCAGTGACGGTCAGCCACAAAGGAGTATAGTGGAAGCAGCCTTGCATCAAGTCAGAACCTTGGTTGGTCTAGCTCAGTATTGCCTGCTCAGGCTGGCAGGGGCTTCCAGGGTTTCAGGTAGGAGTCTCCCCCAGTCCTACCTAGAGGTGCTGAGGATTGGACCTGGCATCTTCTGCATGCAAAGCATTCGCTCTGCCTGTGAGCTGCAATAAGTCCTAAGCAAGGGAAGAGGCAGCCCACCTCCCTTTTTCTTAGCTCCCCTCCCAAATCTGGTATTCAGTGCTTTGGAACCTGGAGCAGTGGAAGCTTCTCCACTGGGACTTGTGCAGCCCTGTCCCACCAACCTCACTCTGCCCTCAGCCGGCTCACAGCTGCCTGCCTTCTTTCTTGTAACCAGTCCAGCGGGTTGGCCCGCTTGTCAGCTTCCTTCCCCTCCACACTCTCAGTGTTCCTCTTGCACAACTCAGCAGGTGGGAGGATGAGGACCAAACTAAAATTAGACATGCTCTGCCTCTTATTGGCTCTGGCGCCACCTAGTGTTGGGCTCCCTGCCTTCTGCCCCGTCAGTCTCAATGGGGACCAGCCACCACTGA